AAAGCTGACTGGTACAACCACATACAGTGAAGACATCTGCCTTTGCGCTATGCTACTCTGGGTGCTAGAAACAATATCATATGAAAGCTGACTGGGGATCACAACCAGACACAGTGAAGACTGGGGACCACAACTAGACACAGCGAAGACATCTGCCCTTGCGCTATGCTACTTTGCTGCTGAGTATGCATGCCCAGTGTGGAACACATCTCACCATGCTAAAACAGTGGATTTGGCTCTTAATGAGACATGCCGCATTATCACTGGGTGTCTGCGCTCTACACCACTGGAGAAACTACACTGTCTAGCCAGTATTGCACCACCTGACATCCGCCGGGGAGTAGCAGCCAATAGTGAAAGGACCAAGGCAGTGACATCTCCAGCCCAACAACTTAAATCAAGAAATAGTTTTCTAAGATCTACAGAGACATTCGCTGGAACACCCCAGCAAGCGAGAGTCCAAAAGTGGGAGGCTCAAACCCAGAACCTCAATCAATGGCTGATATCAAATGAGAGACTCCCCCCTGGGCACACAGAAAACTGGGCGACTTGGAAGGCGCTGAACAGACTGCGCTCTGGCACCACGAGATGCAGAGCCAACCTTCAGAAATGGGGCCACAAAGTGGAATCCACGACATGCGAGTGTGGAGAAGAGCAAACCGCAGACCACCTATTACAATGCAGTCTGAGCCCTGCTATATGCATAATGGAGGACCTTCTTGCGGCAACACCAGATATTTAATCAACTACCAAGCTTGCAAACTTTGTATTTTGCCTGCTTGTTTGTTTGCTTTGTTAAAAATGTAATACAAATGTCTGGTTGCTCCTGGCACGATAAATAATACTACAATAATGGCACAAACTAGCAACAGCCTCAAGACACTGGGGATTGAGTATGAATATTCAAATAACTGTGTTGTGGGAGTGAGCGTGATTTTGTGAGTTCCATCTACCTAAACAGACTGGATGGCCATCTGTCAGGGGTGTTTTGATTGTGTGTTTCCTGCATGATTGGAGTGAATGCCCATTGTGGTTTCTTCCAGCTCTATGATTCTATTATTGTTACTGACTGGATGGAAATAAAATCAGTGTGCTCAACCCTACCCGCCAAGCTATTTAGACATATCCCACAACTGCTTGCTATAAATCCATTAAGAACTGAGCCCTCATGTCAGTGTGTGAAAGCAGAAGGGACTTGTCTGTGTTCTACTACTTGGATCTGATGTTGCACAATTACCATATCTGCAAGATTATTCACACATTATAATCTGCAACAAAGTGATTACTTCCAGTGAGAGATAACCTAAGGTTTTTCTCTGCTCCAGGCAAAAAAAAAGTTGGTGCCCTGCACATTTAATGTAGAAAAACCAAGACAACTGTCAAGTGTACCTTTCTTCAAGATTGGTGGTGAGACAGCTTTCTGACAAGGGCATTAGGCTAACTTTGAGATGCTAAGTAGGCTATGTTACATGTAGCTCATACCTTGCTGTTTCCTTCCAGAATTTGCTATTAGAGGTATTTTTGGTAGGACAGGCCCTGCCACTAATACAAATGACCACTGTGGGAATCATGCAGCCTTCCCAAATACTGTTGAAAAACAATGACCTGTATTCCTTAGTGTTGACTTTGCTGGCTAAGGTTGCTGAGATTTACCATTCCACAACATCTAGAGGGCCACAGAATTCCTACTTGCTGTACAATGAAATTGTATTATATTTTATTAGTATTGTCTTTTCTCTTAAAGGACATTAAAATAAGATATACAGTAGAATCTTGCTTATCCAACATAAACGGGCTGGCAAAACGTTGGATTAGTGAAAATGTTGGATAATAAGGAGGGATTAAGAAAAGCCTATTAAATGTCAAATTATGTTATGATTATGTTATGATTTCACAAATTAAGCACCAAAACATCATGTTTTACAACAAATCGACAGAAAAAGCAGCTCAATACACATTAACGTTATGTAGTAATTACTGTATTTACCAATTTAGCACCAAAGCAGACAAGGGTTCTTTCTTTCTCCCACCCTGGACTACGTTGGATAATACAGAATGTTGGATGAATGAAGGTTGGATAAGCGAGACTCTACTGTAGTCACATTTGTATACTAATGAGACCCCACTCCCTTCTCCAGCAGATCCTAGGAGAGGCAAAGGCACCATCTATGCTGCCGTATAATGCAGTATATATGGAAACCTTAGAGTGACAACAGCACTCCTTGTGTTATAGATACATGTTAAATCCCATGGTATAAGAACCATGCAAATAAACTCGAAATTGAAAACCCTGCCTAAAGATTTTCACATACACAACCTAATTTACATTCTCTGACTCATTTATGTTTGTAATTCAAATGAGTCCTTGACCTACATGGCTGACTTAAATTTTGCTTTTAAGTGGAAACTAGTCCCTTATCTGTCAGAGTTTGGAATATTAGTACTGAGAATGTAGCTATTGGCAACTCAGTAAGTATGTCATTAAAAGTTAAGTAGCCTTTTTTTCTTTTCTTTTTTTTTTGTACAGTGCCAATGGTGGTGCTAGGCACATTTGTGATAAATATGAGATATGCTTGGCTCTTGAATTTTGTAGAAATGCCGTCTACAGAAGCATTAACTGGCATACTAAATAAATAATACATTTAATTTTGGTATATTGCATTTCCCACATAGACATTTCATTAAATGCTTTAGGATTTATTTAAACATAACCTTTCAAGCTTTTTCCCTAGAAGAAAAGGCTATCTGTCAGTTTTGTCCGCTTTAATCTCATTTGTGCTCTGTTCTCTAGAGCAGTGTTTCTTAAGCTATTTTACATGGGAGGCTAGCAACTTTCTCTTTCTTTCTTTTTATTTCTTTCTTTCTTTCTTCCCTCCCTCGCTCCCTCTCTCCCTCCCTCAAACTTCTCCAGGTATTGTCCACAGACCACTATTTTAAGCTTGAGACAGCTATCTATCAAACCTCTGTGTGTGTGTGTGTGTGTGTGTGTGTGTGTGTGTGTGTGTGTGGTGTGGAGGGGGGGTGTCTTTGCTAGTAACCAAGGACCAGTTAGATTTTTTCCCATTGTGTTAAATTTATTTCTTTTTGGAAATTTGTTCAGAACCAGCAACCGATGATTAATCACTTTGAGTATTAATGCTCTCACTTATTCAACTATTTGCATGTGTTCCTATAGTGCAAATATCGTTTCCTACACCAGTGGTTCTTAACCTGTGGGCCATGGACCACCAGTAAGCAGCAAGAACAAAAATCTGGTCTGCATGCCTCTTTTCTCATTTTTTAATTTTTTTTATTTCTGCCCTTTTTGCACTGCCTGCCACTCTTTCCCTGTCACTGACCAGCCCCAATCCCTTAGATAGACCACACCAGCTCTAGATTATTAAATATGGTTTTCTGTGTGCAAGCAGATGGCGACTACTGGATGGCATATGTTCTGTTTCGGAAACTAGAGTTGATGTGGTCTATCCAATGCAGTTTTCTGAATCAGCACGCCAAATAACCAAACTAAATCTAAAGTTGACCAAAACTAATTCATAACCCTTTTGATACTAATGTTGGAGAGTGGTCCCTGGTCAAAGTGGTCCCTGTTCAAAAAAAAAAAGTTGGGAATGACTGTCCTACAAGCATGTCTGCCAGGGCACATTTTGAACTGTTGAACATTAAAGAATATTGTTTTAGTGACAAGTATAAGGCCTTTTGGGGCCCACTAGGAGGGCTTTTCAATATCTTTTTGCACTATATCCCAACAATTGAAAGTGACTAGGAGACAAAAACCTCTATGAATATGTTCAGACTTGACTGTCTCCAATCTCAACTTATTGCTGGAGGACAATGCTAACTGAAAAGCATTGAGGGTAAATGTTTTGGACTTCCAAAATTGAAGATTTGGAAAACAGATCTCAGATGCTGTGGTTGAGAATTAGTCACTAAAAATAAAACATGGCTCAAAACCAAATATAGGGAGTTGAGAAACCACAATTGCTATTTTATAGGAAAATGAGTCATTGTGTTGGGAATGTTTCCTATTGTTGATCTTTAGGGCCAGGTACCTCTACATGCTGTGCTCTTATTTCAGTTACACACTTGGAAATCACAGAGTACCAGTATAGCAGAAATGCTTCCATGTCCATATGTCACTGCCTGATTTCCACTACATTCGTGCAAATAATGCCCCTGTTTTGGTTCAGCCTGCTGATGATGATGAGTGGAACTCTCTGCCCCGGAGTGTGGTGGAGGCTCCTTCTTTGGAAGCATTTAAACAGAGGCTGGATGGCCATCTGACAGGGGTGCTTTGAATGCAATATTCCTGCTTCTAGGCAGGGGGTTGGACTGGATGGCCCATGAGGTCTCTTCCAATTCTATGATTCTATGAGTGGATTGTTATTCCAGGGCCTGGGAGAGTGGATGGTCTTTCAATTAGGGAAATGAGGGGAGTTTAGATCCTGTCTACGAGAATGGGCTTGAAAGTGAATCTGCCTCTAAGTCCAGCAGACAGGAAGATGCACTGGCTAGCAAACATCTTTGACCTACTTGTCTCATAGCAATTCCAGATAAGGATAAGGAGTTGGATGGGTGAGAAAGTTTGCCGGAAAACAACCTGCTGTCAGCAGAAATCTCAGGCTTCATCTTAGAGAAGAAGCAAGCAAATTAAGAAAGTCACAGAGACTTCATGAAAAACAGTGTGAGAAATCTCACACAGGCATGACTTCATGTTTTGTTGATCTCAAATCAGAGAGTTGTTTCATTGACAATTCAGATCAGGAAATGATGTAAAGCAATGAGAATCTTGTTTCCCGTTCATGTTTTGAGTCTAAGAGTTTGGGAGTTTGGACTCATGTTTTAAGAAGTTTCTATAGTCTTGCTTTTTTTATTCATGTTCATGGATGATTCTGGTTTCCTTTTACCTTGTTTTATATATCAGATTTGGACTGTTTGGATTATTACCTTTGGAATGTTTTTTTTTCCTATTGCCAGTTCTTTTTTGGTTGACTATTTCCCCCCTTACCTATTGGATTTTGCCTTTCTTATTTCTTATGGTGACTTTTTCCATTTTATATGTATTTTTCTCAGTAAACTGTTTTACTACTATTTTTTGGATTCTTGGCTGGTGTTGAGTACAAGGTGAATTCTGGCTGGGGTGCAACAGCCCCTTTTATTTGTATAGAATAAAATGATTTCCATGACAGCTTCTGATATATTTCAAAAGCAAATAAACATAAATGTTAGGTCTTGAAATCCACATTTATATATCAGAAACACATTTAACTAATAAATAACAGAGCTGTTCTGCTTAAATAGAGTGTTATTCTTGCATAGCTCACACTTCTACACACAGCCTGCAGAAACCTTCTTAGAAGAGGTTCTTCTCTGGAAGGAAGAAACAAGCACAGTTTTGTGTTCCCATTTACTTTAGTTGTAGTCCAGATCCATTGGATGGATGAAATTACATTGTATTCACCATATAGAGGAAACATATTATCCTCTCTCATGGCATCACAATAAAAACCTGTTTCTTCAGAATAATGATCCTGTTACACCAAAAGTCAGAACAGCAAAGCAAGTCTGCAGGGCTAAGGACAAATTGTATCAGGTGAAGGTCTTCTAAATGTTCCAGCTGGGTGGAGGGTTTCTTGGCCCTTTGGGTTTTGAAAAACGGTTTGCAAAGCCTGGAATACAAAACCAAGACTTATTTTTATGCACTGGTCTTTCAGTTTGATGTGAAATTAGCATATAATTCTCACATAAGCTGAATATGAAACAGCATATTAAAGTTTGCACATAAAAATTATATAAGGAGGCAAGCTGTGTAATTTAATGAATGCCAACTGACTATGAGGCACAAACATACATATACTTATGGACTCCAGAACTATTTTTAGTGTTGGGCAGCTCAACATTGTCAAGCAGGTTGTTAATAATTTTATCTACATCCCAGGAAAGGGCAAATTATTTTGCTATCCATTATCATTCAAACATCCTTGAATATGAAGACTTTTTGCAAACAGAATATTACTTAGAAGTGCACTCTATGTATTCTGTGTTGTGCATTTCCAAATGAGTGCAGATAGTACAGTTTGCAGGCAGCCTTTGTTATTCTTATAAGAGATCAACTACAATGGCTCTTTATATATTTCATTATATTTCTGATTTTAGTACACTTTTGATTGCTAACTCCAAGGAAAGTTCAACTCCATAGGAGTATTGCCAAATAATTGCACAGGGAGCTCAGTCTTTTCAGCCTAATTTGGGGGATCTTGAGCCCCCCTTGTCTGGGGTTAATGTATATACCATATTCCTAGAATCGCTGAATTCTGGCAGTGGCTTTCTGGAAAAGAAGAGAAATTGCTCCACATTTAAGATCTGGAGCATTTTTTCTCACCCAAAATCCCTAGCTCTTTTATGTTCAAATCATTTAATTTTTTCTTATCTACTGTTTGCAGCAGTGTTTCTTCTTTTGTTGTGCCTGTGTTATTCTTCCCCAACCAATCATCTCTAATAAATGTAACAAGCATCATTGCTATACCTGACAATGTATACATCGCATCTTAGATTATATAATGGGAACTCCTACTGACAGCACTGAAAAGAGCCCAATAGGAGGTATCCAGAGTATCTGAAAGTATCTGGAAAGTCCCTTAAAACTAGTTCTTCCAATTTCTTCAGAAGCTTGTCTAGCAGTTTGGTTATCTACAACATTCAATGGGGTGGAATCAAAGCATACATATTTTAAGGATGTTGTATTTTCATAGTTAACTAAACAGATAAATTGAAAATAATACATACCAAAACTCAGAACAGAGCTGGCATGACGTGATTGATCAGGCTCTGGCGCTTTGCCTAGGAAAGATGGACCACAAATAGCTAAAAATGAAAGGAGTGACATTAACGGCTGGTGACTGATCAATCTAAATCAAATTAAAGGTTTCTTGCAACGTGATTCTTCCCATGAGGAAGAGGCTGTTTTGCTTAAACTGGGCACAGGAGAAAAGGGGAAAGATCCAAAATATAGACTGATACCATTTTTTATGAATCCAATGCATTTCTGTTACTAGCAGGTGTCCTGTTTAGATATTGTAACTATGTGAGAATTGTTGAGCCAGCTATCTGATAGTTTACATCAGGGGTCCTCAAACTTTTTAAACAGAGGGCCAGGTCACAGTCCCTCAAAGTGTTGGAGGGCCAGATTATAATTTGAAAAAAACATGAATGAATTCCTATGCACACTGCACATATCTTATTTGTAGTGCTAATAACACTTAAAACAATACAATAATTAAAATGAAGAACAATTTTAACAAATATAAACTTATTAGTATTTCATTGGGAAGTGTGGGCCTGCTTCTGGCTGATGAGCTAGGATTGTTGTTGGTGTTGTTGTTGTTGTGTGCTTTTAAGTCATTTCAGACCTAGGTTGACCCTGAGCAAGGGCCGGGTAAATGACCTTGGAGGGCCATATTCGGCCCCTGGGCCATAGTTTGAGGACCCCTGGTTTACATCATCCAACAGCAAACATCAGTCGCATGGATCTCTTCTGGAAAAAGTGGGGGTGGAGATTGTTTATTAGATGAGAGATTTATGAGATCATTCATGCCAAAAGGGTTAGGTCATTTAAAATGTAATCCCAGTTGCAGGGACCAGAGGGTGGATAAAGTGCTTATATACAGCCAGAAAAACGTCCAATGAATGCTATTGAACATAGTTACTCTGAAATTTGAAAAATCTTGCTAAGAAGCATGATTGGTGACTTGAAGGCACTTCCATGCCCACATTGATGAGACTCATCTTTCTTTATAACAAAGCAAAATGCAGAAAGAACAGGCATCTTTGAGACATATTTTGACTTACTAAAAACTTTGAAGGCAATAAGCAAATGCAGGGAGCAATTACTTAAAATCAGTATTTTAAAAGTTACCGAGTTTTGTTCTGAAGGTGTTTAACTAGGTCATGATTAAATGGCCTGGTTATCAGACAGAAACGGAGAGAGGAACGGCTCCAATTCACATTATGGACATTACTAACATTATGACTGTAGGGTGAGCCACTAAGCATAAAGACTGTGTTCCCCAAGATGATCATTACATATAGTCCAGCTGTTGTAAAACACTTGCTCATTTCTATATACCATACATAAAATAGAATGGGAATCCAGAACAAATTTCATATTTACAATGTGTTTTCTCCCTGTGCAATTATGTACATAGCTCTTTAATTTAAATTTTCATTTCTACAATTAGAGACAGTGGAAAACACCAGAGAATATGAGAGGTTTTTATTCATACAGTGAATCAATGAGTGTGCTCACCTTGAATTGTTAAGGATTAAGGCCAGCGTCACATAGTGGTTTGAATATTGGACAAAGACTCTGGAAGACCAGGATTCATGTCTGTGCTCAGAAATGGAAACCCACTGGGTAACCTTGGGCAAATCAAAGTTTCTCAGAGGAAGGCAAAGGCAAACCTTCTTTGAATAGATCTTGCCAAGAAAACCCTCTGATAGAGTGGCCATAAATCAAAGTCACCTTGGAGCCAAATAACAACAAATGGTTCCTTGGCATCTAGCAAATGCAAACTACACACATGACACAAAATTTAGCATATATACTGTCAATATTTTGACCAAGACTTACTATTTTTCACATTTTTAAAAATTTTCAGGCTCTGCAAAAGAGAGAGAGAGAGAGAGAGAGAGAAACAAGATTAACTATTGGTGATTTCAAACTCTTAATTATTAAGAAATGATATATTGATAACTGAAAACTAGTTATCAGCAAAACAATGAACATATCTATGAATACCACAATCCAAAAAAGGGCACTGTTGTTTTTAATCTAAAACTACGCTGTATTATAAAAGGGCATTAAAAGCCCTGGCAAGCTAGCCTGAAGCCATTTTGTCAAAGGAGATACTCATAGAACTCTGTGTGGAGGCCAGATAGGATTCGTCTTTGAGGAAGTCACCATAGTTTCATAATTAGCCTAGGCCCCAGTTTTCAATGGGAGGCAGAATTTTTTAACCACAAAAACTGACCAGAGCTTGAAAGAAAGACCAGTTGACCAGTGCTTGAAACAAAGAAATCAAGTCCCCTTTGCATTGCTCGAATCAGTTCAACCTGCCCTTGGACACACTCTTGATGCTTGTCTGGGGCCATACGTTATGACTTGCACATCACTCTTATCACATTTTTGACACTTCCAAAGACTTCTGAACCGTGGAGTGCTCATTCTCCATGCCTGATCATCATAAACCACATGGTGACCACACAAATCTCACTGCCCTGGCAAATAATTATTTGGCTTTCAGTTATTCTCATAGCTGGTGGAGACACAATAACGTTTCAATTGACACAGTAATATTTACTGATACAGCTATGCAGTGGGGATTTGAATCAATTACACTCTCAATTAAGTATTAAAAAGCAAGGATGCATCAGTGAAGAATTTTTTGAAATTTATGTTATCATACATCAATGACTTTGAGTTCATATAAGGTTCACTTCATACTCTTGGCATGGAATGTCACCTCTGAGACATCGTTAGAATTAAGGACAGATGGCACAAAACAGATTTATGCAATTGTTTTTAAAAGTTGCGTTGCTTTAACTGTATTTTAAAATTTTAATTATTGTAAGCCACATTGGGTCTCATATGGGAAGAAATTTATAATATAAATTTAATTAATTAGTTAATTAATTAAACACATCAATAAAAGCTCTTTAAAATTTCCTTGAGATGGTTTAGTGAAGACTGTGCTTACAATTTGGTTGGCTGACATATTCAGAATTGTAGAAGAATGTCTTCCCAGGTCAAATGGTCAACTAACCTGGAAAATGATGTTTTGGGTCACCTTTGTATCAGTCTTCCTTAAGCACACCCATTCTTTGAAAGTATATATTGCATTTGTTTCTGTCTTTGATAAGATGGGATCTGAACTGCTCCAAACATTTATATTGCTGGAGGACTTTTGGTGGGTGGTCCTGAACTTGGTAGCTCTCCCATTGCACATGCCACTTTGGAGATCCTGTGATCTGCAGTCCAAATTTTTAATTGTTCCAAGCTTTGTGGCACAGGTTTGCTTCTGTTATCTTGGTGACCCTCTCCCTTTTATCGGAAACAGCCAATGTGCTGGCTCCTTCTCTAAACCATAAACAGTGATGGGAGGGACACTGCTTATCCAGTAGTTCTGATTTGCTTTTGAGACAGACACCATTTCATTTCATAGAAACCATGACTTAACCACAGCATTACACACATTTCTCAAAGCAAGCACCAAGCAGGCAGAGACAAGAAGAGAACCTATCTTAGATAGGTTTAGATCCTTACAAAATAATGTGAAAAGGTGCCCATGTGAAGAAGAAGACACCCTTTCCCTTTCACAGAGCCCTGACATTCCAAGGTTAAATAAAGCCAGTTCCTAATTACAGCCAAAACTAGCAAGTGAATTCAGATTTATGGTCCCATCTCTCCTAAAAGAAGCAGGTCCCAGTTGATTACACATCTGATTTCAGTTACGTGAAACATATCCAGTGGTAGCCATGTTGACCATGTGGCAAAATACAACTAAATCCATTATACTTTTCTGAGTATAATAGTATAGTAACATTTTGAGAAAATCACTGTTCTCTGTTTAAGAAAGGAGCAGTTAGGTTTGCAAAAGATAGTTTGCAAGAGAAGTTATTTTACTGTTACTAATGGAGCTAAAATTGCATTATTTGTCATTTATTTATTGCCCTTTATCCCTAGTCTCCATATTACCAAGGAAGTGATGGTCACTGTCTGCACTAAGATCCTTCCAGACCATCTTAACTAACAACAGAATTAACGCCTAAGCTGAAATGTAGAACTCTTAACATTGTCACTTTTCTTCTCCTGTATGGTTTGCCTGATGAAGAAGCAAGCAAAGTTTTAAAGGCTTGCATGATGTATTTTGTACATATTGGGTAGCCAAGAAAGATTCTTTTGATTGTGTAGTGTTAGAGTCATTGAAGCCACAGTTTGTTATGCCATAATTAGGTTCTTGTGGGTTTTTTCGGGCTATAGAGCCATGTTCTAGAGGCATTTCTCCTGACGTTTCGCCTGCATCTATGGCAAGCATCCTCAGAGGTGTGAGGTCTGTTGGAAGTAGGAAAAATGGGTTTATATATCTGTGGAATGGCTGGGGTGGGGCAAGGAGCTCTTCCCTGCTGCAGTTAGGTGTGAATGTTAGCTGATCACCTTCATTAGCATTTGAAGGCCTGCCTAAGCCTGGGAAATCTGTTGCTGGGAGGTGTTAATCTGTGCCTGGTTTTTTCCTCTCTGTTGTTTAGCTGTTATAATTTTAGAGTTTTTTAATACTGGTAGCCAGATTTTGTTCATTTTCATGGTCTCTTCCTTTCTGTTGAAATTGTCCACATGCTTGTGGATTTCAATGGCTTCTCTGTGTAGTCTGACATGGTGGTTGTTGGTGTGGTCCAGCATTTCTGTGTTCTCAAATAATATGCTGTGTCCCAGGCTGGTTCATCAGGTGCTCTGCTATGGCTGACTTCTCTGGTTGAAGTAGTCTGCAGTGCCTTTCATGTTCCTTGATTCGTGTTTGGGCGCTGCGTTTGGTGGTCCCTATGTAGACTTGTCCAGAGCTGCATGGTATACGGTAGACTCCTGCAGAGGTGAGAGGATCCCTCTTGTCCTTTGCTGAACGTAGCATTTGTTGGATTTTCTTGGTGGGTTTGTAGATTGTTTGTATGTTGTGTTTCCTCATCAGCTTCCCTATGCGATCAGTGGTTCCCTTGATGTATGGCAGGAACACTTTTCCTCTGGGTGGATCTTCATCTTTACTCTCGTGGCTTGTTCTTGGTCTTGCAGCTCTTCTGATTCCACAGATATATAAACCCATTGTCCTAATTCCAACAGACCTCACTACCTCTGAGGATGCTTGCCATAGATGCAGGCGAAACGTCAGGAGAAATGCCTCTCGAACATGGCTCTATAGCCCGAAAAAACCCACAAGAACCTAGTGATTCCAGCCATGAAAGCCTTCGACAATACATTATGCCATAATTGTTTCTCTTGGTTAGTTCCCCCTCTAGTGCTCACAATGAGAAATGCTCCCAGTGTTGGGTTGCTGTGAGTTTTCCGAGCTGTATGGCCATTATTCCATAGCAAAACACACAGCAACCCAGTGATTCCAGCCATGAAAGCCTTCAACAACATGTTCCCAGTGTTGCTTCCATTACATAGTAGGACCTTTTCTGGAAAATAAGAGAAATTCTCTCTGTATTGGCACTTCACTTAGTCTGTTTTGCATTAATATCACTACAATTTTTTTTCTTCCCAGTATGGATGAAAGCAGGAAGGTAGTGAGTCTTGTGGTGGTTGTTAGTGTGTAAAAGTGAAAACTAATAATTTAAAAGTACATATGCTCAACTGGATGCAAGAAATGTATTAGACACCTAAAGATGAAGGGAAACTGCCATTTTATCTATCCATCCATCTATTTATTTTGGCGAAAAATTGGTAATTGTCAGTTTTCCAATATCTGAAGCCAAGCTTTGGAAAGTTGGAATACAGCTGGACGAATCTTTCATCTTTGGTACAGTTTTGGACTCTGGCTCCCCAAACCCCACTATTTTTGAAAAATTCAGGAGTTGAGATCCCAATATGGTCTGCGGTCATGCTCTCTGGAGGAGATTATGGACAAATATAAGTTTTCCGGGATTTGGGCTGCCGTAGTAAGGGGAAGGTCACATCATAAGAAACCCTTACTATAATTTAAATAGAAACTCAGTTCCTGGAGAAGATTGTGACCAGGTAGTTATGTTCCTGTTAGCCTGCTAGCCATGTACTAATTGCTGGTGGACAACTTCAAGGCCTTCAACCAGATTTACAGCTCCAAATAAAAATGCTTTCAAACAAAGGAATGTCCCATGTGAAAAAGGACACATGATGCTATATGTGTACCTTTTGATATATGCAATTTCATTTCATACAGCATTCATAATTAGAAAAAAATGCTGGAGTTGAGGAAATGTATTTTTTCCCATTGCAAAATACTGTATAGCTCAAATCCAAGGACAATGCAGTTTTTCCACCAGAAAAGAGCTAATTTGGAAAAAAAAAATCTGAAGCCCCATCTACACTGCCATATAAAATCCAGATTATCTGCTTTGGATTATATGGCAGTGTAGACTCATATAATCCAGTTTAAAGCAGATAATCTGGATTTTATATGACAGTGTAGATGGGCCTGAATTTCATGTACTTCAGAAATGGATTGCTGTGAGAAAGGAAAAATTCTGTTCCTTCATTCCTTGAAAAGTTGCACAGTTAAATATATACAGTAATTATTGAAAAGGCATATGGGGTGCATCTACACTGCCATATAATGCCATTTGGAATGGCATTATATGGTCAGCATAGACCCATATACGGCAGTACAATGCAGTTGAATTGCATTACAGGCAGTCCCCAAGTTACAAACAAGATAGCTTTTGTAGGTTTGTTCTCAAGTTGAATGTGTATGTAAGTTGGAACCAGCACTTTTTAAAAGTGCAATTCCTGCCAAAATATATATCCGTTTTAGTTCTGGATAGCATAGGGAAGGGTTGACACCCCTGTAGTGTTTATTTTGCTCTCTGTGCCCTTGTTCAGAAGATTTCACATCACTTTCTGTCCCTGTGATAATTGGATTTTGAAAAAAAATGACTTGTTGTGGAAACAAGGATTGGAGATAAAGCTTAAATGGAGACACCTTTTCCACATAACTCTTTCAAGAGTGAATTTCCCTTCCTAAGGGTAGATACATCTCACTTTCTGTTGTGTCATTCCTGTTCTTAACTATGAACGGTTTGTAAATTGGAAATTTGTAACTCGTTCCAAATGGCGTTACGTGGCAGTGTAGACCCAGCTGTAGTTATCTCTTCTCACACGACCTAGATTCTCCATGTTTTTTACCTTACTCCTCCTGAAGCCCTTTGCTTCCTTTGATGACTTCTCTGTCAGCTTAATTCCAGAATCTCCAAGTCTTGTGACATTGTTCATAACAGGTGGCTCAGCTATGGAAATAAAATACATTCATCAAAAGAATAATTTCCAAAGCATAAACAGTGCTTGAAACTCAAATGGTGTTTGAAGTGTGTACAGAAACCCTCATATATTCTAATAGAGCCAGGAGAATGTCGCCAAAATTTGTTCTTGTCTGCAGAAATCAAATAAACCAAGATGTATGCTTCTACTTTGATTGAACAGATTTTTAAAGTTCAAAGCTTGTGAAAAATACCTAAGAAAAAAAGGACAGAAGAAATGAGCTTCCCCATCATGGGCAACAGGGACTCTGTCATATCACATTCTACTTGTATTTCTAGTTCAGTAAGACCGCAAAAATCGGGAATAAAATGTCTTCCTCCCATTTTGGACATATGGCACATGTACCTTTGATACACTGCTGTGAGATAAGTCAGTATATAATAATACTGGACTTTAAAATAAATAGCATGGGACACTTTTTTGTGTTGAAGTTCTGTAAACATTCTCTGGCAACATTTTTGTTGTATGTATTTAGCACTAAGAGCCAGTGTGGCATTTTGGTTTGAGTGTTGGACTACAACACTGGAAGCCCAGAATTTGCATCCTCACTCAGTGAGCTTGGGTGAGTTACACTCTCTCAGCCTTAGCAGAAGGCAACGGCAAACCTCTTCTGAATACATACTGCCAAGAAAAAACTTGTGATGGGTTTGTCTTAGGGCCACAAAAAGTCAGAAATGACTTGAAGACACATGACAACAATGCAGCACTAAGTTTAAAAATGCATTACAACCAAGCTGGGCAACTGTGTGGGGGTCAGGGGCCACTTCCTCCAAACTTTCCTGGACTATACCGCCTGCACCAAGCCCCAATGCCTCAATTTTCCTCTTCAGTCCCTCTGTAGTGCTTCTAGAACTGGGAGCATATTTGTGTATTTTCACATGTCTGGGGGGCTTTCTGTGTAGCTTGGGGGCAAAGCTATGCCTGGGTTTCAGAGGCCACAAAAGTGATATCCACTCTGTGGGCCCAACCTATATTACAAGGAAACATTACAAAGAATAATTGGCAAAACATTAGAGAAGAAGTGTGCTTTGTATATGAAAGGAATAATTTCTCCTGACCTTTTTGTTGCCATGGTTCTCCTCCACTGTTTTTTTTTTTTTTGGGGGGGGGGTGATTTAGATATTTTAATTTTTCCTTTTCAATCAAGATGTTGCTTTTTGATCAATGAAGTGACCTTCTAGAACCCTTACTAGAAGACCTCCTTCTCTTCCCAGCTGTTGGGTATCATCAGGCGTAAGCTGTCTTTGGCTGTGTCTGTTCTAAAATCCTGGATTGCATCCAAACCATTCTCAAAGTCAAGAGGGTCTTCTTCCAAGAATACTTCTGCCAAGGCCTTTCTTTTTCCTTGAATAACCAGCTGAAACTGTCTAGATGTGTCATTTCTCATTATATGGCCAAAACAAGGTCAGATCGAAGGCCAAATGCTCCGTGTTTGTTACGAAACAGCAGAAACAAGTGTACTTACGTTCATCATCTGCAAGGAGAAATGACTCAGGCGTCCTTTCAGGAAGTGGTGGAGGAGGAGGCGATGAAGATTGATCTCGAGGAATCTCTGAAACAATATATGATTTAAACTTAGCAACACATTTCCATCAGCACACTTTCAAAAATGCTGTATGTCTGTAATAAATTTGTGGGATGATGGATCAGCATTGTATCATCTCAAATGTCTTCTAGTCTGACATAAGTATTAATCAATGGTCCTTCCAAGGAGAATACAAATGCACTGTAATTTCTCAAATATATATGGATGACCTCTGAAAAGATGCATCTAAATATTGTTTCTGTATATTTTACAGCAATTGTGTAAAAGGAGGAAGAAATAAACAGGAGAATGAGACACAAAAATATAGTATGCACTACAGAATATTCTTTCTACTGAAAAAGAATTGTTATGAAATAGGACTTAAAAGAACAACCTGAATTCAGGGTCAAACTGAACAATATGATGATCAAGGTTTTTTGTACACGTACTCCCCCATGTGGTCAAAATCACACATTGTCAAAATATATAATTTTCCTTATTTATATATCTTCGCATGTTTTGTATTGTAATTGGCTACCAGAAGTGTTTAATTTGCAAGTCTGATAGCGGATGCATGCCTTTCTGAGGAAGTCCTGTTCTGGAAGAGAAGGCAAGTTCATCCTTGAAAATAGATTATATGTTTAGCATGTGTTGATGTCCTCCTTGCCATGCACATAATTTTCTCTACCCACATGTCTTGCATTTACAATGCTTTATTATTTGGTCACTGGGAGACAAAGAGCCTTAATTTGCAATTCTGAATGATGAAACATGTATCTTTGAGAAAATCTCAGTAGAGAAGATGGGTTAATCGGAGGAATGACACACTCACCTTGGTGTCTGGTTTGACCATAAGTTTCCTTACTAAGCCAGCAGGTATAATAGTTATAGAGATTAAGTGAATGGAGATTGCATACCTGATCTGGGTCTCTGAAGTTTCACACTCTGAAAATGAACAAAAAGAGAATATTTTTATCCTTCTAGCCTTAATTCAATTATATTTCATTTCTAATGGATGCACATGAACTTATACGAGGCACAATCATTGTAACAGAAGATAGCTACGCATTTCATATATATCCATACATTGACAGCAATATTATTGTTTCAAAGGTGATTTAGATTAAAGGACGACCTAACCCAGGAGATACAGTCTTCTAGAGTGTCATTATTCAAAATGACCCCAGTTCAAAATTTAGGGTGAATTCAAAATTCACCCTAAATCATCTCTTTTCTCTCAACAGAATTATCCTCAATAATCTGTTATGGAAAGAACGCTTAGATTGTAGTGTGCGCAAGAGGCTGGTCACATTTCTACTAAAAGTTATATACTTTTAGTCTACATTTTTTTTCTGTATTTTCAGTTTTGAAAAATCTGCCTTACTTGGCTTTTTAAAAAAGTTTACTTTTGAGAAGTAATTCTTGAGGGAGTCCAATTGAAGAGGAGTCTTGATCCAATTTTACTGATCAACCTGCCTAGTCTAACTTTTAGAGAGTTGGGAGGATTTGAGGCTCCCCAGCTCTCCTATTCCAGAATCCATTCTCATCATCCAAGTGTTGATCTTTATGTAGACAGCATGGCATTACTCATACACATGGAACAGGGAGGTATCAGTAGGGGAGAGCACCAGTGTAGAACAGTGGTTTGAGCTTTGGACTGTAATTCTGGAGATCAGTTTCAAATCCCCGCTCGGCCATGAAAACCCACTGGGTGGCCTTGGAGAAATCGTACTCTTCCAGTCTCGGAGGAAAACAGAGGCAAACCCACTATCTAGTCAAATCTTGTCAAGAAAAACCCATGAGAGGTTCACCTTAGGGCCCCATATATTAGAAGAGACTTGAAAGCCCAAAACAAAATAAAAAACTGCAAGAAAAGGTCTAAGAATACTGAAGGCATTACATTATGTATTGGAAGCTAAACAGGATCAGGTCTGGTGAGTAATTGTATGTGGGGAGCAGCAAGGACTACCAGGTGCTGTAGGTTATATTTCAGAAGAAGGCAATAGCACAGTATTTCTCAACCTGGGGGTTGGGACCCCTGGAGGGATCATGAGGGGGTATCAAAGGGGTCGCCAAAGACCATCAGAAAACACAGTATTTTCTGTTGGTCATGGGGGTTCTGTGTGGGAAGTTTGGCCCAATTCTATCATTTGTAGGATTCAGAATGCTCTTTGATTGTAGGTGAACTATAAATCCCAGCACCTACAACTCCCAAATGTCAATGTCTATTTTCCCCAACTCCACCAGTGTTCACATTTGGGCATATTGAGTATTTGTGCCAAGTTTGGTCCAGCTCCATCATTGTTTGAGTCCACAGTGTTCTCTGGATGTAGGTGAACTACAACTCCAAAACTCAAGGTCAATGCCCACCATGCCCTTCCAGTATTCTCTGTTGGTCATGAGAATGCTGTCTGCCAAGTTTGGTTCAATTCCATCGTTGGTGAGTTCAGAATGCTCTTTGATTGTAGGTGAACTATAAATCCCAACAATTTCTCCCAAACCCCACCAGTATCCAAATTTGGGCATATCGAGTATTTGTGCCAAATTTGGTCCAATGAATGAAAATGCATCCTGCATATCAGATATTTACATTACGATTCATAACAGTAGCAAAATTACAGTTATGAAGTAGTAACAAAAATAATTTTATGGTTGGAGGGGTCAATACAACATGAGGAACAGAATTAAGGGATTGCAGCATTAGGAAGGTTGAGAAACACTGTAATAGCAAGTGAACGCTGCTCCTTGGCTAAGAAAATTCTAGGAAATCTCTGGGGTCTACATAAGTCAACAAGTGATTTGAAGGTACATAACCATGTACACACATCAGCAGAGGAATGCCAAAGTTCAAAAAGATTTTGAATATAAAAAAAAACCCATGAGGACTGAGTGGGCATAGGACGCCGAGGAAAGCAATATGGGACTGATTAAAAACCTGAACAGGAACAATATGTGCAGAAACAATGTTTGTTTGTTTTTATCAGTTTGTAAATGCTTAAAGCCTTTAATGCCGACAAATATTCAGTCCTCCATTTTTCCTGGATACTTCCTAGTTATCTCCCACTGCATTTGAGGAAAAGGCACTGGAATCAGCATCTGTTGCAATCATTATTGGAGTTTTCTGGATATTTTTAGACTCTCTTTCACTTAATCAAATTTAATGCAGCCTGTAATTTCAGAAGTATTGCTCTATCCCTCAGCTGCTGGAGTATCAGCACAATATGTGCAGCAATCCAGTTAGTCTAAACAGTAGCCTTCACTTTTGCAGAAGTCAGGGGATTTATATAGCAATATTGCTGACAGAGTTATATAAAATGCCTAATGAGTTACCTTACTTGGCCTCAATCTCACAGAATCATCAAGAAATTTCAGCTGAGACAAGCTGCTCCACTCTTTAGATATTCCAGTTTTCTCTTTTTTGGATGGCGATTGGTGGTTTGAAGTTGCCAACAAAGGAATATCTGCAAACAATAAAACTAGAAATCAAAATTGACTGTTTTTTTATATATTAAACCTTTTGGACAGTGGATATTTTAAAGCATTGAAAAATGGCAACATTTTCCACAGCCTACTCTCCAGGTGTTTTGGACCAACTCCTACAATTCCTAACAGCCTTAGGCCCCTGAGGTCAGGAATTGTGGGAATTGAAGTCCAAACACCTAGATGGCCAAAGTTTGCCCATGCCTGCTCTAACATCCGTACAACTGCCTTTGCTTAGCTGTTTGGGCTCACCATCTTCTCCAGGTACAATAAAGGATTCAGGGGTTCTTTGGGGCAATGGAGGAGGAATGTCTTCGTCCAGATGGGGGGAACCTAGTAATCCAAAAGACAGAAAGTCAGAAACAACTTGAAGGCACACAACAACAATCGGCACAGTTGTTTCCCGTAAGATTTGTTCATATTTCTGAAAACCTGAATGTCTGAAAAGGGGAGCACAACATGTTACGAAGTCTCACCTTGCAGATGTATAATAATATTTAATAGGATATTTTTTTAATAATTGTTTTTAAAAGTAACCACAGGATGGCACTGGGGTTGGTGGCTTCTTTGAGACATGCACAAATACTGTGCCTCCAAAGTTCACCTTTCAAGGAAGGTGAATAACTCATTTGCATTGCTTATCCCCAGTTGAAAATTTTTCAAGACAAATGTATTTCATTTAATAGTTTGGTTAAGTTTGAAATTGCAAAATATGAAGGTAATGCTTTGATATGGCATACTCCAAATTTACTCTGGCGCAGCCTCACTTCAGTGTCTACACTTGCTAGATTGTGTAAAGTGGTCCTAGTTTCCATCGGTTGCTGTACATACACTGATCAGAAAGCTCATTTACTTTTGTCAGGAAACTTGTCAACATTGCAAAACCCTGTCTTATGCTAATAATATTTTCTGTTGCTCTTTTTTCTGACATCGGGGAAGACTTTTTGGTTTACTCCTATCTTTGACGATTAACTTGGTCTTTTAATTGGGTCTTTTAATTGGAGCTTGCTATGCTTTGAACAATATTATGTTACAACTGTCTTTTTTGACTTCTAAATTAATGGTTAGGCTTTTTAAAGCTTCTGTTTTATCAATTGCCTTGACTGTATCTTTTTTCAAGTTATGTCTTGAATTCCATTTTGGGAGGAAGTCATGGAATTAATCAATCAATTTGGGTGGACAACTTTGGGGACAGACATTTGTGGTCAATAGTCTACCATGAGACCCTCTGAGGGCTATGTGGACTTCCAAAAATGTTAAACTAACTACAACACTAAGCATGTCTATAAACCCAGTTCTGATTTTGAAATAAAGTGGCCTCTTAATATCAAACCATGCCCGGGGGGTGGGGGTGGGGTACTCAGAACAAACATGTAGGAGAGGGAATTTACCCTTTTTTGCCCAGAAAAAGTGTGTTTGGAGTGACAAAGGCTTCAAAAACAGGCATGGGAGCTGGGTGCACCTCAGGGCCACACTTTGCTCACCCTTGACAAAAATAATGAAATGAAGAGGCTCACAGATAGTTCACATTTTCCATATGAAAAAACTGCTAGTTTTCCACTTAATTTTTTCATCCATGTACTAGCTATTACAAGTCCGGTTTGTCATTTAATTTGATAAGACAAAGCAATTGCAAGAGTCCATGGGTTTTTAAAAAAAAGGACTTTAAATTCCTTATGCAGCCTTCCCAAATCTAAGTCTCTCCAGATATTATGAATGACAACTCTCACCAGTACTCCGGCAGCCATGGCCTACCATGATGAGAGTTGTAGTCCAAAACATATGGATGGGAAAACCAGATTGGAAAAATTGGTCTTAAGCAATGCCTGTTAACATTTCTTTATGATATCATACAAACTGTAGGTGAACCATAGAGGGAATGGTGGCTTTAAGCATATTTTACATCGGCCACACAACCGTTTGGCATCACAAGATCCTCTCTTGTCAAAGTTGACCCCACAAGGAATATCTGTTTGTTACTCCACCTTCTCATGGCCTTACTCTGGCAAGTGGATTCCACTGTGTCCAAAAGCTGAGGATGTTGTGTCTGGGAACTGGACAATTGACGGCTTGGGTCTGTGCCATCCAAGGACTGGGCTGCAAAGTCCACAGCCTGGGAAACTGAGGAAACCATTTCAGGTGGACCCACAGCAGAGTCAAGAAGTGCAGGGGAACTGGGCTCCTCTGATGAAAGAGAGGAAAAGTAAGGATCTTCTGATGAGCAGGTACATCGCTGATGGCGCACTTTCTTGAATATACAATGCTGCGTGTTGCTGGGTAGTTTATTTGAAGGGCTTAAGTCAAGGTCCGGAGAGGAATCAAGGTTGTTTCTTGTCATCATTTGGGATGTTTTTTGCGATGCTAACTCAAAAGGGGTTGATTTGGTCCGTGTGAGAGGCACCTTCGTATCTAAGTTTATCATAGTTTCACCTTCAGATTTCAAAGGGAGAAGCATTTCTCCCCAACCTAGATTGTCAAAGTCCACACTGCGATGTTTAAGTAGTGGCTGTTTTGTTGACCAAGAGTGCAATTCTGTTGTGGGGCCCATGTTTTTGCTTGTGATGAAATTCAAGGATCTCATAAAAAGTGCTTGTCTAACTGGACAAGCATCATCTCCAGAATGGCCTTGTTTGTCCAAGTCCCATACATTGTTATCAGGACACTGAGGTTTCTTCTCTTCCCCTTGCAGTGAACTGCAAGAAAGATAACATGATTTTCAGAGCAAATCTTGTACAAGAGGGTTCTTCTTCATGTATGTAAAGCTGTAGAATATTGTGTAATTTCCAAATTACTTTCCTCATATAGAAAAACAGACCCATACTTGTTTCTTTATTGAGTTATACCAAGTCTTGGGGCACAAATATTTCCACATTGTAGAAAACAATTAAAATCGACATTTATCTCCTTAACAATCCATTTAAAAAGCTGCTTAAAGGAAGCTGAAGGAAATGCTTCTACATGACGTGACCAAAGCAATTCAATTACACATAATTATTTTCAGCAGCTGTCCCCCAGAAGAGCTGCTTCTTTATTATATGACAGATGTAATTAATATTCATGAATGATATATAAAATGAATGATTTTCACTTTTTTTCTAGGGTAATTTCTTATACATATAGAAGCATGTAATTGTTTGGCACAGAGCTCTTGTCAAACAAGTTGAAAAGATAGTCACTTCTCAATAAGCAAAGTTAGAGATCCAAGTTTCACTTCTATAAGTTTTGAGGAACGTCCACTGTCAGACATTATTCCCTATGAATTTCTATGCTAGGGAAAAGTTGAGCAGGAGTGGAGGATCACATGAAAAAGAGACGAATATAAATGGCTTTGTATCCATATCTCATTTGCCCTCAATACAGCTTAAAAAGACGGATTATTATTGTTGTTGTTATTGTTATTATTTATTTTATTTATATACTGCCTTTCTCACCCTTGAGGGGACTCAAGGTGGTTTACAACATACTAATGGCAAATATTCAATGTCAACATACATTACACAAGAAATCATAGTAACAAATTACAATATATAACTATGAGCTTAAATTCAATTAAAACCATTAAGCATAAGACATACATAGAATTTAAACATTCAGACAAAGCATAAAATCATCCTAGTATAAACATTAAAATCCTATGAAATCAGATAACATAGCCATTCCGAATTGGAATGCACATGTTCCTTAATTGTTCCTTGTACTGCATTATTTATTAGTCAAAGGCTTGATCCTACAACCACATCTTTGTTTTCTTTCTAAAGGCCAGGAGGGAGGGCGCTGATATAATCTCGCTGGGGTGAGAGTTCCAGAGTCGAGGAACCACCACAGAGAAGGCCCTGTCATCCCCACCAACCGTGATCGAGGCAGGATTGAGAGCAGGGGCCCCCAGATGATCTTAACCTCCCTGACAGTTCATAGAGAGGAATACATCTGACAGGTTCAGATGGATGGACTTTTACTATCCCCAGTTGGGTATTGCTATATCTCATGCATTCCAATAGGAGGATAGGATAGTGCATGTTAACTTCCCCATTGAGATAACTGAGATTTACAATGTATTGAGAAATATATTCTGTGAAGTTCAATGAGACTTAATTCCAGCTCTCTATGGCATTGTGGTCACACAAGAGTTAACTTTATGTGCTAAGATTGATAATTATTCCTATTCTTACCTGCTCAGCTGTTTCAGAAAAGAAGTTTCCATAAATGGAGCATGGAGTTCTTTCACTGTTGTTTGGTTGGTTTCAGTCTGCCAAAAGTAAAAAGGTATGGTATTACAGACCTGCGTGACTAGAACACTGGACTAAACCTATGAGTTGGAACACTTACACGACAAAGTAAGAAGGGTTGCTGCAACAGTGTTACTACTAAACAGATGTTATATTTAAAATAACAAGTAAGTCCACAGGTGCATGTTTAGACTAAAGATGGATCTCAGATCTGAAAAGACTGCATTCAAATTTTATGTCCAGAAATAGGAAGGTTATTAACAATCATAATGGGAAAAATATGCTAAACCAAAACTACATGAATGAATCTTGTGTCAGTCTTTGCAATGCATCAGAGATTCACTTGCATGCTCAAGGATTTCTCAAACCATTCCTGATAAGATGTGAATAATATTTCAGCTGCCTTTATTTGTTATGTAAAACTTCTTGCACATTTCCCATCTAGTGGCAAATAGAGGCCACTGAAAGAAATCAGTCAATTAAACAAGTAATCAAACTTTACTTATATCCCACTCCATGTCCTCATGGAGACTGAGGGCGGCTAACAACATAAAAGGCAAACATTCAGTGCCAGAAAAATAAACAACAAATTAGGCAACGTAAGTAAATAGTATAAAACATTCAATCATAAAAACAATCACAATAACAGACCAATAAAACACATTTCACAGTATCAATAAAGACAAAATTAAAAGGCATATCCATAGTCCGGTCGTTATTTGGTAAGGCCAGATCTTTGGCTCTCCATAAGCCTGGAAGCAAAGAAAGGTTGTGATGCAGTCTTTCCTGATAATTCATAGATCGTTCACTCAGTTTATTTCTTATAATTAATGTGAAATTCCTTTTCTTTGTCATATAACTCATTGTAATATGTGTTGTTGAAGACTTTCATGATTGGAATCACTGGGGTGCTGTGAGTTTTCCAGGCTGTGTGGCCATGTTCCAGAAGCATTCTCTCCTGATGCTTCGCCCATATCTGTGGCAGACATCCTCAGAGGTTGTGAGGTATATTTGAAACTAGGCAAGGGTGGTTTTGGTATCTGTGGAGGGTCCAGGGTGAGAGAAACAACTCTTGTCTGTTGAAGGCAAGTGTGAATGTTGCAATTAATTACCTTGATTATATTCCACAGATATATAAATCTCCCTTGCCTAGTTTCCAATATACCTCACAACCTCTGAGGGTGCCTGCCACATATGTGGGCAAAACAACAGGAGAGAATGTTTCTGGAACATGGCCGTACAGCCCAGAAAACTAACAGCAACTCATTGTAATATGTTTTGCTTTCCGGATGACAACTCAGAATGTTGTCTGTTGTCAGAATGAAAGCTGCTTAATTTTTTTCATGTGTTATGCATGTTTTTAAGACAGGAGTGGGAATCATGCAGCATTGTGGATGTCGTTGGCCTGCAACTCCCTATATTTCTCATTATTGGCTAGGCTGGACATGAAACAACATTTGGTGATTCATATAATTCTTATCCATGTATTAGGGCAATCTACATGGCAAAAAGCTATTGGAGTTATAGCCACATAAGGTCTCTGTGGCAGCTTCCAGAGAGTAGGTACAATGGACAATTGTCTACAATTTGTATAGATATAATTGGATTGTTCTCTTGCACACAGTGAACATTATATACATAGGATCCAGGCCTGTAGCGAGGGGTTTTTTTTAGGGGTTCACTCCCCCCCCCCCGAAATTTTTCAGGTTAAAAAAAAAAACCTGGTTTACTCATGAATTTTAACTGGTTAACCAAATCCCCATGCTAAGTCTATGAGACGCAAAAAATTAAGAGTCCCTCCAGATCTGCAAGCACTATCTCAAGCAAATATTGACAATTTATTCACACTGTCATTACTTGCAACAATAGCCGATGTAGCAAAGCAACCAAGTTGGGGGGGGGGGMGTGTTGAATGCTCTCATTAAGGAGGCCAGACTTGGTGGAGGTGGTTGYCAGGGGCAGAGCTGCAGGCTATTGAAGGCTGCTCTGCCCCTGGTGTGCTCTTTGCTTCAGCGTGAGCTAAGAAGCAGGTTTCAACTCCTCCCCTGAAATTTTCAACCCCCCTCCAAAAAATTTCAAAACTCTCCCCCCCCCACCTGAAATTTTCAACCCTCCCCGAATTTTTTTTCTGGCTACGGCCCTGATAGGATCACACAGTTCTTGTATGATACACTCATATCTTCCCAAATCTCCCACTCCCTTCAATGTCATCTGGGGTTCCTCCTCTTAACTGATACCTCTGAGCTTACTTGGCAGTGAAAGCAACAGTGCTCCAGAGGAGCTTGGAAATTTCCAGTGCCCCAGGACACCGAACTTAATGTCATTCTGAGAAAACCGAAATAAATTAAAATGGTATCTCCCAGATCCAGTTACCTTGTGCAGAGCCGGATCTACATGTTGAGGAATCGGGTTTGTATTATATTGTTTTTGTCCTATTTTCTTCCAGAAGGAAATTGTAGTTAGTTATCTTAGCTGGACAGGTGTTAATGTCTGATTGATTCTTTGTCCTTTCTAGCTATGATTAAGACTATGAATAAGTTCCTTCTTTAAAAGGAATGGTTTCCTGAAATGGATAGTGTCAACCACAATAAGTGTGTGTGTGAACATGCATGCCTTCAAGTTGTATGTCAACCTTATCAATTTCACAGGTCTTTCTTAGGGCCCTTCCATACAGCCCTATATCCCACAATATCAAGACATAAAAGGGCTATGTGGAAGGGCCTTTGGTGATGAGTAAATATTAGTGCTAAACACATTCTTAACCACATTAAGGGAGCATAATTTAAGAAAGCCCTATCTTCGTATGAACATATGGAACGTTACAGGTGTTTGGAGAATAACAAATTAGAATCTCTCCTCAGAAGTAGATGCTGACCAATGGCTTTCAGATACACTGTCCTGCAGCAAATACATATTCATATATACATGCCCTGGTGAACACTTATTAAAAATCCATGAGATGGTAACAATAGTAAAAAGTCATTGGAAAGCCTTTGACAATACAGTAATTTGTATCTTTATCAACGTCCTACAAAAATAGCACTGACTATAAAAGGTGGTGACAGACTAGAAAATAAGATACAAGTTTTATGTAAGGGGATGTATAGCTTCTTCCAGCAAATATTCTTATGTTCATCAGATCTCCACAATTTTTGGCCCACACTTTTCCCTGACTTCAAGTAAAAGGGGATCATAGGTCCACAAAACAGCTTTCTCCTGGTGGGATTGATGTTCAAATAGTCTCCTTCCACTCGTGGAGGTTGAGGCAAGTGTGCATCAAATGTCTATGTAAGTAAATTCTACAAATCTCACAAATCAGCATTCTGCCAGGGATTTCATATTATTGCTTGGTTGAGCTAAACAAGGTAGGGATGTGTTGTCAAAGGCTTTAATGGCCAGAATCACTGAATTGCTGTGAGTTTTTCGGGCTGTATGGCCTTGTTCCAGAAGCATTTTCTCCTAACGTTTCAGCTGTATCTGTGGCCTGCATCTTCAGAGGTTCTGAAGATGCCAGCCACAGATGAAGGCAAATTGTCAGGAGAAAATGCTACTGGAACATGGCCATACAGCCCAAGGTAGGGGTGTTTGGGGCATTTTAACTAATTTCATCCTCAAACTCCATTTGTGGTGCAATGTTTATTCAAAGCCCCCCTTTTAGCAGCTCTAAAGAGCTGTAAAAATAAATAGCCAAGATCTGCTAAACCACATCCTGATTGAATAGCTTTGTGTGTAAACCTGGCTGCATTCCTGTCAGGCCACAGTGGTGCGTGTAATATATGAGAAAGCAAATGAATCGCCCCACTTAAGGCGAGAGGCTTCTGCAAACAAAATAACAAGCTAAAAGAGGAAGAGTAGGTGGTCCGTTGTTGATCAGAGGGATCAAGTCCAAAGTTCAAAATCAGAATTTAACCTTAATTGTGTTGTTGTAAGTTTTTCGGGCTGTATGGCCATGTTCCAGAAGCATTCTCTCCTGATGTTTTGCCTGCATCTATGGCAGGCATCCTCAGAGGTTGTCACAACCCAGTGATTCCGGTCATGAAAGCCTCAAAGAATACATTAACCTTAATTGTTTTATGGAAATTGATTAATAATGGAAGTCAAATTTTGCCATTACAAGATGTTTCACATGATCATATCTTAATTAGTCTATGGGAGAACTTTAGAGATGGCATTAGAAACTCATTTTAGTCTCTCCTGAGTTGTGTGTTCTTCCCATTAGTCACTTTTGTCCATTTTGACCACAATCTGTTATTACTTTCCCCTCTGTGTCCCAGTGAAATGAGTTGGAGGTACAAATGTACCTCTAGTAGGAACAACAGGAGAGAACCTTCTCAGTGACTACTCCTTCCCTAGAGTTCTGGTTTCCTCTTGGCTATCCTTCTGTGGAAAGGTGAAGATCTTTTTTGTTTCAGCAGACTTTTAATAGCTGAATGCCAAGGGAAAAAAGGGACTTTTCAGAATGTATTCTTGTGTTCATTTTAATAGCCATGTTTTTAACTTCTTTAATTCTCTTGTTAATTGTATTTTAATTTTTTTGTATAATACAAAGTTTAAATTTATGCAAGTTTTAACCTTTGTAAGCTGCTTTGATTCCCAGATTGGTGATCATGAATATGATGATACTGCCAAGCTGAAATCAAGTTATGTAGAGGATCTTTTCATCGGTCACTCCAAGACTGTGGAATGATGAGTTGTTGGAATTTAAAACACAATTGAAGACCTATCTCTTCCGGAAGCCTAAACAGTCAGATTTAACTTTGAATTTTAAATTCCCATTCTATGTTTATTATGTTTTAATTTTATTCCATATATTCTAATACATGTATTTTATAGAAATACTAGCTGTCCCCTGCCACACATTGCTGTGGCCCAGTCTCGTGCGRTGGAAAAGAAAGTAATGGTTTCTAATCTATGTAATTTCTTTATGTTTGTAGGTAAATGATATTTCTTCTTGTTTCTTTGTCAGTGTTGATGTGGAGAGTGTCTGGTTTGCCTACTCTGGAATATGCAACATATCACTGTCCTTCTTTAGGGTTCCRTTTCAAATCTATYATACTATATCTCTCTGTGTGTSAATCATATATATATCTATKTATATCTATGGCTGGATGGCTCTTTGTCAGGAGGGCTTTGATTAGATTTTCTTGCCCTGGTGAAGGGAGTTGGACTGGATGGCCTTAAGTATTTTCTGTTGGTCATGGGGGTTCTGTGTGGAAAGTTTMCCCCAATTCTGTCGTTTGTGGGGTTCAGGACGCTCTTTGATTGTAGGTGACCTATAAATCCCAGTAACTACAACTTCCAAATTTCAAGGTCTATMTTCCCCAAACGCCATCTGTGTTCATATTTGGACATATGGAATATTCATGGCAAGTTTGGTCCAAATCCATCATTGTCTGAGCCCAAAGTGCGCTCTGGATGTAGGTGAACTACAACTCCCAAACCCAAGGTCAATGCTCACCAAACCCTTCTAGTGTTTTCTGTTGGTCATGGGAGTCCTGTTATACCACGTTTGGTTCAATTCCATTGTTGGTGGGGTTCAGAATGCTCTTTGATTGTAGGTGAACTATAAATCCCAGCAACTACAACTCCCAAATGACAAAATCAAAAATTTTTGAGTGAAGGACATACATTGGGTTGTATGCTGTCCAAATTTGGTATCAATTCCCCCAGTGGTTTTTGAGTTCTGTTAATATCACAAACGAACATTACATTTTTATTTATATAGATGTTTTAATATGTGTTTTTATGGAATGTCTTTTGGTATTAATTAGTTTTAGCTATATTGTGCCCTGCCTCGAGCCATAAGGAGAGGTGAATAATAAATAAAAATGTGTTGTTGTTGTTGTTGTCGTCATCATGTGCAATCCTGAACTTACTTGGAGACCCTCACATCAAAATAGGACTAAAAACTTTTGTTTTAACTTAGATTTAACCTGAGTAACATATTAGTCCAAAAGCAGGTAGAGGACTTGGGAAAATCTGCATGCAAAAAAGAATGAGTTGCTGCTTCTGTGGCTTGATTCATATCTTTGTTTAAGCACACAGCCCAGCAAAGACCTTTAAAGCACTTCCTGTGCTACCTCTGGTGGAAAAACTGTCATGAGGGCAAGCTGTGTGTGTTTGTGGTTAAGGCCCAGCGTTAACACTTACCTCAACAGCAACCGCATCAGAATGATCGGGGCATGTGTCAATTTGCCTTTGAAAGAGCTCAATCACAGCGTCATAGACCAACTTATATTGCTCCTGAAAAATCACATCAAAGAATCACATGAAGATATGCCTGTTTTGCTAATTTTGTTTCTCTGTTACATAGGTCTGGGCTGTTCAACACAGTCAAAAAATTGTATTGATCATTTCTTGGATGTAAGCTAAGGTTATACTGGTCATACTTCCTCAAGTTGGTTGGAGACGTACATTTGATTGCTGGGTTTAGGCAATGCAGAAGTAAAACGGAAGCTTCTGCAATGCTCTGTTCCCTCAACAGGAACTAAAGTACCGGTAAAAGTTTACATGAGAAGATCTGAAAACATTTCGAGTAACTCAGGAAGTTCATTTTGAGAACAGATAATTTGATTATTGATATTTTTCCAAAAAGGGGTTTGTTTGTTTTTTTGGCAATGATATGAGCACTTGTGTACCTTGAGATACATGAGATATCCACAAATCACTTTTGTGTACCTTGCATGTCTCCTTTCTCAGGGAACCCATTCCTTTGATGTCTCCCCAGAAAGCATCCCATTATGATAAAGACAACTTTCTCATTATTGCACCATTCAAGATTTTCCTTCATCACAACACTGCAGTGGCTGTACAGCACAAACAAACAAGCTTCTCAAGATTTGAGTTATTATCACTATTAATTGAACAACCAAAATCTTTTCAACATACCTGGGTCTGCACTAATAAGGGCCGCTGTGTACGCATGTCCTGAATCATATTGAAAATGCTGAAGTTTATTGGGAGAATCTTAGGATGAAAAAAAAACAAAACAAAGACTCTAAGTGATGGGAAACAGCAAGTCCAAATCATGGCACTGAATTTCATAATTACCTTAATCTTGTAGGCTCGCAGAGGTTCCCAACCTTTGGTCCTTCAGGTGTTTTGGACTTCAACTCTCAGCTGTTAGGAATTGTGGAAGATGAAGTCCAAAACACCTGGAGAACCATAGCTTGGGAACCACTGCTGTAGAGAAACTCCCTCGATTCTCATTTTTTTGGGAGAAAAGCAAGATATAAATGATGCTAAATAAGAACATCACCAGTAATTCCCTTTACTTTGAAAGTCAGCCCTCCATATCCGCTGGGGTTAGGGGCTTCTGCCAGAAGTTGACCACAGAGTTTTACTGGAGGACTTAAGACATTCCTACAGAAACTATATTCACAAAAGTTAAATCCACAAATCCGCTTGCTAATGCTCTGGCAGAAGCTGACCATAGAGTTATAGTGAGAGAGAGCATATTACTCAAATCCAATAGCATTCAGTGCAACACATTTCCCATAATGTGGACAAAAAACTGGGCAGCTAATTCTTTGCAGTAATTGGCCTGACACACAGGCAAAAGAACGAGGTATTCCATTGAAGTTTTAGGGAAATAAAACACTCACCCCATCTTTTACCAGAGTCCTTGTGTAGTCAATGGCACAGATGACTCCGGTTCGCCCACAGCCCGCACTGAAGAAAATATATTTGATAAATTACTAGGAGAGGGGAAAGAATAGTTCCTATTCCCACTTACTTACTTACTTACTTACTTACATAATTTGTATACCGCTTTTCTCACCCTGGGGAAGGTGGACTCAAAGCTTTTCCCAACATATTTATGGCAAAATGTAATGCCTCACATACATATAAAACCTAACAATCCATGCAATATTCTTTTTTTTCCCTTCTCCAGTACATAAAAACGTTACTTTAAATTTGCTATTCCTTATTGCACTAGTCAAATAGCAAGCAAATGTATCTACTTATGTTTGGTTCCTATCTTTACAACCACCTGTGTTTGCTCCAGCCATTACTTACTATAGCCTTTAATTAGAAATGCATACTGTGCTGCTGTGTTGGGGGGGGGGGGAGTACCAATGTAATTGATTTATTTCTAATGAATGCTATATTGGCAAAACAGGTATTAAGTGTCCAATTTTTAAATATTTTTTCTAAATGATTTTTTCTAAATGATTTGGGATCTGCTCTTTCTAAAGAATTCCTTCTATCTGATCCTGCCTGCAATATAAATTTACAATTGAGGGCACTTTATTTGTCCCATGCTTTGAGGAGGGTGTGTTGATAAATGTACAAAGCAGGGCCTTCCCCACAGCTGCACCCTTATTATAGAAACGCCACCCCAAACAAGACAAGACTGGTCCCTTCATGGTTCTTTTTTAGACACCATGTATTCAGGCTTTTCATGTTTTAATGGTAAGTTGGGTTTTTCATATTATGTTCTTTAATCAGCATACACTTGAGTGAAGCAACTGATACTGAGTGAATTTGTGCAATGTTTTCTAACCCCAATGAGAATTCCACTGTAATGAGGGATATAATGTACATTTCTTGTATTTCCCAGTGTCAATGGGGTTTCCACTGTCTTTCTGAATAGGGCCAATTTATGTCACTTCTGCTTTGCTGAAACATGGTTTAAAAATGCAAAGTATCCTAAGGCAAAGGCAGTAGATAACTGGGATTTCTTTTTGTTCCACTTTGTTGCTTTGTTTGTAAAAATATACAGTGCTAGTGATTGAAACATTAGGAAATTGTTTATTGACAATAATGGAGAATCTCTATATCACATGTCTAATTCTGTATGGCTTCTATAAGAAATCAGGTCTCTGAGAGACTTAAATAGGAAACAGTTTCAGCAATCAAATCAACCGAAGTCCTCCCCTCATAGAGCTGTATCTCAGATATGCAGCTCATCCCATGACTTCCAAGATTATCTGATTTGCACTGACAGACACATCATTTTGTAAGATATCACGTACGTCTGCCAAAGAACCATGACTATAGCAAAGATGGCATCTGAGGGAAATGAGGACACAGTTTTGCCTTTGGATTTGTTATTCGTGTTTAATCGCTAGCTTATTAGATTCTCATGACAAGCTTTCAATAGCGACACTGTTTGATGCTTTGGAAGAAAACAAACACCCCAATTACACTCCAGACCTTGCAATTGTACATAATAAATGCCTACTGAGCACAGAAAGTAACAGTCTACCTCCAGGGGTTAGAATACTGTTGACTGAGAACTTGCATTAAATTCCTATAGTCTTCTGGGCATAATGTAAAACATTTATTTCCACCCATAAAGTTGTAAATGGCCCCAGACATGGAAAACACTGTGTTCTCTCCTTGGTACCATAATAATGGCCCAATTTGCACATAATGGTAAAACAGAATTTTAAAAATTAGTATGAACTGTGCTTTTTGTGTGTTTTTTAAGACTTCTGATAGTTTCTTTTTAAACAATCCTCCAAGTGGTCCTCATCAGGTTCAAAATGTTTCTGTCTACTTAGGCAAGACTTGTTAGATCTTGTTGGTTTCACTTTACATACATATGCTCTTTTGAGTAAAGAGTTTGCTGAAACATGCTGAACTAATAGTCATCTCTGTGGTATACTTCCTTAATTTTATTTATTTGTTTGTTTGTTTATTTAAAACATTCATATTCTGCCCTTCTCACCCCAAAGGGGACTCATGGAAGAGCATAACATACAAATGGCAAACATTCAATGCCAGGACATGAATTCATTATATGCATACATAAACATTAAAAACATTTGTTTATATCCACATTTGTTATCATGTCTGTCTGTTTTTCTATTTTATATGCTGTCTTTCTCCCAAAGAGGGAAGTAATGAACACATATACTTTGTTAACCAAGCCATATCAGTATTATTACTAATAAATGTGCTATACAGAAATATATGTATCATATTTACAAAAGAAACTACTAGTATATTTCATTTTAAAAGGTTTCTGAATTTATAGACTGCAGAATTAAACTACTGTATGAGTTCCCATGTGTGCATGATGGAGTGAGTAGATAACAGGAGCCTGAGAACAGAATGTAACAAAGAAGCATGGAAACTAATCAAGGCAAGGAATCAGTAGAGAGGAGAGGTTACATTTTTAAAAATGCAGAGATAAGGGCTTACATTATCACAGTAGGCTTTAGCACCCAAAGGGTCACTCTAGGCTTGTTTGCATTTGCTGTTCAGCTGTAAAAGGGCATATCTGTGTTGTTGTAATTTTTTAAAAAAGATGTTCTCCATTGCCAAGCAGCCTCACCTGCAGTGCACACAAATAGGTGCATCAGCATGCCCTTGGTAGTACCGCATCTCCTCTATGAGCTGAAGAATTGGATCAATTGAAGAAGGGACATCATGATCTGGCCAATGTTTATAATGAAAATGATAGACAGTCCTGATTTCCTACAAAAGGCACAAAAAGAGAAGATTAGTAATTCGTTTCTGTGTTGCAGGGGAAAATTTCAAAGCCCAGTTCAGCCATGTTCCAAAGGAGAATACAAACATTCAGGCGGATGTGTTGATCCATATCAACAAACAATTCTAGCAGTTTTCTCCATCCTCATGCTTTGAGCTCTGGCTCTATTTGCAACACAAATTGCTTGATTGAACATGGTTTGAATTATATGAGAGTGGAGAATGTAGTGGGTGTTTAACTAATTACTGTGAGTGCATATCAATGGGTAGCCTTTTGTGGGGAGAATGTTAAGATGTATTGAGCACTCTGCACATCTGTAAAGAATCAAACTCTACCTAGATCATATGATTCAGCACAGATATTTAATTATGGAAGTCTCTGTTTTCTAAGCCTCAGTCTTATTCATGTTTACACTGAATAAGAGCACCTTTACACAAAAGATGAATCCCACGGAATTCAGATGGGCTCAGGCATGTGGATTCTGGTTTCAATTCCACATTGGACAGAAAAAACGATAAATAAAAAAGACACATAAATAAATTCTGGTTAATGCCAGTTATTAATACCAAATGGACTAGACTGCTTGTCCCAATATCAATTATACTCTGGAGATTAGTTCATACTTTAAAAGAACCATCCAAGATGTTGAATTTGGGGAATAGCGTTCAGCAAATTGTATAGCTTCTTTGATGTTCAGACTGCAACCCAAAGGAGATTCACCACTGTATCTGGTACAAGATTGTAACTTTAATGTGAAGACATTGGTATAAATTGAATTGTTACAGTTCCTGCTAGCTTGCAAGCTCTTGGAATTATAATATACAGCTCCCTATTCTATTCCAGTCTCACACTAGTTTTAGAAACTGCTGGACAGGAATAACAAAGTAATTCACAGAAATGCATTGGCCAATGACATCACCAAGATCTACTTTTGCCATGTTGATGATTTACCCTTTTGATGTGGAGCACCCCTAGCAAGCCCACTGTATGTTCCCATCTGCTTAGGCTGTCCCACACTTACACTGCCATTCAGTTTGACTTTCAGAATACGAATCATGTAGTCACTTCTCTTTTCTTCAGCCTCCTATAGAAAAAAAGCAAACCAGTATGACATTTGGACAGCAATTATTTCCATAAAGCAGAACGCAGACTATGAATTTAAAGGAGCAAGGGAGGAAATATACCCACACAAAAAAGAGTAAAGGGGCCCAACTGGAGCAGAGACTCATCTACGTCCACCCAGTATCGTTCACATTTTTTCTGTTGGAGAAAAAGAGAAGGAGGCTGTGGTTATCTGTCTTCCTGCCCTGTCAACTCTCACACCTTCCCCAGTACAACAAGAATTTCCACCCAGCGAAAGCTTCATACACACAACTGACACCTAAGGGAATTGTGTAGCTGCTCTCAGACATAACTTTATAGTATTCACCTCAGACCACTCATTCTACTTGCAAATGAACCTAAACCCTAAAAATGGTTGGTGGTTCTAGACCAAGTATGGGCAAACTTTGGCCCTCCAGGTGTTTTGGACTTCAACTCCCACCATTCCTAACAGTCTCAGGCCCTTTCCTTTTCCTCCTCAGCCGCTTAAGCTTGCTCATGCCTGTTCTAGACCTTAGATATGATGTATGAATGGAACTCCCTCTGTCTCTTCCCATTGAATCAGGCTTTACTAAACAATGGAGAAAACATAATATATAATGAGGACCAGAAGCTAGAAAGGCTTTTGTAAAAGACTTAAAAGAAGAGGTTAAAGCTATATATATATATATATACACACACACACACACACACACTTTTACAAAAGTATAATGGAGGAGGCTAGATTTGAATCATACTCCAATTATTTATTTTTAAAATTAAGAAAAGGGCCCCCATGACTATCAAAACAAAATGTGTTTAATACTTGTATTAAATATATTATGCAGAACTATACAGAATTCTGGCCAGTGCTTGAAAAGACCTAAATTTTGCCATGATGCATAAGTTATGCCACCTTTGACACAATACTTACTTTTCCCATTTCAAATTCCATACAAGCCATAACTATAACCTGGAGGGATAGAAAAGAATGTTTTAAGTGTCACAAGCAAAAATATTAATTTTCTAATGGTGTTACTCCTTTAAAAAACTTATTGGAAGCAATAATCATTTCGGGGAAAACTTGTCATGTATATGTTTAGATTTATATGTATTTACAAAAATATCTTCCCTATGTAGCTGTCTATCTGAGATCCTGGGAAATAAACAATAAGTAGAAACATTTGCTTGATTTTCCTTTGTGTGCTGGAACATTTTATTGATATGTGCGGATTAAGTGTTTTTAAAACAATTGAAAATTATAGTCTATTTTTTTATTTATGTTTAAGTCCAAAGGGCTGGACATCATTCAGGATTTGCTAGTGCTACTGTGATTGATCTTTTACTGTTTCCAGTGCCAAGAACCTTTCATAATGTATCAAAGGAGAAGAGCTGTAGAATATAAATATCATCAGGAACATTTTTTGTAAAAATATTCATGAATGCAAGACAGCAGCCTGGAAACAACAGCAGCAGAGATTATCAGACCACAATAGGTGTGAACTATGGTCAGCCACACTGATAGGTGTGAACATTTCCCCATTCTAAGATGACATGATTTCTCCTATCTTTCACCAAAATCCTCAAATTCCACACTGTGCAGTGCAGTTGTCTCTTTGGCTTATTGCTGTTTTATTGGATCTTTGAGAAAATCTGATTTTCAGTGAGTTCCTGGCTGTCAGCCTTATTCATTACAAGTATCTGCAAGGTCTTGTTTGGCTTGGTTAAGGCCAAAAGCTTTCACTAGTTGGAAATATTCTTCCTCAAAAGTCCTGTGCAAGCACATATGCAGGCCAGGTGATGCAAGGCATTCCCTCTAACTGTACATTTCATAGGTGAAAACTGAAACATGGCGGCCAGGGAACATCAGAGAATACTCAAGTTAGTAATGAGTAAACGTCAGCTAGGATCAGCTGCAACAGTTTGCTTTTGCCCTAAATCTACAGGGAAAACCAAAGTTTCACCCCCTCCTTTCCATCTTCCCCTTCTGAGTTAACGGAAGGCAAGCAAGCTACTGTTGCCCTTTGATTTGTGTTTGCAGGTAATTGAAGTAAGCCAAGGACAAAGGAGGGAAAGTAGCAGGATGAGAAAAAAACAGGGACATTTTAAAAACTATTGAAAAAGTAGGACAACAGAGAATTACTTGAGACTGTTTCGGCTAAATCAAGACAGTTGGAATGTATGAATAAGTTCTGGATTTTAGGCTCTTTAACTGGCTACCATGGGTAATGGGAATCAAGCCATTTGTGCTGCAATGAATCTTTAAAACTAATTCTGTCCCTTATTTATTTTATCAGTTTTGCATCTTGTTTCAATGCCCTTGATTCTCTTATAGTGAGATCATTTGGTATCTGTATTTAGCCTAGATACACTTTTTTTTATTTTGATCCTCTTATATCATATTTTAATTGTACAGTACATTCTGGATGTACATAAACACCTCCTTTCTCCTTTAAAAACCACCCCCTAATTTAGTGTTGAGTATTTAATCCTAGATATTACCTGATATCCCCAGAGCTGGAGATGAAAGCTGGAGCCAGAAATAAAAGGGGAAGCCTTTGTATGTGTACTTGTGCTTCATTGTTTCAAGGCATTGGATGTTTGCCTGTGTCTGTATATGGAATCCTCCCTGAGTCCCCTTGGGAAGAAAGGGTGGAATATAAAGAAATAATAATAATAATCTCCATATGGCTCTAATTGTCCATATGCTAATTAGAAGGTTTTGCATAACTTCTTGGCTCCCAGAATCTTAGGAGGCTGAATGCAGATTTGTCCTCCACTGACTCAAGCAGAGTGGATGAACTGGAGAGCAGTAGAGGCATTATTTAGCTGGTCTGGGGTTTACCCATTTATGACATAAGACTCAGGTTCACTGGTCTGGATTCCTTGGCCTCCTATCTATTACAGGGGCATTTCCCACTTTCCATCAGAAATGACAGAATATAGATTTCATTACTTGTGAAATGTATGACCTTGGGTATGTTATTAAACTGAGAGTGGACTAGTTAGAATCAGAAAACCAGCAGACAGAAAGTGAGAAGTCTATAGACTAGTCTTTCTGTTTTTTTAATCTTGTTTTAGCATCTATGTTAAATATGTATACCTATGTATTTGTGTGTTTTATTTTTGTTTGTTTATATAGGTCTTTTTGTGTGTTACCATGTGTAGATTTTTGTACTAGTAAGAAAGTAGATTAGTAGGATATATATATATATACATACACTTTATGATGTGTTTGTTCACTTTATTATAGTTAGATTATGGTTTTTCCTTTCTATCAATAAAAATGGTAGCAAATAAAGAAAAGGCATGGCACCATTCATGATGTATTTGTGACATCAACTCTGAATTTCTAAAGCTGATGTTCTTGACCTTTTGTCTTTGAGGTCCTTTAGTCTTCATGTCCCAGAACCATGATACTCTGGGTATTCTGGATCTTAAGTCTCACTCATCTGGATGGCCAGACATTGAAAACCCCTGGTCTAAAGCATTTGTATTTTCTGAAACCTACACCAAGCTACACTCTTATAAAGCTACAAGAAATCCCTGAAGCGGAAAGGAACGATCTACTGCCCTGGGGAGCTTATTGGATCAATATGAGTGTTATTCAGCAAGTGGCAATTATTTTAACATAAGACTGAAAGAATACACAGTAGGCAGAAATTATTTGTATCCTACCAAGACTTTATACTCCCAAATCATCCTCCAGAAGTCCACTACAGTTGTGGAAAGAGGACCCTGGGTAGCGATGTATGTCCTTGGCTCATATACACCCTAAAAAGGAAAAAGACACAGAAATGCTGGTTTGTATAGCACTTTAGAAAGCATTCAGGTACACTCCAATCTGGAGTATTTTGCATTTACTCATGCTTCATAGAGAACAAATTCACAAATAATCAAATCCACAAAACCTAGAAAGGCGTGGGTCAACTGTTTTCTCAAAAACACATTTTCAAAGAGGAAGACGATGAGCTCCCTTTTGTTGGAGATTCCGAATAGTGCTTGGGAGGTCATCTATGAAGATGGATCTCCTATATCTTCAAGGGTTAGTGCATTCCAACTCTACAACTCTTTGATTTTATGGTCTCTTTATTAATCCATCTCACCATGGATCTCTTTGTTCAGAGAAGCACTTGGTCACACTATATTCTAAGTAGCTTGTAGATTATGCCTCTTATTCTTCACTGAGGAAAACTTTGATGAGAATTATGTGCTACAGCCAAGAGAACACAAGATCCATCATGTCTTACCTTGATAAAATTGGCATTGATATAATGAGAATCTTCATCTGATGTGATAAGGGAGAGCCTCACTCTGCTGTGATCATCTGAAAGAAACAAAAGAGAAAAAGGAATAAGTACCAGTTGCCCCAGATAAAGCAAATGAAGTTTTATGATGTTGTCTGAGGTTACTCTTAGGCGCTATTATACAAGGCAAGCCCAACTTAATAGGCCTTCCAAGCACTTGTATTCACATATACATTTCACATTTACATATACAATTAGCAAACTTTGGTATATGGAACAGAATGTAAAAATAAGAACAACAATCAGTAACATTGTCCAAGTAATTAAGTGGAAGGGTTTTCATCTCTAGTCTTCCTCTCTGAAGACTTTCACGTCACAGAATATCCCAGAACATTCATGTTTCTGGCTTTTCTATGCTATATCAACACATTGGAACAACAAGCTATTCCTGGTATATGTGTCATTTGTATATTTCCTTCTTAATTACATGTTCCCGAAATCTTTCACTTCCTTCTGTATTCTACTCTACTCCAAACAAAGCACACTTTCCACTCCTTCCCCTATTTTCATCTAAAATTAAATCTTGTGAACTAATGGATTTTTATAAGCTCAAGTCTAGATCCTTTTGTACAAAGAGAAGGCATGGACTGGATTATAGTCCCATTCTTTCTTGTCATTACGGTCCTCTATACCCTGTTTTGAATAGTCCTCCAAATCATAGGAAGGAAGAAGACTTTGCATTCAAGCCCTTGAAATCATATTTTATTGTAAACTTAGTTTTTAGATTGGGTTGGAATTGAGCTGCACTCCTGATGATGTTGAATTGCAATCCCCAGCATGCCTGAATGTAGGCAATGCTGGTTAGGGCTTCTGGGAAATGCAGTTCACCAACAATTGGAAGGCACCACAATTCACACGTTGTAGGAAAAGTTTCATATTAATATAGTTTTTAGGCTAAAAGGGCTGGCAAAATCTCACAAGTCTGATCCCTTTTACACTACACAATTATAACAGTGTGATTCCACTTTAACTGTCATATTAACTGTCCCGTGGAGTCCTTGGGTTTGTGGTTTGGTGAGTTGAATAGTCTGAATGTTCCTCCTGAAACTGCTCAGGTTTACATAGAACATTTATCATAAAAGTTAGTGGAATCATACACTATGACTGTGTGGTGTGAAACCATGGAAATTAAACCAGGGAAATTCACTGGGTGCCCTTGGACAAGTCACACTCCATCTGCCTATGAGAAAAGCATAACTTCCCCAAATAAGAAGTTTGATGAAAGAATCCCAATAAGTCAACTTGAATGCAAAGAACTAGAACATAACACATACAACACATATATTTTAGAAGGACATATGGAGACCTTCTAAGATGATCATAAAACATGCATCAACTGTATCAGCATTTAAAGCAAATTACGAAAGGCCCACATATTTCATTAATTTGCAACTTAATGTGTGCGTGTGCATTTGGCTGTGAGCCGCCCCGAGTCCTTTTGGCGAGATGGGGAGGGATAGAAATAAAGATGTATTATTATTTATTACTGGCTGTACTCGTCACTTGTTGCTGTGGCCAACCTTCCTTCCTTCTTTCTCTCCTTCCTTTCCTTCCTATTCCCTTCCCCCGTTTATTTCCCCTTTCTCCCCTTTCTTCCTTCTCTACCTTTCTTGGACTGCAACTCCCAGCAGTCCTCCTGATCAATCAATCAATCAATCAATCAAATCAATCTCTTTCTAATTTATCTACCTTATCTGTCTAATTGATTGCTGGGAGTTGCAGTGCAGGAATAGGAATTTGGAAATATGCAAGGATTTGGATGCTCTCAAAGAAATCCAAGGAGAAGAAAGCTTGCAGCTTGGAAGCAGTGCATTTAGATCATCCTCCTCTCCTAAAGGGCCTGGTGTAGCTGTAGTCCAGAAGAGTGTGTGGATATGCTATTGTGTGTTTTATTTGCCAGGGGGACTCATTTTTGTGCATGCACTGTAACATCTTTTTGCTTTTTTGGTTTTTAAGTCCCTTCTGATGTGTTTTTTTTAGTGTTTTTATGAGTGATGGTCACTCATTGGCCTGATAGGTGTATTGTGTCCAAATTTGGTGTCAATTCGTCCAGTGGTTTTTGAGTTATGTTAATCCCACAAACTAACATTGCGTTTTTATTTATATAGATTATTGGCTCATACATTTGTGGCTTGAATCCTAAAATACTTTAACATAAGGTAATTCACCAAGTTAATATTTCTTATCTTTTCTTCCTGTCCAAGCACTCTGCAAAACCTTTATGGAAGTGAGGAAAATCAATCAATCTCTCTCACACACAAACACACACCACACCTCACAGGACTCACACAGGAATCTCCGACAGTGCATGCCATATTGTTCAGGATGGCCACATGGTCATCAGAAGAGGATTTGTTGTAAATCAGTAGGTAGTGTAAAAGGAAGATAAGAAAATTTCCTTTCAACAATTGTCTTGTCTTAAAATTCAATATATTATATTAAGGGCCTATATTCCCAGTGCATATCTCCATGTTCATATGTTCTATGAAATGACAGAATACTATGGTGATGAATTATTTAATTATTGGCTTACATGGCAAGATGTCCTTATATCGATTCTTGCTGACATTTTCTGGGCTCTCAGATGTAACTGTCGGGTAGATTTTGTCTGCCTTGTAGGTTGCCGATTGCTTTTTCAGTTTCTGTGGTTGAATCAGAAAGAAGAATTATAAAGAATATGTCAATAGTATACCACAGGACTGCATAGCTCATTATTTCCTGACTGGCCTTTCTTGAGACAGCAACAACTAGAGCACTATCATTACTTTGTAATGGAAGGATTCAGAGGAGAGGAAATTTTGTGTGCTGAAAACAAATCACATGTGGCTTGGGCACTTGCTCTTTTGATGTGGCTCCAGAGAAAATTACCCATTGACAAGGAACTTCTGCAGCCCTTGAACTATTGTGATGTAGTGGAATCACACTCAGCTCAGACGTCTCTGGAAAATATGAAAATCTTTAATCTACTGACAAAACAAAAAGATGTTGTTCAACAGTAACTGAGTGCCACAGTCGTTTTGCCAAATATTTTTTCCCCCAAATCAATATTGATGCTTCTGAATGCTCTGCAATCACAATAGTCATAACCAGAGTCCTACTGTGAATTTGCAAGTTGGAAAGGGCTAGAATATCCAAAGAGTTCATCCATACTGTTCAGAATGTTAAAGTTGTCACAAATTTGCTACAGGTCCCACACACAATCCAAACAACTGTTACGGGAAGGCAGATACTAGGGCCTATGCCATGGTACTGTAGTTCCCTTCAGTTTGTGGAATCCAGTTATGGTATGTTTTGTCTCAGACCCCATCAGCTTTCTATCATATTGCCTACCAACATTTCTGATAAGACTAAGGAAGTCAACATTCCATAACAAGATATTATGCAGTATTTACATGATACACTTGTATTGTGTTATAAAATTTAGAGATTATCCACAAATTACAAAGGGAGGAAAATTAATGTAATCCCCCTCCCTCTTTTTCTCCTAACTCCCACCCTCTTTCTTCTCATATTTCATCTTTTTCCAAATACTAAAACTCAAGGTCGTTTACCATAATACAGATTAATCACCTCACTTTGGATAAGATGTCATTTGGGTGTCACCACATCTGATGGCATCACCTGATGGGGTTCACACACCATGCTTCCCTCTAGTGAGGCCACAGCCTTTCTGCTATTCCTCCAGGCAGAGGATAAAATTATACATTTCCAAAATAATGTATTGTTCAGCCTCCAGAAACTGCTGTATAAGAGGTACTGACATAAAGCAGTTACTTGAATCTCACTTCACAAGTTCCTTTCTGTGTGTTCACATTAGATTCTAAAGCATGTGATCAAGCTGACTGTACGGTAATTGTTTGGGTCCCCTTTTTCCCTTCTTGAAGATAAGGACTTGCTCTCTTCCAGTTTGCTGGGACTTCTCCCATTCTCCAAGAATTCTCAAAGTTTATTGCCAGTGGTTCTGAAATTAATTCTGCTGGTTCCTTCATTACTCTTGGATGTAGTTCATCTGACTCTGGATACTTGAATTCATTTAGAGCAGCTAGGTATACCTTGTCTACTTCTTTACCTATTTTGGGTTGCATATCCCCTATTACCACGTATTCCCCATATTGCTCAGGTTGAATATTTATTTCCTTTTGGGAGAAGACTGAGGCAAAGAAGGTGTTGAGCAGCTCTACAGTTTTCTCTATCTCCTGTTAGCATTTCACCACCTTTTTTTTTACTGTTTTTAATCTCTCTGACAAGCCCGAGTTCATTTTGTGTCTTAGCCTTACAACCTTTTCCTACATACATTGGTTATTCATTTGAATTCCTCTTTGGTGATTTCCCTCATTTTCCATTTCTTTAGACATCCATTCTAGTTGCTTTAAACTTCTCTTATTTTTTATTCTTTGCTGGCACTGTTTGCGATTATGCCTTTAGTATTTTGCTTTTAAGAAACTCCCATCCATCATTAACTCCCTTCTCTTTTGGTATTCCTGATCATTAAATTGCGCCCAGTATTTCCTTAAAGTCCACCATCCTAAAGTCTAGAATGCATGTTTGACTTTTCTTAGTTTCAGTCTTCCTTTGTATCAGATTTGTAAATTGGATGTTTGTAACTTGGGGGCTGCCTATACTTTGAAATTGCCTCATTCCAATTCCTGTATGTATATATATATATCCACTTACAAAGACAAAAGTCATCCAAAGGATTCTACTCAATATCTCTGAAAGTTGCTCTTGGATTGGAATGGCTTTAGTAATCTTACAGGTCTAAACAGTCAAATGTTCTGGACTACTTCACCGTACTCAGCAGGAAAAAGCTGTAAATAATTATATTGTTGCAACTGTGACTTTGCTTAGATACCAAGTATCTTTTCTGGTTTTGGCTTCAGGATAATATTTGTAACCATAGTGAAGTATAGACTTTCAAATAAAAGCTATGAGCAACTAAAATGATGTAAACCCTTTTGTTTAACATATGTACTCCAGATCTTTTGTAGTGGCACATATGGAAACAGACAATATTTTCTTTTTCCCTAATCCATTTTCTTAAAAATATAGACACACCGAGGTGAAATGTATTACAATTAAGTCTGAATTCACAGATCCAGCACACAGTACCCTGCCTTGGTTTGACCTGATTAGTATCACATCACGCCATTTAAACCAAACTCAGATTGGCACTGATATGCAGATGCCCATCAGTCCAAAAGGGTGTTTCCTATAATGATAACATGCTTACTCTATTGAATTATTTTAGGTCAGACAACAACAGCATCTGATTTTTTTTCTTCTCCTTTTCCTTTTGAAACTCCTGCAGATACAGCCTTTCTTTTCTTCCTCTGTCATTCTGACCATGAGCTCCCCAGTGGCTGGCTTGTATATGGATCCCTCATCATATAAAAGACAACCAGCTTTTCTTTTCCCTCTGAAAGCTCATAGCCCCTGCTTGCCATATGTGTGTTTGTCAGAAGAATTAAATACCTGCTTATTAGGACACAATATTTACAGTTTCCTTGCTCACTCAGCCAGAGTAAGGGTATGTATGCTTGTCAATCTGGGCTCCAGGTGATAGGGAAAAGGAGGCTTCCTCCTCCTCATTCATTCAACTGGTCTGGTAAGGTTGGTTGAAGATTCTCCTTCAAGGTTGTCAAGAATCAGCTGGAAGGGGATGGGGGAGGGAGCAGATACATGTTGGAGGAGGAAGGAGGTGGTGTGTGCAAAGGGAGCAGGATTGATGGGAAGGTATGACAAGAGAATGGTTGGGTGGGAGAGAGATCAGCAATTGTGGGGATACTTGGCCAATTTGCTGATTTTTTTTTTTTGTAGGTGGTGCTCTCTTGATTTTCATTTGTTTCTTCTCACATCCATAGAGAATTGTCACTGGGGCTGTGCAATCCTAGAGCTTTGTTGCACCTGGCTACTCAGCCTTTCACAGCTCCCAGTTCTGTTTTAGAATGTGGGATAAAGTAGAGTGTTCAAATATTTGAAATGATGTCATAAGGAAGACCTAAGTCGCCCTCGGGTTGAGAAAGGCGGTATATGAATATGGTAAATAAATAAATAAATAAATAAGAGGGGATAGGCTTGTTTTCTGCTGCCCTGGTGACTAGGGACTTCATCAGATAGTTTCCCCCTCTGTTTCTATACACTTCAAAGATGGTTCAAAGACAGACCCCCACAGAACCAATTAAACAATGCAGGATGGCTTCCAGTGATTGCATTTGGGTGTCCGTAGCATAGGATTCAGTTATCACAGAATGTATTTATTTCTTTATTTATTTACAGCATTTGTAGCCCGCCTTTCTCAGCCTTGCGGCAAATCAAGGCAACTTACTGAAATACCAATTTTAGTGCCATCTATATAAATAAAAATGTAATGGGGTTTTTTGGGGGGATTAACATAACTCAGAAACCATTGGATGAATTGACACGAAATTTTGACACAATACACCTATCAGGCCAACGAGTGTTCATCATCATACACACACACACACACACACACACACATGCACACACACATGCACATACGTGTGTGTATATATATATATATATATATATATATATATATATATCCAAGCACACTCAAATACACACACATACATCTACATACACACACATATATACATATACACATGCACACACAAATATACACATGCACACATGCATGCACACATATAAACACACAAAAACACAAATATGCATATAGATAAGCATACACGTATACACAATATACATATACACAAACACACATATATATACACACATATATACACATCTACACACACACCTTTCTTTCTCTCTCTCTCTCTCTCTCTCTATATATATATATATATATATACACACACACAAAAACACACATATATACACAGATACACAAATATACACACACATATAAATACATATATACACACGCACAAAAATGCAAATATACAGACTGGGCCACAGCAATGCATGGCAGGGGATGGCTAGTACATTCATAAAAATACAGTTAAAAACATTCAACTCAATATTTAAAAAGCATATATAGAAATTGAAGGATTCCAGAGCTGGCCAAAATGGATACTATATTGCATGTGTGTAGAAACTCCTGAAAATGGGTAGCAGTTAAAAGTGGAGAGTTTCAAAGAGGGGAAGATCATGGGAAAGTGTGTTAAAAATCTGCTGGACAATTCAAGAGGAGGGATTTAAAGAGAAGAGAAGAAGACCCCATTGAGTGGAGTGTATTGAAAGGGTGACAATTGGCAGGCTGTGTGATGGGAAATTAAGCAGGCTGCCAATTGTCACTGTTTTAGTTGAGCTAGACAGGGAGGTGGTCTTGTATGATGGAGGTGAGGAAATTCACGTCTTCTTTCAAGATGGAACCCCATGAAATGCCACACAAAGACCCCCCACTTCTCCCACTCCCAAATGGAATGATGCCCTAGTACTCTGAGCAATGGATTCAAATTACAGGAAAGGAAATTGCACCTGAACATTAGGAAGAACTTCCTGGCCATGAGAGCTATTCAAAAGTAGACCTTTCTGCTTCAGATACCTTATGGGCCCTTCCACACAGCCCTATATCCCAGAATATCAAGGCAGAAAATCCCACAATATCTGCTTTGAACTGGGTTTTTGAGTCCACACTCAGATAATGTGGGATTTTCTGCCTTGATATTCTGGGATATAGGGCTGTGTGGAAGGCCCAGAGACTGTATTAGAAGTTCCTCAAACTGAGATGAGGAGTTCCTGCATTGCAGGGGATTGGACTGGATAGCCTGTGTGGACTCTTTCAACTCTATGATTCTATCATTCTAAATTTCTGTTTCTGTTCCTCTCTACCCCAAATATTTTATAGATAATTTTTCACGGATAAATATATTGAATTACAGAATGGTTTTGTCAGAAGGCTTATGCCTCATATTCTTCCTACTACAATAACTTCAGACTCAAGAAAAAAATTACATTGCTCCTCAAAATGCCGAATAAGGAACTGTGAAGGGGGAAAATGACAGATAGTCAGAAGCTCTTTACAAGACAGTGAATGCTCAGCCCTATGAGAACTGTTGAATCAGAAAGCTGGAAAAGTCCTGGAGGTCATCTGGCCCAAGTCCTTAAGTGAGACAGAAGCCTTTAAAGCCAAACATTCCTGAGAGATTAGCCTAAATTTCTTTCAAGTGACTCTCATTGCAAGATTTGTTGTCTGTAGCAAAGAAACAGTGGCTTGAATATAGAAGAATAGACTACAATTGCCCACAGTATGACAGACCTTCAATTTTTTACATCTCACCACAATCTCATAGATGTGCACACTACAAATAAAATGGTACCAATGTTTGACTTATAGGGAGATCAGAAGGGTTTGGCCACATTACCTTTTGAGACATGGTGGGCAACTGTAGAAAGCTGGGAGCAGCACGCTTGCCCACCAGGAAATCCTGGAGGACTACACAACTCTCTTGTGCCATCACCACTGAAAACATTGAAAATACATTTGCCCCAAACACTTTCTAGGTGACAAGGGGGTATTTTCATCATATTTTGGGACTTCCTTAGTCATTTTATCGCCAAGAAAATCCTACTCTAAGAACAGGAAGTGAGCAGAAATCATTTCTTGTTCATGTTCTGCATCCAAAAAGTCATTTAATGGGACTAAAAGCATCTAGGGTATTTCCAAAATATGGTGGAAATGCCCACTGCATTCCCTAGTATTTGTGGTTATGTAGAGTTTTAAAAATTATTTTGTACATTTCTTTAGCCTGGAGGCTCCAGGGGGCCTCCAACCATGGTGGAAGTATCCTCAACAGCTCCTAAAGGACAATTTGGAGGAAAACATATATATATATATATATACATACAGTGCTCTGGAGGTCACAGAAATGACCAGGAAGATTGCATGCACCCAGTAAGTGAATTTTGCCTACCTGCTGTTGTTGATGCTACTAGAAGTTGGTTCTAATATAAGATGACTTTATCATAGCATTTCCTAAGCAAGATTTCTTCAGAGAATATTTGCTATTCCATTCATCTAAGGCTGAAAGAGTGTCACTTGCCAAAATTGATCCATTGAGTATATCAATGGCTAAGCAGGAATTTTAACCCTGGCCTTTCAGAGTGTTTGTATCTTTGCACATGGTGGGTTGGCTCTATACCCCTTGAAATATATTTTTTAAATGAGGAGAAGGAATTTATATTAATACTAGCATTGTTTATGAATGGTTCTCCGGAATTCTACCAGACCTGGGAGGGAGAAAGAGAGATACTAGGACATTTTGAAAGCAACTGAAAAGTGGGATGACAAGTTTAATCACATTTTTCCTTGCCAGATCAGGAGCTTATGATTACCCGTGTTTATATTTATTTTTAATTTAAAAACTGACAGTGCAAAACACTCCAACACAGCTGCATATTGTAGCAAGCAATAATTGTTGATGTCATGGAAACAAACATGCCATTAACCATTTCTTCATTGAAGACGTTCTGATAAAGGTCTGACAAATCTGAAGACTTTGAAGCTCTAGTGTTGAAACCATTGTTTTTTCAAGGGTCATTGAAAAGTTCCTATTTAGATGAAGGTTGTCTCCCACAGTCATCATTGTCATGCCAGTCTCTGTGCCTTTCTCTTATCTTCCTTGTTGTGTTTTTCAAAACTCTTCTATGATCACTCTATTCAAAGGTGTCACTGCTATTTTCACCTTTGAGCCTTCAAGGTCCTCCTCCTTATTTTGAAATCCTAATTTATGAGATCTGCTGCTAATTCTTCAAGAAAACGAACAACCTAGGTGTTTGGTTATTTCCTCACTACGTGACATGAAAGGCAAATAGTGCATGAAGTGTCTAGCAAGAATTTTAATTTTCCTCCATAAATATCTGGGAGTGCAGATTTGAAGGGGGAGAGGTGAAATAAGGGTATTACCCCCAAATGTTATTTTTCCTTCAGAATCAAAATTTCTAGCATTGTAACTTAAATCTCCAGTTGACTGTTTAGAAAATCATAACGAAGCAAATATAACAATTCTAGGTGTTTGGTGAATTTCAATTTCACTTTCTGCAGTTTACCCCCAGGCCCTCTAGTCCAGGGGTATCATATATCATCTAGGGCCAAATCAGCCTTTTGGTTGCCTTCAAAAGTCTCTTGAATCCATGGAGAGAGGATTCATAGATATAGAGAGCCAACTGCAATTTTTACCTAGTTTTTAAATTTTTCTTTAGTTTTTACCTAGTTTGGCTCCTCAGATGTTATTGAACAACAACTCCCATCAGCTTTGATTATCTACCATGCAGACATCCGGATAATGGGAATTGCATCCCAAGAGCACTTCTGGCTCCGAGGTTAATGAAAGATTAAAATCAGACATCATATCCACAAACTTTGTTATCTAAATCCAAACTCTACTAAAAGACTTCAAGATGTTACAGTAGCACAACTCCCATCAGTTCTAGTCATGATGTCTAATAGAGAGGGCCAGCTAAAATGACATGGCAGTCCAGATTTCGGCTTGTGGGCTGGTGCTGGCTAAGGGAATTATCACAAAAGAAATGGGTCTGAAGATGGAGCAGAGTGGGGTATTTTTGGGTGGGTGGGGGTTTGCTACTTTATAGACTAGCACACAGAGCAATTGGTTCAAATTGCAGAGAGAGATGCCACCTAAAAATATTAGGAAGAACATCCTGATGGTAAGAGCTGCCTCAGAGGTGATGGACCCTCCTTTTCCAGATTTTTAAAAGCAGTAGCAGGATGGCCATCTGTCAGAAGTGCTTTGATTGGGTATTCCTGCATGGCCAAATGGGGTTGGACTGGATGGCCTTTGTGATCTCTTTCAACTTTATTATCCTGTTACAATAGAGTCTTGCTTATCCAACATAAATGGGCCAGCAGAATGTTGCATAAGCAAAAATGTTGGATAATAAGGAGGAATTAAGGAAAAGCCTATTAAACATCAAATTACAATATGATTTTACAAATTAAGCACCAAAACATCATGTTTTATAAAATATCGAAAGAAAAAGCAGTCCAATACACAATAATGTTACGTAGTAATTACTGTAGTTATGAATTTAGCACCAAAACATGGTTGGGAGGCAGACTGCATTGGATAATACAGAACGATGTTCGAAGGTTGGATAAGCAAGACTCTACAATATATGCAGTCCACATCCTCCCCACTCCCAGTTATGAGTAAAGGTTAAGTAAGGTAAAGGTTTTCCCCTGACATTAAGTCCAGTCATTTCCGACTCTGGGGGTTGGTGCTCATCTCCATTTCTAATCTGATGAGTCAGCGTTGTCCGTAGACACCTCCAAGGTCATGTGGCTGGCATGACTGCATGTAGCACCATTACCTTCCACCAAAGCGGTACCTATTGATCTACTCACATTTGCATGTTTTCGAACTGCTAGGTTTGCAGAAGCTGGGGCTAACAGCAGAAGCTCATGCTGTTCTCCGGATTTGAACCTGCAACCTTTATTTCCACAAGTTCAGCAGCTCAGCAGTTTAACTCACTGTGCCACCGGGGCTCCAATCATGAGTAATAAGACAAAACATTTTGTACGCCAAATAGTGCTAGACTTAAATTGATATGGTCACGAACAAAGAAGCAGGAAGTGTAATTTTTGGAAAACAGGTCACCTAAGATCCAAGTAATTGAAAGACTTACCACCGGCCCTCTGCAATATTGCTGGAAGTTAAGTTATTACATACTTGAAAGCGTTTTGCAATGATTAAGTACATTTTACTACAATAGACACATGTTTCCTCACCTAAATGAAATCAAACCCAAACAAATCGTTGTCCATTACTTACCAAAAATTCATTTCTGAATTCGGCTTTGTGGAGCATTCTACTTTTGGCCCTTTCCAGGTTTTGTGTGAGAATTTCTTTTTGATCCATGCTGTAAAACCAGGTGAAGCTGAACTGATGAAGATGGACATGACAAATGCATGCAGCAGTGGAAACAACTATCAGTGTGGAAGGTTTCTGTTGAAGTTTGTGGTTTACTCAGTTCATCACAAGACCTAAAGGAAATCAGTATGTATATAGCAGCACCCACAGAGGGGAACTTCGAAAAGTCATTCCACGCAGGGCCCTAGTGCCTCCTTTTTACATGAATGAAGGACGAAGAGTATCTATTGATCCTGGTGAACTCACTGCTTTGTCTTCTCCAAGAAGAAAACCTCCCTGAAGCAATTTCCACTTGATGACCAAAAAGGAGGAATCAACGGCAACCAGTTTTCTTGAGTATATGACACTTCATGAGTTGTATGTTACCAGTGATGTCCTCTTCCCTAGTTTGAAATTTTTATGTAGATCACTCGTTTTCTCATTTTTAGTACAGGAAACCTCTCCATTCATTGGGTTCCCACAAGAGAGGTGGCTTTGCTCCTAAAATGCATTAGTCACGCTTCAGCCTTAAACTTTGCCAGAAAACTTTGAAATATTCAGACATTACCACCCCTTCACACGGCCTGGGATGAACTTTGGAGAGCCACATCACGATCAGATATTTATGTTCGAATGCTAAAGTTACGCAGAGGTCAATGAATAAGAGACCAGCCAGTTCCTGGAATGCTTGCTATTTCACTGACTCTGTTGTGAGTATCCATACAACCTCTGGAAATCTTTATTCAATTAGGGCAGTTGGAAAATTAGCAAAAAAAAAATACCCTTCTCAATTCTTATTCTCCCCCCTGCTTGGTTCACAAAACATCCTGTGAGAGATCTAGACTTTCCCTGCCAAAGTGGAGCACTGCCCCCAGCTGTTTCTTGGCTAGCATATGTCAGTGATTAGCAAATGTTGTAAAATAAATCTGATTGTCAAAATAGAATCCAAATAAGGCAAAACTTATTCCTCCAGGTTTGTTTTCATCAGAGCTTAAGGTCTGACACAAGGCAATGCTTATCAACATGACATCACTTTGTTTTATTAGCAATGGTCCAAGCATACCACTCATTCCTACATATTCTCATCAGCTCTAAAAAGCAGCTACAACAAACCCCGATTTTTTATCAAACATTTTTTAGTTCAGCCACTGAAAAACCAGAATGTAAACTGGTTTTTTCGTTCCAGGTAACACAATTATCAACATGTTTGAATCAGACTCTGGACAAAATATCACTAAAGTTATTTTGGTATACTGTTGATTCATGCTCCAAAGTCATACATTCTACATTTTCAAAATTAATTCTTTAACTGTCACAATCCCTGTTGCTCACATGAGGGTCCTTCCAGACAGGCCCTATATCCCAGGATCTGATCCCAGGTTTTCTGCTTATCCCAGATTATCTGGCAGTTCGGACTCATGTAATCCAGTTAAAAACAGAAAACCTGGGATCAGATCCTGGGATATAAGGTCTGTCTGGAAGGGCTATGAAACATCTATTTATTAAAATTGTCATGTATTTGATAGATGGTCTTCTCCTTAGAAATTTTTATTATTTATTTATTTATTTCGGGTGCTTCTACCCCGCCCTTCTCAACCCCCTAGGGGGGACTCAGGGCGGCTTGCAAAAGGCACAATTCGATGCCCAACAGTTCACAAAATACAATATACAAAATACAGTATAACAACAATTATAACTAGTTAAAACAATCAAATTAATACAATAGCAGCAATAAAATCATCTTGTGGTCAATGTTCACCAATTCATAAATCCATAATCCATCCAGCATTGTCATAGTCCTTTCCTACTCTGGTCGTTATTGTCTTTTATCCATCTGCCAGCTTACCCAAAGGCCTGGTCCCATATCCAGGTTTTTAACTTCCTTCTGAAAGAGAGGAGGGATGTTGATGACCTAATTTCCCCGGGGAGTGAATTCCACAGGCGAGGGGCCACCACCGAGAAGGCCCTGTCCCTCGTCCCCACCAGTTCACTTGTGATAAAGGCGGGGCCAAGAGCAGGGCCTCCCCAGAAGATCTTAAACTCCGAGGTGGGACGTAGAAGGAGATACGTTCGGACAGGTACGCTGGGCCGGAGCCGTATAGGGTTTTGTAGGTCAAAACCAGCACTTTGAATTGTGCTCGGAACTGGATCGGCAGCCAATGGAGCTGACATAACAGGGGGGTGGTATGCTCCCTGTATGATGCTCCGGTGAGTAATCTAGCCGCCGCCTGTTGGACTAATTGAAGTTTCCGAACAGTCTTCAAAGGCAACCCCACGTAGAGCGCGTTGCAGTAATCTATTCGGGATGTAACAAGAGCATGGACCACTGTGGCCAGATCAGACTTCCCAAGGTATGGGCGCATATAACCCTATGCCCTGTTCGATCTTACGACTGACCAGTAGGACCTCTGTGTTGTACAAAACTCTACTTGGTAACTACATATATTTTTAGTATAACAATTGCAATGACAATGCTCGTGTTGTATTGCATTGATTGGCATGGTGGGCTAACATTAGGCAGATCCATCTTCAAATTGCCACACATGATCTCCCAGCCTACCATATATACACATGTATAAGCCTACCTCATGAATAAATTGAGGATAAATTTTGTGGCCAAAATAATGGATTTTGATATGATCCATGAAGAAGTTAAGGGTCATTTATATAGAGAAGTGAAAGCACTAATGCAGTCTCAAGGGGCCGGCTCCCATTGGCCACCACTGCCATTTCCCAAACCAGACATTCAAAAAGGCCAGAAGTGAAGGGCAGTGTTTCTTTCACTGTTCTCTTTAGAGCTGGGACTGGTTCCTTTTTTTATAAGAGTTAAGGTACAATACTTGACCCAGAAATTTGATTGATTTTCTGACCAAAATTTCTAGAGTTTATAAGATAACTTACATTGTAGAGTTGCTGTGAAGATGTTGTTTTGAGCGCAGATGATTAGGTAGGCCATCTTCAGGTGGTTGGAGAAACAGCACAAAATCAGCATATTTAGAAGTTGCTTGCATTTTCAGTCAAAATACATGTCCATTAGGGGGAATTTGCCGTTTTCTTTAATTATCAAATCCTCTTTTTTTCTTTCTTTGAGAGACTAATTTTATTGCTTCCTTTGCTAGTCACCTTTATCTCAGAAAATACACCAGAATGCAAGATGGGTGTAGTGTTTCAAACTAAGTTTACAATTATGGACTGAAAGCAGTTGGCTCTGGTGTTGTAGCCAAGTATCCCCTAGAGCAGTGGTTCCCAACCTTTTTTGACCAGAGACCACTTTGATCAGGGACCACTCTCCAACATTAGTACCAAAAGGGTTATGAATCAATTTTTGGTCAACTTTAGATTCAGTTTGGTTATTTGGGGTTCTGATTTACAAATTGCATTGGATAGACCACATCAGCTCTAGTTTCTGATATCGAACATATGCCATCCAATCATCATCATCTGCTCACCCACAGAAAACCATATTTAATAAGCCTTGGCACTATAAAAGGGTTTCACGAGACCAGTTGCTCTCTTTGCAACAGTGTAATAATGGTGAGGCCACTTACCATATTTTAGTTCTTGCGGGCCACTGGTGGTCCACGAACCACACGTTGGGAATCACTGCCCAATTGCTTTAATAGAAAACCCGAGAGAGGCCAGTTTCTTTAATAATTGTGTAGTCGAGGAAAGTTCAGGCAATAAGCAACACATGCTAACATTTCCTCTTCTACATAACCATTAAAAGTAAAGGAACCTTCTCCCATTTTCATTCTGGCAGTCCCACTAATAGGACATGATGTTGTGATAAACAAAAAAAGAAGGGGCTCTGTTCAGGTAGACTGAACCAAACACTGTGATATAAGTTGGAACGTCTCTTGAAAACAGGGCAAGGGTTATCTGCACTACTCAGTTGCAGCAGCTTGATTCTACAGAGATCAGTATTCTATGGGAAAGAGTCAAGAAAATTGAAGGAAGACCAAACTCCTAAAACTGTGTATTTCACATTTACATTACATTAACAAGGACAGTCTACCAAAAACAATAGGCTGTGCAAAAATTTGGACCTGGGCTGTGTTTCAATAAATCCATACTTATGATCTGCTTTATGAAGCCAGGGCAGTGTGCTCCCTCCAACAGAAACAAATTAAAACAGTCATTTGCGGAGTTTTTGTAAGAAGCTGGTTACTTGATATAAGTCGGAGTGAGTCAGCTTCTTTTCCAGCGCAAGCAAACTCTCCTGCGCAGCACAGCTTAACTTGGTATGTCACATGCTCTCCTCAACCTATCAGAGGAGAAGGGAGGAGACACTGCTGACATTTCCTTTAAATGCAGGAGCCACGTTGCATCTGCCACCATTGTGCAAGCGAGCTGGCAGAAAACTCGGAGGGAGATCGAGGGTAGCGCACAGGGCCATAGCCAAAAAAGTTGGAGGGGATTGAAAAAAAAAATAGCGAATCATGAAGAGTAGTTTCATAACACAGAATATTATGGTCCATTCTATATTTTATATAGACTTAATTAGATCAATTGTCTGGTCTCCTTCATTGGGCTGGGCGGGGAAGGCTTCAAATCCGTTCCATGTCTTATGCTTTGCCTGCCAGTTATGGGTGGGCCAACTTGGTTGCTTCCACTATATCAGCTTTTGCTGCAAGTAATGACTGTGAATAAACTGTCAAAATTTGCTAGTGATAGTGCTTGCAGTTCTGGAGGGGTTCATTTAATTTTTGCTTCTCATAGACTTAACAGGGGGATTTCGTTAACCATTTAAAATTCATGAGTAAACCAGGTTTTTTTTTAAACATTTGGCGGGGAGGCCTTGGCTACACCCTCAGTAGCACAGGAGCTAAGAGCTGAATTTGTCCATTCTTGAATGCTTTTACATGTGCCATACAAGCTTAGATTGCCTAGCAGCTAAGGATTTATTTTTAAGGATCGTCACAACTGAGCTTAGGCTCCTTTCAGGATCCTTTTTCTTTGCGTGTGGGCAGGTTCCATGTTTTCTCTTTGGATTTCTTTCTACAAAGTGCTTTCTTTAATTTCTAGTCTATTTTAATTCTAGTCTAATCTTCTTGCTTCCCTTTGTATTGGTTTTAGAAGTATAATTCAATTCTGTAAAGTGCAGTGCTTTATTTTCTAAAATCCCAAGTTGCCAGGGTTCTGCTGCTGCAGGGCCAATACCTGTTGTAGGTTTTTCTTAAAGCTTTGTCAAAGCCCCCCAAAATCAGTGGATAAGTGAAACATTCTGAAACTTGAGGGGCTTACAGTTCTAAAAGCTACATGTGTTCTTTCTTGCCTTTTCTCTCAAAATTATCCACTTTCAGATTTATCACATAAGTGAGTGCTGTTCCCATCCACTCCATTAAAAAAAACCTTGGAAATTTTTTTTGTGGCTTGGCTTTCCCCTCAAATCCCACTATTCTGGAGTAGACCCGAGGCACTGATCTTAACTTTAGGGATACACTTCGGGGAGATTGGCTTTTCTCCCAATCTCAGTAATCTGCATTGCAGAAGTCCAAAACTTAAAAAGCTAGAAGTGCAGACAGGAAAAAGAAATATATTTTGAAATGTCAGTATTTTGAATTGTTAAATTAATTTTTAAAATACCATGCCACGCTCATAAAGCAGGATTTTGGGACAGAATTGTCAGTGCTTGGTAGGGAACTGCCCACAGAAATGCCCTTTACACCACGTAACTGAAGTGATTCAATACGGGTTAATTTGGCAGATCCCATCCCTTGTGTTTTCCCCCTTTTCTCCTGTTTCATAGTGATTCCCAAGCTCATAAGACAATCTCTGGCTGCCTCACCCCCCCCCCCCAATTTCCTGACCCTTAAGTGACACTTTTCTAATAAGGCATGACAAACGCAGGGACTAAGTCTTCCTGCATCGTGTGATGGGCTTTGTGATATACAGTAGAGACTCACTTAGCCAACATAAACGGGCCTGCAAAAACCGTTGGATAAGCAAAAATGTTGGATAATAAGGAGGGATTAAGGAAAAGCCTATTAAATGTCAAATTACATTATGGTTTTACAAATTAAGCACCAAAACATCATGTTTTGCAACAAATCAACAGAAAAAGCAGTTCAATACACAGTAATGTGTCTAGAAATTGGGGGATAACGTCCTTACTCCAGCACTAATTTTATTAAAGCAGCCAAGTAAAACAAGTCCTTTTGCATCCGAGAAATCAGTGGTCATTTTTTCTTTCTTTCTTTCCAAACTTTTCCTAAAAATAAAAAAAGGAAGTCACTGGATAAAACAAATTAACAAGAGGGAACAAACAGAAATAAGTGATTTTTCTCAAAACCATGAATTAACAACTGAACTGATATGAAATATGTTGGGATTATGGAAGCACCATGAATCAGAGAACCAAGGAAAACTTATTTTTCTGCCTCCCATGAAGAATATCAAAACAATCTCTGATCAAAGGAAAATCAGTTTCAAGGAGGTTGCTTTCCTAGAAAAAATATTCAATTCAATTACCATTTGCCCTGGGACTGTGCTTGGGTTTCATCCAGTAAAGAGCTGCCTTGAGGACATTTCTATCATAATCAGAGATATTTCTAAATAGAACAAATTATACAGTATAGATCAGGCATGAGCAAACTTCGGCCGTCTAGGTGTTTTGGACTTCAACTCCCACAATTCCTGGCCTCAAGCCCCTTCCTTTTCCCCCTCAGCCGCTCACTGCTTAAGCGGCTGAGGGGGGGAAAGGAAGGGGCCTGAGGCCAGGAATTGTAGGAGTTAAAGTGCAAAACACACAGCCGAAATTTGCTCATGCCTGGTGTAGATCATAAGTTGACAAGCTGTGGCCATCCAGATATTGTTGGATTGCATTTCCCATCATTCCTCAACTTTGGCTCTGTTAATTCATGGTGCTAAGACTTGCATTTCAAGCTAATTGCCCCCATTCATTGATTAATCCCATTCTATATAATGGGGAGTATAGTATGTTTCTATGCTAACCTTTGAACATGCTCTGCCCAAGTGCTAAGCCACACAGTGAACTTTAGTTAACCTACCCAGCCACCTTGTTTTTCAATGTAGTCCCTCACTGCATGGTTATCGTTGATTGCTTGTGTGAGTAAGTCTGGCTCGACTTCACCACTCTGTGCAAGGCACAGGAACAACTTAACAGACACAGCTAGAAAAGCTCTCCCATATTCCAACGCAGCTTTCCGACTGAGTGAGTCTGCAATTTCCTTGAATTTCTCCAGCTGTAAATGCAAAGTAGATTTTAAAAAGTGCACAGTTTATTACAAAAAAAAGGTCTAGTTGTGCAACGCACACACAATCTTAACTAAAAATTTCCTTATTAACAGTGGGATCATAAATACTTTTGGCCATGTTGGGAACCAACATTATTGTCCCTATCCATGGCTCCTAACAATGAATGAACTCCATAGACCAGATTCATCCTAGGCAACCTCCCTCAAGATCTATAAACTGAATACAGCTAATAAACATTTAATAAAGTGAATAATAATCCAAGAAAAGCTTAGGATACAATACAGACCTTAAATTGCAACAAAATTGTATCAGTTGTATCTGATAGCTTTGCTTACTGTAAACTACCAGTAATTGAAAGGAAGGCTGAGCAAAGGAAGATAGATGCTTTTGAACTATGGTGTTGGAGGAAAAATCTGAGAGTGCCTTGGATCTCAAGAAAATCAAACCAGTCCATCCTCCAGGAAATAATGCCCGGCTGCTCAATGGAGGGAAGGATATTAGAGGCAAAGATGAAGTACTTTGGCCACATCATGAGAACAGGAAAGCTTGAAGAAGACAATGATGCTGGGGAAAATGGAAGGAAAAAGGAAGAGGGGCTGGCCAAGAGCAAGATGGATGGAAGTGACTGGCTTGATCTTGAAGGAGCTGGGGGTGGCCATGGCCAATAGGGACCTCTGACGTGGGCTGGTCCATGAGGTCATGAAGAGTTGGAAGCGACTGAACGACTGAACAACAAGTGAAATTGTTGTTGGAGCAAGAAATTGATGTCAAACAATGTTTCTTTTGTCCCAGACTAATTCCTGATGACTCACAGCACCAGCTGTAATATTTCATTTCTAGCATGAGGGGGCCTCTCTCTGGAAGTGTTTTTAGCCAACAGAATGCTTTGATGCAAGACTTGGAACAAGTACCTTATTCTTAATTTATCTATGATACTTTGCAAAGGAGAGCTGAACAACTCACCATTATGCACCTCATGTATGATTATGCATGGGATTGTGGCGCAGCTGGCTGAGTGTCAGCTGCATTAAGATCACTCTGACCAAAAGGTCATGAGTTTAAATCCAGCCCGGGTTGGAGTGGGTTTCCAACCAATTGTGTAGCCTGTTGTCGACCTTTGCAACCCGAAAGACAGTTGCATCTGTCAAGTAGGAAAATTAGGTACCACCTTAAAGTGTGGGGAGGGTAAATTAACTAATTTATGAGGCCATAAAAAAGACTCCAGCAAAGCACTCCAGCAAAAAGCATGCGGGGAATGCGGAAGTACTTCATCAGTGTCGCAGATGGACGATGAAAGCGACAGCTCCCCTGGCGGCCAGAAAAAGTTAAATAGCCTCTGTATATGTTGTATGTCAAAATTGGCATTGAATGTTTGCCATATATGTGTACACTGTAATCCGCCCTGAGTCCCCTGCGGGGTGAGAAGGGCGGAATATAAAAGCTGTAAATAAATAAAAAATAAATAATAAATATGAAGATCAGATTCAGGGTTATATACAGGCAGTCCCCAAGTTACAAACAAGATAGGTTTTATAGGTTTGTTCTTAAGTTTAATTTCTATGTAACTTGGAACTGGTACATTTTTAAGTGTGACTCCAGCCATATTACACACACATATACCCCTTGTATAGCACAGTGTTAGTTTTGCTGTCTGTGCCCCTGTTCAGAATATTTCAACTCACTTTCTGTCCCTGTGATAATTGAATTTGAAAAATCTGGGTTGTTGTGGAAACAAGGATTAGTGATAAAGCTTCAGTGGAGACACCTTTTCCCCATGATAACTCTTCCACGAGTGGATTTGCCTTCTGAGAGATAAATTTTTCTCACTTCCTGTTGTCTTATCCTCATTCTTAACTATAAGCCAGGAGCTGCAGTGGCACAGTGGGTTCAACCCTTGTGCCCGCTGAACTGCTGACCTGAAGTTCAGCGGGTTGAATCCGTGAGATGGGGTGAACTCCCCTTTATAAACTTCAGCTTCCCATGTGGGGACATGAGAGAAGCCTCCCACAGGATGGTAACACATCTGGATGTCTCCTGGGCAACGTCTCTGCAGACAGCCGATTCTCTCATACCAGAAGCAACTTGCAGTTTCTCAAGTCGCTCCTGACATGAAGAAACAAAACAAAACTATGAGCAATTTGTAAATTGAATGTTTGCAACTCGGGGGGGGGGGGGGGGTGCTGCCTGTATTCTAATATCATCTCTCACTACTCCTTGCATCATAATCATTACCACTACCATCATTATTATTTATCTGCCTCTTTGTGCAACTAAAACACATAAAACCATTTAGAAAACATAGATTAAAAACACATAAACACAAGATTAAACAATTACAAATACAAATTGTCCATAAATATAAAAATATCAATTTAAAATGTAAGAAAATGCTTAAGAAATTCATTGTGGTAACAGGCAACTTTAGGGCTTATACGCATACACATATTCTAACACTAATATGTTTGTTCTTACTAGCTGGTGTAAAAGGGCATTTCTTTCTGAAATGATTGAGAAAGAGTCACATGGTTCAGGACTAAGTTGAGGTGGCTTGTCCTCTTTCCTGGGGGGAAACAAAATACTTTCTTTTGGTGTTTTTCTGCCACCTTTCTTGTCTGGGAAGGGGGACAGCAGAGTGATCAGTGCTTAGCTGTTGATACTACAAGGACACTGTCTTGTCTTGTTGAAGGCTTTCATGGCTGGAATCACTGGGTTGCTGTGAGTTATCTGGGCTGTATGGCCATGTTCCAGAAGCAGTCTCTCCTGACGTTTCACCCACATCTATGGCAGGCATCCTCAGAGGTTGTGAGGTCTGTTGGAAACTAGGCAAGTGGGGTGGAATGTTCAGGGTGGGAGAAAGAACTCATGTCTGCTTGAGACAAGTGTGAATGTGAAGTATGAAGCCTTGTAGCTTCAAGGCTTGGCTGCTTCCTGCTTGGGGGAATCTTTTGCTGATAGGTGTTAGCTGGCCTTGATTGATTCTTGTCTGGAACTCTCCTGCTTTTTTTTTTTAGTGTTTTGAGTGTTTCTCTTTATTCACTGTCATGATTCCCCCAGGCAGGAAGCAGCCAAGCCTTGAATTTCCAGGTCCTTCTAGTACTTTCTCCATCTGCATGACTGGGAAGGGGGAGTTACGCTATCATTGCCTATTTTCCGTGTCCATTCAACTTTCCCTCAACATCTGGTGATTCCGAAGTGTGTGCCAGGCTTCTACATCTCCTTCCTTGTGCTTTGTTGGCGTAATCATTAGCCAAGTACAAAGAATACCTATCTGGCTTTGTTTCACCTTTGCTGCACATAGATCAGTTTTTCTTAACACAAAGAAGTTTACTGTAAGAGAGCTAAGGAACATTTTGACTGGAGAGCACGGAAGAGTTCATTACCATGTTGCTCTGTTCAAGAATTGCTTCTGCTTGGCTCTCCACTTCCACATTAAACTTATCTCCAAGTTCTCGTAGTGTGCTGGCAATAGCTTTTGGATCAAAAGAGCTTGCAGAGCTATCTGAGACTTAAACAAAACAGATATAGTTTGTCTTTACCTGATTCATTCCATTCAAATGCAAGTTCTAAAGACCTACATTCAATTCTTAGGCACAACAGCTAGAGTAGACCCATTGCATGAATGAGCATTTGGCCAGTCAAGGTTTATGTACATTCCATTCAGTAAAACTGGTAAATTCCACTTCAGACTAACACATTTATGTTGCTATTTATATCCATATGATGTCCCTGTCTTCGGGAATATACCACTAAAAAGTTGGGACTATAAAGTACACAGAGCAGGAGTAGTATAGTTGGCAGGGTCTGACACATCTGTATTTTATCTATTTATAGCAATATCTATATACACGGTATAAGAAAAAATGTGTGTTGAGGAATCAGGATGTACTCTTGCAAGTTGCTGCAAGACTACATCCTGCTTCCTCAATTATTGGGCAGCATTTTGTTAATTGTCAAGGTACCTAGGAAACTGAAAAATGTTTAAAATATTAACACTCCCTCCTCCTATAAGAAAAGTAGACAATGTATGGGCCACCCCATTCTGGAATCTGAGCTACCAATAATATATTAAAATGATGCTCTTTTGTATGTAACATGATATTTGTATTACAGTAACAACAAATATTTTTTGGGGAGGGGGATTTATTTTTGTAAAATAAAAAAACTGATATGTTTTCCCCCCAAAATTCATTGTTATTGTAATACAAATATCAAAGAGAAAGCGAAACACAAAGTATTCAAGATGGCATTTTTTATCACGTTTCAGTATTTTACAATGGCATCTTTGAGACCTCAGAATGGAAATCCAATATCCATATGCCGTTCAAGACTATCCCCCAGAGCTTGATAGCTATTTAGCAAGGGATTTTCCAACCTTTGACTGATCAAATACAGGGAACAGTTGCCCACTATTTGAATTAACTGGTTTTCATATGCAGCTTTCATATGTAGTTTTCATAATGATCTTATATCAATGTTCAGTGAAGCAACTTCCAGTTTCTGGTCCTCCTGGGTTAGAAAATGATTGCTGTCTTATAGAAAAAGATAGATACGTCCATGCATTCGAACAAACAAAACTCAGGTTATAGTTTTTTGATTGGATAATAGAGTGTCTTTACCTGCTAACCTCAAAAGAGCCACCAAAGTCAGGTCTTCATGATTATAATAATTCAGGTCTTGTTTCAAAAGCTATTCTTGCTTTATCTGAATTTTAATGTAATTAACATGAAATAGTATAATTGATAAAAATGCATCTCATGTCTAGGAGTCTATGAAAATTTATGCTGCCAGTTTTTCTCAAAAGGTGATACACCATCCCTTTCCATACTGAACCAGGCTAATACAACTATGCCAGGATTTCTTTTACATCCACCCATTTCAAAACTCCTCTCTTTGCACACTTTTAAATTGATAACTTCTATACTTTGCCAAACAAATTCTCTTACCTGTATCATCTTTGGAAGGCGTGGCTTTTAGGCTACGAAAAGTTGCTCCAGAAGAGTCAGACTCACAAAGTAATTCTTCCACAATCTGCTTTGTTTGTTCTTCAAAAGTTAACTTCATGTTAGCTTTCCTGTAGTCTAAATATAAGTTGCTAGACTACTTTTCCAAATTATTCTACCTCTGGGCAAGAAGGCTTACTCAGGATGTCTCAAGTTTTTTCTTTCTGAGACAGAACATATGGCTGGAACTAAAGCTGTATATTCTCCAGGTTATGTCAGCTTACAAGAGGAAGTTTTCCCGTATTTGTACTGCTGCCACACCCACAGTATCTATCAACGTACTGCTGCCACACCCACCAGACTATCAATATTGAGTAATATTGCTAGGATATTTTTTGCACGTCATTGGTGCAGTCCCTTTCTCCCTGCAGGAGCCTTGAGTACTTTGTACCGCTATACAGATACTTTGCTCTTTGGTGTATTCATTCAAGTAGTTTCCAAGAGTGTGTGACTTGCCCAAGTTCACATAGTGGGTTTCTATGGCCAAATAGGGATTCAAACCCTGGTTTCCAGAGCCATAATACAATGTTCAGACCACTACATTTCATTGGCTGTTACTTAACAAAGTTGTTTTCTAGTTTAAGATGCATTTTCTATGTATTTCTGATATGAGGTTGCAAGGAACTAAGTGCTGACAGAGATCAACATTAGGCTTCATAACCAGCATTGTGTACTGGTAAAGAATAATAGTATAGATGTAAATGAAAGTATGCAAACTAGTTTGACGTGGCTCAAATGTGAAAGTGAGTGCAGCTGAAACCTTTTTCCAAAAATGCACTGAATCTTTTTTCCCTCTAGAACAGAATAATCCTCCAACGGATAAGAACAATTGCTTTGCTGCAAATAACCAAAGCTAGTAATAAAAAGACAGACAAAAAAAACCACCCTTGTACAAAGACAAACACAGTGCAAGCAGATCCCACCAAAATGCTAAATTCACTCTGTTTTTAGCCTGAAATTCCATGTGTGAAAAATATCTCAGGAAAATGCAAACAATGTGATGAATCCTTTCCATGTATATACAACAGGCTAATATGTTAGAATCAAGTCTAGCAGCATTTTCTAATAAGCTATGAATAACTGAGAGATGAATTCGACTTTCATCTTTTGGACTCTGATAGCCTCTTCTGAAGATAGAGCCACTATCTCATACAGCATTTCTTTTAATGGCCCAACATTTCTTACACAACTCCTGATTTCTGGTAAAAGACAACCCTCTGAATGAAGTTTCACTTTTATTTTTATCACCATTGCTGCTACTGTTGTTGCTCTTGTTTTACTTAGCAACATATAACATGTTTTTTTCTTTTCTATTTACTTTTGAAGTGGTGATTAATACTTAAAGATCAATTTCTTAGGTAACTCTTATTGAACAGTGTTATTTTTTGGATTACAACTCCTGGGATCCCTTCCAGCCACCACAGAAAGCAACCAATGCTCTGGCTTTCAGCAAGGAATCAGAAGTGCAGAGCTCTGACAACAAAAGTAATTTGCCTTTTGCTGTCCACTCCACTGGCAAGGAAAGTAGAAAAAGTTATGGAGAAAAAATGTGACCCACCCATTTTTACCATAGCTTGCACCCAGTGCCAACATACATTTTTCAATAGATTAAGCATGACGGAATGCAGTCCTTGACAGACACAAGGTTGCTCACCCCTGAACTAAAGTATCAGCAGTTTTCAACTATGAACTATGCTTGATAAATATGACACGTAGGATTTCTGGCAGAAAGATACCATATTCTGAACAACAAGATCCTTGGCCATCTTGGAAGAAGACAAGTCTCATTTTAAAAGTACAAACTGGAATTTTCCTATGAAATCCCTTCCCTCCTGCAGGCATGGAAGGAAAGGGTCTAGTTCAGGCATGGGCAAACTTCGGCCATCCAGGTGTTTTGGATTTCAGCACCCACAATTCCTAACAGCTTAGCGGCTATTAGGAATTGTGGGAGTTGAAGTCCAAAACACCTGGAGAGCCGAAGTTAGCTCATGCCTGGTCTAGTTGCATTCAAGAGAGCAAGCAGTACTAAATTCTTTTTTCTTTTTTTTTTACTGTTAATAAATGAGGTATCTTGCAAAATTGGCCCAGAATGATACAACTATAGTTGTCTATACTTTTTCCCACGTGGCAACTCCATTACTTTCACCAGAGGGGCATCTAAGAGACATTAGGAGACATTACCACAAGGTGACAGAGATCATGCATGTATCTGCTCTTTGCACACAGACCCTTTTCTTCATTAAGACAATGTTTTGCCCCACCTAAAGGTGTTTCTTTCACTCCAAGTGATAGTCCACAAATTAGGAACAGGTAAAATATAGGCAGAGGGAAGAGATTTATATATAAATCTTTATAAAGGCAGAGACCTCAGAGAAAAGGCCCAACTGATTCCAGACGATTCCAGAGAGATATTCCACAAGATTTTCCACAGAAGCAAGAGCAGTAGAAATGTCTAAAGTCCTCTTCACCAGAACCAGTTTCTCTGCCGTATTTGGACTTTTCTTTAAATCAGAGGGAGAGAGAATTCATGTGTGTGTTAGTCTGAAGCCCCTTTACTCACAGCATCTTTAGACTGGTCAGGGGTAAAGTTGTTAGGTTTCTAACTCTATCTTTTCTGTCTTCTTAATAAATAAATTGTTTTTGCTTTAGCCAACTTCTTTTCCATTTTGCAGTTACTTGTCCATTATTAAAACATTGAGCCCTAAAGATCCTAGAGAGAATTAGTGCCTGGAGAGTTTTCCCCCCAAACCAGTAAACCTAGGTATTGATCACTGACATCACTGATTCCTATCATTCTTGGAACAAAGGATTGTGAAAAGGCTTTACTGGCAATTCGTAAAACTTTAGCCTGAAGAATATAGTAAAGTTAATCATACAAAAAAAAGTACTGGATCCTCCCACTATAGTTAATAACAGGGGTTTAAAAAAGTTCATGTCAGTCCTGCTACTGTCCCAAGCACAGTCTTCAAGACTGAGACAAAGGCCCGCAGCACTTCAGGCTTGTTATCACTCTGCTTCACCAACATTTGTATCTCAAGCCCTCCAGTCTCAAGCAGCAATTCAGTCAGGAAAAGGCAGCCAGTGTCATCCTGGGCTGCCAGATAGGCTTTCCACAGCTGAGAACCAGCTTTGCTCATTGCAATGGTCTGGATATGAACAACCTGCAATGCAGCCTTTATAGCGTCTGGTGACACCATTTCCTGCCAGGGAACAGATTGCTGGCAGCCCACATCCAGATTTATCCAAGTCCTCTCAAACTGCTCAGCAGTCAGACACACGCTGGGCATTAGAGTAAAATCGCTTGAACTGGTGTTATTAGAAGGAGCTTCATCCTTATCTTCTGTCACTGGGGGTGCTGCAAAAGAAGAAGAAACAAAACATGAACCACTGCATGCTTCATACCAATGAAAAAAGCTATAATTCAAACTACAATGTCATAAAGAATCAAGGACAAAAACTAGAAGCACTAGCTCATTTGCCCTTGATTGCCAGAGCCTCTCAAAAAAATGAGAAAGGGGAAAATTAGTAGAAATGGGGTATCATTAACACAAAGAAAGCACACTGGTGGAATAAGATATGCTCAGGGTGGTGAGTCCCCTGAGTTCTTCTCAGATTTAGAGAACAAAATCTTCCCCAAAAGAAAATAAAAAGCACCTCAACAACAAAGGTAACATTTCCAAGCACGTAGAGCAGAGCTTTTCAAACCTTTCATGCTGCTGATACACGTTTTAAACATACATCATATTGCAACACAGTAATTGAGTTTTACTAGCAAACTAGAGGTTGTAAGACATGTGGATACATACATAAATTGTAATAATGCAATATATGGGGACACAACATGTTTCCCCTGACATTAAGTCTAGTCATGTCCAACTCTGAGGGGTGGTGCTCATCTCTATTTCTAAGCCGAAGAGCTGGCGTTGTCTGTAGACATCTTCAAGGTCATGACTGCATGGGGTGCTGCTACCTTCCCGTAGAAGTGGCACCTATTGATCAACTCACATTTGCATGTTTTCGAACTGCTAAGTTGGCAGAAGCTGGGTCTAACAGCGGAAGCTCACCCTGCTCCCCGATTCAAACCACCAATCCTTCAGTCAGCAAGTTCAGCAGCTCAGTGGTTTAACCCGCTGCGCCACCATGTTATGAAAACCTTTCATTTATATTTTAAAAAACACATGCTTTGTAAGACAATAACATACATTACCAAGATTTTTGTCACTTCTCATTACGTTTACACGACATACCTATACATTGCAGCCAACAACACTAATGTGTCATGACACACAGTTTGAAAAACTGTTCTAGACTGAATAAGCATAACTGAAAATCATCTAGCTGAATTAGATGCTTATAGCACCATTTCTCATTGGAAGTATTGGTTTTTTTAATTAAGGGCAAAGCGAGCTCAGAAAGCGGAGATAAGAGACTGAACCACCAATTAAAGTTTTTTTACCTTTGCTCACCGTGGAAGCGTCTTCACAAGGCGAGTCAGCATGATGAAGATCAGTCAAAACCTGGTTGGCTGTCATAGTTGTCCAATGTTCTTTGCCATAGATGGGCACCAAAGTGTTGAAGTCAGAGGCCCACAGGTTCACAGAGCTTTCGGCCTGTTCTTCCAGAAGTCGTAGAGAGTGATCGGATGTTGGGCTGCACAGAACTCTTTTTGTCTCCTCCATGCCGGCTTGCAAAAGACGATAGTAGAACAAAGCACGGTCCCGAACTGTCATGTCTCTTTCCTCTTCTTGGATGAAAAAGAATAGTTTTGCTTACAACAAAGAGCAAAATATTCATTCAATTCAAAATTTGGATATACTATGCTATCAGGTAGGGTACACCTTGTGCTGCTCTTATTTCTATCTTTGGTAAATTTGTAGCAAGTGTTTAAATTCCATTCTGGCTTTGCCATCTATGGATTTTTAAAACTGGAGCAATTCTGTCACACAATTCCTAGTAACCTATAATTACTATGGCCAGTCCCCCAACAGAAATATCACAATTGTCTTTGTCATGATATAGAACCTCTCTTAGAAGGAATATCCTTACCTATGCAGTAATAAAGCAATCGGCCCAACGTGTCTTGACATTCAGCAGGACGTGCTATGAAGAGGCGTACCAATGCTGTCAGCAACTCCACCTTCACTACTGAGAATGTCTCTGATTTTACATTGTCAACAAAATCTTCCAAGATATAAGGGACATTGGGAATTCTCTCCCCATGCACTCCCAGAAGCCAGATTAATGCTTGCTTGCCCTGTGAAATGAAACCAAACACCTCAGAATCAAAACAACATTACTTGATTTAATATTTAGAATTGCTGGGACAAAGATCATGCAACTAAACCAACATGTTGAAAAGAAATCAGCTGAATATGTGTAGATTAGAACTTACTGTGAAGTGAGCTCACAGGGCCTCATCATCTACCCAGTTAACAATTCTGATCCCAATTAGTGTAAAAAATAGGGTTTTTTTTAATGAGAAGGCTGATAACATTTTTATTAACATTTTTATTAGTCTATGTAAAATATACCAATCACACAACCAATATTAATATGATATAGTGAATTAAAAAGCAAAGGGGTACACATGTTCCTGAGAAGATATAGCAGGCCAGAAGAAAATTACCAGAGTTACACATATAAAATGGTCTTTTATATATATGATGATGCCTAAGTGAAGAAAAGAGTGTGACACCAAAGAGAGATCCAGTTGCATCAACATAAAACCTTCCTTCTTCATTAATAAATTGAAATAGAAGTACAGAAATATCAAACAGATACGAACAGAAGATGACACTCATCTCTTTCTCTGTTGATAACATAAGGCAATAATCCAGTATGGCTGGTTTGAGATGGTTTTTAACAATTTAATTTTAAAGTGGTTACAAGTGATTTTAATGTTTGTGTATATTTATAGTTTGTTTTTATTCCAGCATTGAATGTTTGCTGCATTTATGTTTCCCCGGTCCCCTTCTGAGTGAGAAAGACGGAATATAAATGCTTTAAATAAATAATAAATTAATTTGAGTATCATATTCATTGTCATGACTGCGTCCTATAGAATCCTGGGATTTAAAATCTGATGATGTAATAGAGCTCTCTGGCTGAGATTTTTTTTTTTTGTATTTTTGGTGTGGATGTCACATGATTTTTAATTGTGGAATGTAATGTTTTAAATGATTAATATGTTTTTAATTTTAATTAATTTAATTTTTTTAATTGTATAAGTTTTAAGGCATTGAATTATTGCCTCTATGTAAGCTGTTTTGAGCCCCCTTTGGGGTAGATAAAGGTGGGGTATAAATTGAGTAAATAAATAAATACACACATTTTAATGCTGCTTCTCACTTTCAGTACCTCAAAAGATCTTTGCTACAGCAAAACTAGGTCCAAGAAAACAAGTGGACAAAAAATAAGATCATTTTAAATTTAAGTCAAGAGCAACTGACATTATGAACCTTGAGAAATGTAATTGAGGAAAATGACTCAGCAAATGAACCTCATTTGCCACTGAGGGGTGCCTAACATGAGAAGCTGGCTTAATCTTGATGTAAATGCAAATTGTGCTGGCATTGAGCTCTGAGTCTTTTGTTTAATATTGAACTTGTTCTGGACTTTGTCCTTTCTCAACTAAAAAAGCAGGTATATTACTGCAACAGCAGCTACTGCTGGTGCTTCCTTTAAAAAAATGATCTTTTGATTTCTTTCATGCCAGTTAGAAAAAGTGGGGACAAATGGTCATCAAACATCAGTGAGGATTGTATCTTGCTGCTTCCCCAAGTATTTGTTTTCTGTCCTTCTGCCTGTAGGATTCTAATCTGTTCTTGATTTATTTCGAGAAGATGTATATATACTTTCTTCCTGACTTCCTAACCCAGCAGAAAACAAGTCCCGTCCTCAGTGTGACATCCTTTTAAAATTGAGTAATTTTATTTTATGTGTGTTGGTAGTGGTTGTTGTTATAATTTTATGTGTTACTGTTTTATAGTTATGTACCATTTTATGTTATATGCTGTTCCTTGAAGTGCCTTTGTAAGCCGCCCCAAGTCTCTTTCGGAGATGGTGGTGGGATATAAATAAAGATGATGATGATTACTATTATTTCAAAAAAAAAATGTTGTAGTTGTTTTGAAATGATAAGTAGTTGTTCTTTGTAAAAAGTCAGGAGTTCTGTCTTGAAGTTGGAAATAAAAGGAATTACTGCTGATATAGTTTGGGGGCAGAAACGTTCCTGCAGAAATAGATGCAGACAGCTTGGCCTTGCAGTTCTGGAGGTCTATGGAACAGAACTGGTCTTACGTTTTCCAGTGGGGGACATATAAGAAATACGTTTCCATTATGTTCTGCTGTCCCTGTTGTTTCTGCTGAACTTGTCAATGTTTTTTTTTTATATACCACTGGCCATGGTATCCTTCTAGAGTGTCTTGCTTGGACAAGGCTTGGGGAAGTGTTTTACAGGACTCTGCTGTTTCCTGGAGGGATGCTCTCAGAGGGTGAGGAAGGGGGTTTCCTGTTAGACTTCTTTGACCACGGGCCTGTGGAGTCCCTCAGGTTGGATTCTGTCCCTATGCTACTTAATATACACATGAAACTGCCACAAGGGATTGTGAAGACTTTGGGGGTGGGTGTCACCAGGATGTTGATGATGCCCAGTTCTATCAGTCTTTTCTACCTAACACCAAGAAAGCTGTGCTAAGCCAGAACCTGCATCCATAATGGAATGGTGGATAAAAAAAACTGAACCAAATCCAGATTGACAGAAGCCAACTGAAAGACAGATCTTGGAACAGGGCTCCAGCCTTGAAGATGCAGATTTGATGGTATTTCTGGATTTAGTCCTGAGTTTCAGAAGTGGTCAGGGGTGGATTTTGCACAATTAAAGCTAGTGTGCCAACAATGCTTATTCCTGCAGAAGTTTGATCTGGCCACAGTAATAGATGTTTTAGTCATACCCTGTTTGGATTCATGTAATACGTTCTACATTGGGCTGCCTTTAATAAGGACTTAGAAACCTAAATTGCCCAAAGACTTCCAGTCAGATTCTTAGTGGGGATTGGCTACAGAGAACACACAATGAATGCCCTCGGGGCAGCAACTGTGCTGGCTGCCAGTCTGTTTCTGGGCCCAGTTGAAAGTGCTGGCGAGAACCTACAAAGTCATATATGAGTTAGGCCTAAGCTTTTTGAAGCACCATATCTCCCTATTTGATCTTTTTAGAGATATTTCTCTCTATCCTACTACCTTTTCTATGTCAACCCATATAGACTGTACAGCTGAAAACTGCCATACCAGACTTAACGGAAAGAAAAATCGTGCAGTTCTTTCCCATTCAGTCTCTGATAAAACTGTAATAGATAAAATAGAATTCTATCATATACTCAAGAGGTTCATGTACAAACTGCACCATATAAGATCATGGATTTTTTGCTGGAAAAATATAGGAGTTTTATTTACTTTATATCAAAGTTGCATTTCTCAACTTGCTGTCTGATAAGAGTTTAATATAGCCTCAATTGAGTCATCCACAATTTCTGCTTACCTCACTATCCTGAATATTCTCTTCACAGCCAGGTAAAGCCTGAGAGACGCTCTCTGTACACTGTGGACACAACCACACCAAGTCACGGAATACCTGCACCACAGCTATAAAGGAAATTCAAAATAGAGAGCAATAAAATCCAGAGTGAAACAGTCAGTAATATTAAAATATACTAAGAGCCGAGTTCGATAACAATATGCTCCCTCAGATGTGGAGTCTCTTTCTCTGAAGGCTTTTAAGAAGAGGCTAGATGGCCATCTGTTGGGAGTGCCTTGACTGTGCATCCCTGCAATGCAGAATGGGATTGGACCGGATGGCCACTTGTGGTCTTTTCCGACTCTTATGATTCTATGATTCTAAGGGGCCCATCTATCCTGATTGAGAAGGAAGACAAGACAATTACAGTGCTGTCTTCTGTCTCTACCACTTCCTTGTTCCCAGAATGCAAAACATGCACTTCTAATGGAGACTGCAAATGACTGCAAGGTTTATTGAGGAAGAGGAAGTCTTTCAAATAACCTTGCCCTAAGTACTCTAGGACTTTATAGATAAGAAATAGCATGTTGATTGCAGCATGGAAAGTAATCAGAAGCAAATGCAACGTAAACAATATTGTCTCAATATGGATATAAAATCGGGCAACAGAAATTATTCTGGTTCAGAATCTTAGCACTACCTGCAGTTTAAAAATACACTGCAAGGCCAGCCTCAAGAATACTGTAAGAATCTAATCTGGATGTGACAACATAAATGTATATGGAGCAGTGTCCACACTTGCTTTGACCTGAAAGGAATGCAAATGGTGCATCAGTTGAAGCCATGCAAATGCACAACTACCTGACAATACAGTACCAGACATGAAGCCAGAAACCGACCTAGACTGCAGATCTCAAACCTTTTATAGGGAGCAAACCTGCTTAGAAAAGGTTACACAGCCAGACCTGACCAGCACTTCTATTGATCAGCTGGAATCATTTCTTGTCTGCAAAAACACCATGGCTTTTAGTCCCCAACCAACGCATCATTGCACTCAAGACACCAATTCAATTTTTTCCTTACTTTCTCAGAAAAATATCATTTTATCAATTCAATTTATTAAATGCATTTATCACTTGCAACCCATCAGGGTCCTCAAGGCATTGCATAATTGATAAAAACATTTTTTTAAAAAATGGTCCAAACTCCACTTTTCAAAAAGAGGCTTTAAAACTTCAAAGAGTTAGTGATAGTGGCTTGCTATTTTTGTGCCAGACCACAAGTTATTATTTGAGAAAATAATTTAAGATTTAAGAGATTTCAGAGATTTGAAGGAGCAGCTAGAAAAATACATGCTTTTCCATGTCATCTAAAATAATGAGCTCAATCATGCAAATGAATGCTTGAAGCAATCCAGATACTTCAAAAACCTTCAGAGTACATAAGTATGCCAGTGCAGTCAGAAATCTAGTTTATCTGATATAAAAGACACAAGCAAGAAAAGATTAAAGGGCGAAACCTGCAATAGCACTGGCAAAACTGTATTGTAAAGATCATCCAATAGTTAAGGCACAGAACAAAATCCAATCAGAAAGAATGTAATCGTTACCTGAAGTTATATGCTCTTGTTTCAACTCAAGAAGCTCTGTTAGGATTCTTACACATTGCTCTGTATAGGTCCTTGCAATCTTTCCTGAAAACACAATGTAAAACTTTAATAAAGAGACAAAAAAAACTTTCTCTAGTACTTTCAGCACTCAAAGGAGTGGAGATGAATCATGAAGAAAGGACTTCTTTCCTCAATAAAGATTCTTTCTTTCTTTTTTTTTCAAGCCTAAACCGTCCAAGATATGAGAAAACAGTAAAAATAAAAATGAGAGCACTCAACTAGGACAGCATGTGTCCTTTGAATACTACCGTATTAGTTGTTGCTAAGAATATGATTTTGAGGAAGAAATTCTATGATAGGTTCACATTAGGGTCACTGTATGTTGGAAATGACTTGAAGGCTCACAACAACCTTCTCGATACCTACAAAACAAAAAAAGGGGGGGGGATATAATTCCCAAAGGCACTTAGCAGTGCCGTAACTCACTAATGGCGCATACTGAACAACCAACAATTAATGGCATCTCTGGAGACAGAAATACAACCATATGAAGACCTGTATGAGCTTTCAACAGAGATCAAACAAAATGATCAGATAATAGAGTGGGTTCTGCCCCTGCACTAGCTAATTATTTTGGTGTCTGTTTTGCAGGGAACAGATTGACTGCTACATATTTGAAGTAAAAACAACAATTATTGAATAACAGATCTCAGACTTGTATAAATTAAGCAGTCTGGTTACAATGAGAAAAGTAGAAAAAGTGAAAAGAACAACTCCAGCAAAAATGTAATGTAGAAAAGGGTAATTCACAACAAACTTTCTACTGCATACCTTAAAAGTAGAAGCTATGCCATCAATTTGAATTATAAGAAAGTTCAATATATCTGTGACAGGCACCTGAAGTTCAAATATAGGTCACTGCTATTGTGTGTTTTCAAGTCATTTCCAGTTTGAGACAACTCTATCACGGGACTTCCTTCACAATATTTTGATGTTTGCTAGTACTTTCTTTTAGGCTGAGTGAGTATGACTTGGCCAAGATGCAGCAAGTTTCCAGTGTTTTGAACTCTGGTCTTCAGAGTCCTAGCCCAACATTGAAACTACTACACTATACTGGCTTCTTCAGTCATTAATGATGTGTGCATTAATGATGAGCAAAATTTCATCTAGATACATCTTGAAAAGAGGTCTAATAACCCTAAATTCCTGCTCAAATCAAACATAAAATAGGTGACTGCAACCTGAAATATACTTACCCCAGGGTAAAATTGTCAACTTAGACACCACTGAGAAGTCAGGTATTGCCAGTACCAAAGATGGCAGAATTCATGCCAACCCAATTCTAAATATTATTCAAACACTGGCCTGTTCAATCTTATAGTATGAGCAAAGTTGTGAAACACAACCTCAGCCAAAGAAAAGAGTATACCTATTATGAATTTCTTACTCTTTTTTCAGTCCCTAAGAAATTGGCAGATAGAGAATTGTATTCATTAACCTATGATCATGCTATCTCTCCTACCTATGGCAAAGATTGCTCCCTGTGCAAGTTCTGCTGAGATGTCAGTACAGTAGTCCCTCAGTTCCTCCAGGACCTGCTGTACATTCTCATCGTTCACCAGTTTGCACAGCACCTCCATTTTCTGGCACTTGATGTAATATGGTTCTGAGTAAGAGCAGAAGAACTTCTTGTAATGGCTGCTGAAGTGGCCAGGAAGGCTGTCTAAGATCTGGCGCACATGACACAGAGCAGCAAAGCAGAGCTCTCTACTTTCAGAGGTACAAGCAGCCAGGAGTGGACCCTTCACTCTCACAAGGACATCTGTCTGCACATGAGGAAAGTCTCTAGCCAGCACAAGGAAGAGTTTAGTGGCAGCCATGACCACATTGCAGCTGCTACTCTTCAGATAACTATCCAATAAGTTAAGGATGTCAAAGAGTTCTTCGTCACTACGGGGTTTGTAGCGCAGCAGAAAGGTCAGTACCTCACTCTGACCCCATTGGTCTAGATCAGGCATCCTGTCAGAAAAAGCAAAAGCAACATTGTGAATTTATAGCTTGCCTTTCTCTCATAGATGTAGATCAGAAGTCCATATGTAAATATTAGCTATAAATATATTTGAACAGAAATGAAATCATTTACGAAAATTTAACTCCCCAGGTATCAAGATATGGCTTCTAATGAATGTCTTCAGAAAACAAATACCAAAATGGAACTGTCAAAAAGATAATTGTACATGCACTCAGTGTCTGTATAAGAGAACAAGGAACTAACAGAACACTAGAGGTCTTCACTCCAACCTCTGGCACATCAGACACTGAAGGGATCTTTGTGGAGTGGAAATGGCTTCGCAAAGTAAGCAATTGATAACACCTTTCCTTAGAAATGTTCTCAGAAGGAATAAACAGAATTAGATGGTTATATCACCAGCATATGACCAGTGCACTGTTCACCCATAAGCTGGCTAAAATCCAATGTTTAAAGAGTGGTTTTGATTGATCAGTTGATACCTACAACATCCCTTTAAAACCAGACTAGCAATCAAGTGTTACCCAGGGCCACTGTCATCTGCATGCCAACCAACTCCTTTATTTAAACAAATGTGTATACAAATTGATGATCCCTGCAATTTTATGCACAATACTTTTAATCGCTTTGTGCATGACACAAAGTCTGTGTCCATTCAATGACCAGAAAGCTAAACTGTCACTACCTCAACCATCTATGTGGACAATTCTGGAATATTTTGGAATTTCAGAGAGGGTCTACTCAATGTGCAATAGCTTTTCATTAGAACCACCTTTTTTGAACTCTCCTTTAACATTATTCTATTGAAATATGTGAAATTCACTTCATTAGATACTACAGACCACTTCTAAAGCAGACAGTTGGCATTTTAAAGCCATTACAAGTATACTGCAACTGTGAAGACACAAAGTATACTTTCCCTGAGAAGCAGGTTTCTGCAAATTCACAAACTAAACAAAATGATTCCTCCAATTTACAGAAGTGTTTGTGGAAGCCCATACCTATTAAGAAGATGGTGGGCAATGGGCTTGTTGATAACAACTCCTCCTTCATGTGCCAAAATCTCCTCAAGGGCCCGCAGACAATTCACCACCACAATAGGATCCTGGTCACGAAGCAAACTATACAATTCATTCACAAGTGCACCATCTGTGAAAACAATCGAAATCAGAAAACCCGACTCTAGGTGTGCTGATCTTCCAGGCAGTTATTTATTTATTTACAGTATTTTTATCCCGCCCTTTTCAACCCCGAAGGGGGCTCAGAGCGACCTCACAAAGGCAACAATTCGATGCCACATCAACAATAATATAAAATCAACATATACATTAAAGCACAAATTTAAGAGCCATGTAAACATTAATTAAGAGCCATATAAAAATTATCATTATCATAACAACTACAATCAAAAGAATTCAATCCATCCAATAATACAACAGTTTTCTCAGAAGCACAGTTGCCAAATGACTGCAGAAAGTATCCAAGTGAGCAGAGGATAATTTCACTCACGAAAATGTCTATGAACATAGCCTCCTCCCTTAAACAGCTTCAGAGGAGACTGTGTTCAGTGAAACTATGTTAAACATCATGCCTGATCCCTGCACTGCAGCATCAAAATGAACTGTCTACACATTTATTCAAATGTTGGATGTGACTGAACAGACAGGTAAATAAACATGCATATTTACCCACTTCACAGTCTCCCTGGAGTTTCTGCATCTTTGCACATCCAAGAACAGCTACTCTTCTAACATAAGAGGCTTTGTCTCGCAGGCCATTCAGGATTGGCTGTTGTATATATTCCTGTATGCCAGGCAGCCTGGAAACATTGGAAGTTTATCAGACTCAAGAGTTTAAATCCCTCTTAATGGCATTTACACATTACTGCTTTAGTATACTTAGACATTTAATTAAGGCCTTCAGGATGGTGCCACTTTGAAACAAATTTAAAACATGCTTCCCATTCTATGCACACATCCCTTTAAATTAGTTTCATTCTAGTAAGAGAAACAGTCCTCCTAAAATACTTCTCTCAGTTCCTTGGCTTCCAAGGACATTTGTGCTAGTCTTAAAAGGACAACAAAACAAAATGCTATTTTGCAATAACATCATCAAGACTAAGATACCAATAAAACAAACGAAGTCAGGAGTTCTTTAGAACTCTCCTTCAAGCTATTCAAAATTAAAAAAAAGAGAGAAACAGAAAGGTACAAATATGAGGCCAGGTATTTCTGTGCTCAGAATGAATGCATCTTCTTTTCATGGATCCTGCAGATTCCAGAACTAATGTAAAGAACCTACTTATACTCATGTACCACTGCTAAGATTTAAACACGTTTAAAAATTATTACAAGTTGAGCTAATGAGATTTATTAAATAATAAAAGTTGTACCAATACTTGATTTAGTAATGCAAAACAGTTCATCTTGTGTGAGGACCAAGGCAAACAGCACCACATTACTTCCGAACCCAAGAGTGACTTTACCTGAGACTGCACATGCTGCGCAGGGCCAGTCCCCTAACCATAGGGTTTGGGTCTGAGCAATCTTTGCATAGAGTGTTGATAGCTAGGAGAGCTAAATCGGGCTTCAGTGGAGCATATGTGCACATGTACAAGTAAACTAACTTCTTCTGAACAATGTCCACAGTGGCACTAGCTTTAACCATCTCCATAAAAACACCAGACACATCTACACCTTGTGTCATATGCCTGAAAAGAAGAGGTAAAAGCGTGTGAATATGTGGCTACATATTATAGTACTTTAAAATCATAACAAAACCCAGTAATGGTCAGTGTCCATGCATAAACCATACATAATCCTGGGAAAAGGAGAACAAGATCAGTATGGATGCACATAAAATACTCAGAGAAAAGCTACAGCTTCAACATAAACATAAACTACTCAAATAAAAGTTTTTTAAAAAGCATTTCAAACAAAATTATTTAAGAGGAGAACAAGGAAAGTGAAGTAGAAAAGTATAAGAGAGAGGGGGGAGCTGCAGAGCAGCAGATCTTGACTCTTTGACCAAATACTATTGTTTACATTCTGGTTTATTTAATAGCTAAGAATCAGATACAGAATATAGTACAGTTATCACTTTCTCTGATACAACAATTTACATAATAGCAACCAAGCCCTTGTCAAAGTTATTAGAGCATACTCAGAAAAAGCTTCAGCATTTTCCCAAGTCTATTAGACAACTATTTAGCATAGTACAGACCTGATCACACGCTGAATAACATTTCTATAGCGGAGCCGATCAGCTTGTACATGTGGGTTAGACAGTGCTCTCTTCAGCTCCTTCAGAGCATCCTCTGATCCAAGGTATGGCATCCTGCAGATAATCTGAACTCCTAGAAATTTTGAACATTGAAGAACCTTCTGTTGTAGACACAAAGAGTTAATGTGTCAGGTGGGAATTCTGCCCTTTCCCTGCAATGTATTGATTATGATGATGACCACAATGATTTTACTGACATCAATATGCATATTTAGTTTAACAAATGCCATAAGCCTAAGACAACTTGAAGGCACATAACCCATAAAGACAACAGTGCAATGTGTCAGCAAATGGAACACAAAAGGGTTTCTGCATGCACCTGAAATACCAGTATGTGCATATATGTAATCAGAGTGAGGATTGATATGTATTGGAGATTTCAGGTTTTTTTGTCGTGTCAGGTGCGACTTGAGAAACTGCAAGTCGCTTCTGGTGTAGGAGAATTGCCGTCTGCAAGGACGTTGCCCAGGGGACGCCCTGATGTTTTGAAGTGTTGCTATCCTTGTGGGAGGCTTCTCTCAAGTCTCCGCATGAGGAGCTGGAGCTCATCCACGCTCTCCCCAGATTCGAACCTGCAACCTGTCGGTCTTCAGTCCTGCCAACACAGGGGTTTAACCCACTGCGAAACCGGGGGCTCAGGTGTACCACACCAAACAAGGCAGCACTCAAAGAAGTAAAGCTGAGATAATTTCTGAAGTACTACTTTAAAGCAATAATGATCAGCGAGAGGTTGAAATAGCTAATTGCTTTTTTCTGCTTCACTTGTACTTAAGCTTCAGAGGTGAGGTGAGGAGGGGAAACAAGTGGGCTACAACAACTATAGAAGGGTTTACGCTCCTTTCAAAACAAAAACAGTCTGCAAGTGGGGGAAAACCAATCCTTTCTCAAATTGCGGTAATACAAAGGATTCATTTCACAGCTCCCTTCCCACCACTATTTAAACCTGCCAGATGGAAAACTGGAAAGGACTCCTACACATTTAATGGTTGTATAGAAGCAGGAATTTCAGCATTGCTCATCATGCAACCAGGTTAAAAAACAACAGCTGCTGAAATTCCCTCCTGGACACACCTCTTAAAAGTATAAGAGCCCTGTTTAGTTATCCATCCAGATGAAGCCAATCCTGTATTTCAGGAGTTTGTGGGAAGAGAGGAAAAACTTACACTGAAGGAACAGCAAATTTGGGTTACGCCACAGGCTCAACACTCTAAATATTATTACTGAAAAACTTGAGTACAGAAGCATTTGGGAAAACCAGTATTTGGGACCTATGTCTAAACACAAAATTTCAAAGTTTCATCCACATAGCCTGAAGATAATTTCATACATTTCAGACAATTTTGTGCACAAAACCACGTTTGTGTACACTGAACCATCAGAAAGTAAAGGTGCAACTCTCCCGGCCACCATCTGGTTGATTTTGGAGTATTCTGGAATTCCAACCAAATAATAATGATAATTCCAGAGGTATAAATGGAACAGGCTACATGGGACTGTTATAAACCATTTCTGAAGACAAAATTTCCAAATACACAGTAAGGTCAATGGGCAATCATTTGCACTTACACTTTCAGGCCATTAACAAAACATAAACTTAGAGCTTATTTTCCACATGAAAGCAGCTTATTTTCCACATGAAATCACAGTTGCATTACTGCCCCGCCCCAGAAAATATGGAAACCTTGTTCTATTATCTATACACAAAAATGAAAATATGTATGCGTGCATGTGCCTGGGGTGTCCTGTCCACTTACACAGACAACCTCCTGCCTCCACAAACAGCTATAGCTCCCACCACTCAGGAGACACCAATGGACACCAGACTCCAATGACATTGCATGTTATAGTGATGGCAAGACCCCTGCCAATGTCCTCCACAAACAACATACTGCCCACCACCCAAGTGAGAACAGTTTCATCCTAGATTTTCTGTTTTTCTTCCACCACAAACATCCCAGTTTTTCTGACTCCATTGGTGTGGAATTTGCATGACCCCGTCCATTGCCTCTCACTTAACTCTTTCCTATTATTTTCTATGACACAAAGCAAACAGAATTGATCAGCAACTGAAGAGAGGTTTGGGGAGAATTCACCATGATTTATAGGAATTGTAGGTACTGGGATGTATAGCTTACTTGCAATCTAAGAACACTCTGAACTCCACCAACGATAGAACTGCAGCTAACTTGGCACACAGAACCCCCAGACCAAAAAAATACACTGGAGGTCTTTGGAGGGATTTATAGGACTTGTAGTTCACTTACATCCAGAGTACACTATGAACCCAAACAATGATGGATCTGGACCAAACTTGGCATGCATACCCGATATGCCCAAATTTGAATACTGGTGGGTTTTGAGGGGAATTGGCCTGGACATTTTGGAGTTGTAGGTACTGGGATTTATAGTTCACCTGCAATCAATGAGCACTCTGAACTCCACACCAAAGATGGAATTGGACCAAACTTGGAACACAGAACCCACATAACCAGCTAAAAATACTTGAGGTCTTTTGGGAAAATTCACCTTGATTTGGGGAAGCTGTAGTTCATCTACATCCAGAGAGCAGTGTGAACCAAATTTGGCACACATACCTGATATGCTGAAATTTGATTACTGGAGGGGTTTGGGGGGAAATGACCTTACTTTCTGGGAGTTGTAGTTCACCCACAACCAGAGAAACTGTGACCTCCACCGATGATGGACCTGGCCCAAATTTGGCACAGAACCCCCATGACTAACTCAACCAACTCGAGGGGTTTGAAAGGACTGACTCATCATAGTGGGAGTTGTAGTTTACCCTGCAAACGGAGAGCACATGAAACCCCACCGATGATGCATCTAGAGCAGATTGTCCAGCATAACAAAATTTAAGTACTAATGGAGTTTCTGGCATGATGGGAGTTGTAGTTCACACACAACTTTATGCATTCTGTACAATTGAAAAATTGACTTTTAAAAAATCAGGCAATGCCGTGTACCCAAGGTAGTTATTAATAATAACGAAACCAGGTATATTAACGCAGCACTCTATAGAGCTGTTATGAACTATTTTAGCATACGAAATTTCAAAATATACAATAAAATCAATAATGCGAATATTATGCTGTGCTAATACTATAATATATTGTATGCGTGTATTATATTGATAATAATATTATAATGTAATACAATACTACTGATAGTACAATATAATAATTATAAAGGAGGCCCTGGTGGCGCAGTGGGTTAAACCCCTGTGCCAGCAGGTCTGAGGACCGATAGGTCGCAGGTTTAAATCCGGGGAGAGCGCGGATGAGCTCCCTCTATCAGCTCCAGCTCTCCATGCGGGGACATGAGAGAAGCCTCCCACAAGGGTGGTAAAACATCAAAACATCCAGGCGTCCCCTGGGCAACGTCCTTGCAGACAGTCAATTCTCTCACACCAGAAGCGACTTGCAGTTCTCAAGTCGCTCCTGACAAAAAAATAATAATAATAATTTAATTATATTACATGTAATATTACTAATAATATTACAATATAGTGATATATATAATACTAATATTGTGCTGTGCTAATAATATATTGTATGTACATATAACTTGTAAGCCGCTCTGAGTCTCCTTCGGGGTGAGAAGGGCGGCATATAAATTAGTAAGATCAATGGGCAATCTTCTGAATGTACAATTCCCCGTTCCTTGGGAAGTCTGACTTGGCTACGGTGGTCCACACTCTAGTTACATCCCGAATAGCGCTCTATGTGGGACTGCTTTTGAAGATAGTTCGGAAACTTCAGTTAGTTCAACGATCGGCAGCCAGACTACTAACTGGGGTGACATACAGGGAGCATACCACCCCCCATTGTGCCAGCTCCACTGGCTGCCAGTCCACCTCTGAGCCCAATTCAAAGTGCTGGTTTTGACCTATAAAGCTCTATACGGTTCTGGCCCAGCTTACTTGTCCAAACGCATCCACCCCTATGTCCCACCTCGAAACCTTAGATCAGGGGTCCACAAACTTTTTAAACAGAGGGCCAGATCACAGTCCCTCAAACTGTTGGAGGGCCGGATTATAATTTGAAAAAAACATGAATGCATTCCTATGCATGCTGCACATATCTTATTTGTGGTGTAAAAAACACTTAAAAACAATACAATAATTAAAATGAGGAACAATGTTAACAAATATAAACTTATTAGTATTTCAATGGGAAGTGTGGGCCTACTTTTGGCTGATGAGATAGGATTATTGTTGTTGTGTGCTTTCAAGTCGTTTCAGACTTAGGTTGACCCTGAGCGAGGGCCGGGTAAATGACCTTGGAGGGCCGCATCCGGCCCCCGTGCCTTAGTTTGAGGACCCCTTAGATCATCCGGGGAGGCCCTGCTCTCGCTCCCGTCAACAGCACAAATGTGCCTGGCGGGGATGAGAGACAGGGCCTTCTCGGCGGTGGCCCCCCGCCTATGGAACACATTCCCAACTGAGGTAAGATCGGCCACCTCCCTCCTAGTTTTTGGGACCAGGCTTTTGGACAATAGATGCAAGCAGCACTTTAATCTAAACTATATCGCACCTTTTCCACATGAAAACAATTACTTTTCCCCTCTGAAAGCCCCCCCCTTTCTCGTCTTTCCCATTACCTTCTGCTTGAGGTGAAAAGAGGGCGCGGCCTAGTCTCCTTCAGGCCCTTCCCTCAGGCCTCGCAAGATGGCCTCGCCATGAGCCCGAAAAGGACTGTTTTATATCAAATTAACCGATAATAAATACATCTACTTTATTCATTTTTGCTTTAGAAAATAACACTGAAGACATTCCCGCACTCCAAACGAAAGGAAATCAGGGCTTAGCACAACTAACTTGAGAACTACAACTTGAAGAATTCTGGGAATTGTAGTGCAAAGACAGCCGAGGGCAATATTGGGAGAGTGCGCATGTCCGCCACGCATGCGCACTAATAACCGGCCAAATTCAGAGAATTGACTGTTCCCAACCGGGTGGAGAATTCGGCGCATGCGTGTTGCTCCGGGTACTCGCGGCCTTCTCTCCACTCGCGAGAGGCGCAATCCCTTCGGGGAGCAAGACAGGATCCCGTCGTTAGGGGGCGCTGTGGCGCTTAGGCGCGGGAAGTTTTTCAAAGCTCTAGTTCCCTGTTTGGCGGGAAGGGAAACCTAGTTGTTTCTTTCCTTGCAGCGGTGGAAGGCGCCTCTAGGATCCAGCCCTGGTTCTCCCAAGTCGGCAAGGGAAGGCGTTTTGGCACCGCGGAGACCTTCCCGTCCCTCTTCCCACATTTCCTGCAACGCTGACAGTAAGCTCCTGCCTTTGGGAAGGGAGAGGGCTGTCGAGACAGGAAACGTAGCTTTTCCAAGGCCTCCAGGGATCCAATCCCAGCATTGGGTCACACTCATAGAATCATAGAATCTAAGAGTTGGAAGAGACCTCATGGGCCATCCAGTCCAACCCCCTGCCAAGAAGCAGGAATATTGCATTCAAATCACCCCTGACAGATGGCCATCCAGCCTCTGTTTAAAAGCTTCCAAAGAAGGAGCCTCCACCACACTCTGGGCAGAGAGTTCCACTGCTGAACGGCTCTCACAGTCAGGAAGTTCTTCCTCATGTTCAGATGGAATCTCCTCTCTTGTAGTTTGAAACCATTGTTCTGCGTCCTAGTCTCCAGGGAAGCAGAAAACAAGCTTGCTCCCTCCTCCCTGTGGCTTCCTCTCACATATATATACATGGCTATCATGTCTCCTCTTCTTCAGGCTAAACATGCCCAGCTCCTTAAACCCCTCCTCATAGGGCTTGTTCTCCAGACCCTTGATCATTTTAGTCGCCCTCCTCTAGACATATTCCAGCTTGTCAATATCTCTCTGGAATTGTCGTGCCCAGAATTGGACACAATATTCCAGGTGTGGTCTAACCAAAGCAGAATAGAGGGGTAGCATTACTTCCCTCTCTCAGCCTCAGAGGAAGGTAGCAATGGTAACACCCTTTGATGCCACCTCCTTCTGTAACAGACCATAGGGAACCGTGTTCCTGCTTCTGAAATACCACCCACAGCATTTGGTATCCATTTGGCGGTTTCCCCTCCAAGTACTAACCAGGCCTGGCCCTGCTTAGCTGTTAGAATTTTGCTCTTCGGGTGCTTACCTGCAGCATATGGCTCCACCTGCCCCTTGCAATGCATGGCGGGTAAGACCTGTGGGTTACACACTGCATTGTTGCTTTGCCTGCACATGCAAACCAGGTGCGTCTACACTGCAGAACTAATGCAGTCTTACACTGCTTCAACTGCCATGGGTTCGTTATTTCATCATATTGTTTTTATCTGATTACGCTGCAGTTCTAAAAGCTTGCTCAAAGAGCCAGGTTTTTACTCTTTTCTGAAAAGTCAGGAGGGAGGGGGCTGATCTAATATCCCTAGGAAGGAAGTTCCACGGCCGAGGGGCCACCACTGAGAAGGCCCTGTCTCTCGTTCCCGCCAAAAGTGCCTGCAAGGAAGGTGGGATCAAGAGCAGGGCCTCCCCAGCTTATTTTAAATTCCTGGATGGTTCGTAAGTAGAGATATGTTTGGACAGTTAAGCTGGGCTGGAACTGTTGAAGGCTTTATAGGCTAAAGCCAGCACTTTGAATTGTGCTCGGTAGCAATCTAGGAGCCAGCGGAGCTGGCGCAACAGCAGAGTTGTATGCTCCCTGAGCGCTGCTCCCATTAGTAACCTGGCTGCCGTCCGTTGGACCATTTGAAGCTTCCAAACAGTCTTCAAAGGCAACCCCATGTAGAGCGTGTTGCAGTAGTCTATACAAGATGTAATTAGAATTCAATAGTACTTGCTCCCTTGTAAGAAAGTGGCAATTCTGTTTGTATTGACTTGGGAGTAAACTTCACTCAACACTGGGGATGCACAAGTTTGCATTGGATCTATCACAAGTCGAGTGGCTGCAAAAGCTTTCAGGAGCCTTTGGCCAGCGAAATGTGTTGAACTTCACGTCCCAGATGTCAAAAATGTTCCCCATCCCTGCTATGAGATTGACTTCCTAATAAATATATATACAAGTAGTCCCCCAGATTACTAACAAGATATGTTTGTAAGTTCGTTCTTAAGTTGAATTAGTATGTAAAGTAGAAAAAGTCCATTTTGTAAGTGTAACTCCATATCTATCTATTAGGCATGGGCAATCCATGGTTCTAAATTACTTGCAAAACTTGCAAAACTTCTAAAGTGTTGCTAAAGCTGGTGCTTTGCTTCTAAAGTGCTGCTAAAGTTTTGGTGGTGAAAATTTCAGAACTCAACAAAATTCAAAATTTCATTATTTTTTCGTTATTGGTGATTTTTATGGCAGAACCAATTAGGAACTGCCATTTATAATGAAATTTTGAAAGTTTTGTTAGAGTTCCGTAACTTTCACCACCAGAACTTTAGCAACACCTTAGAAGCAAAGCACCAGCACCCCCTAGTTTTGTAAATACTACTTTAGAACCATTTAGAACCATAGATTGACCATGCCTACTATCTATCTATATAATTTAGCTTTGGCTAGCATAGGGAAAGGTTAACACCCCTATGGGGTTTGTTTTGCTGTCTGTGACCATTGAGAAGAGTTCACCTCACTATCTGTCCCTGTGATAATTGGATTTTGAAAAATGTGGCTTGTTGTTGATTGGTGATAAAGCTTCAGCGGAGACACTTTTTCCCATGATAACTCTAAGGAATTAATTTCCCTTCCAAGGGATAGATTTCTTTCATTTCCTGTTGTCTCACCCCTGTTCTTAACTATGAGTTGGATGTAAGTCAGATGTTTGTAACTTAGGGACTGCTTGTCCTGAATTCACTTGTCATTTAATTCACCGGGATTTGCCCTGAATAAATATTGAGAATTGTTTGGCAAGCACTGCTACCCCATCCTCACTTTAATTTTTTTTCAAATCTGTATATTATAGTTAGCTGTGGATACCAATAAGAATATTACCCTATTATTAGCCTACTTTCGGTTCCATTTATAATCCTTAATTCATATATAATCATTCTGGATATACATATTTATGCCCTGTTCATTGTTTTCTATTGAACACTGTTAGCATTCCAACCCGTCCCAAACCTTTCCATGAAAAAAGGAATAACTAAGGAGTATTCCAACTTCTCCCCCTTATTTTTAGGACCTGGAGGGATGAATGGGACTCTGATTCCTGGAACGCCCATCGCAGTGGACTTCTGGAGTATCAGGAAAGCTGCCCAGGCCCGCTTGTTTTTCCTCTCCCATATGCACACGGACCACACAGTGGGGCTGTCCAGCACCTGGAACCGGCCTATTTATTGTTCTCCTGTTACTGGCCAAATCCTGCGCCTCAAGCTGAAGGTACGCTTACGCACAGATCTGTTGTCTTCTCCCATTTCACACAGAAAGGCCTATAATTAACTGTTTCATGCCTTCATTTTAATTCTAGGTGGCTGATCAATGGATCCATCCTCTAGAAGTGGGAGAGAACCATGTCTTGGTCTTGGATAAGATTGGGAAAGAGACCATGACAGTGACCTTGATTGATGCTAATCACTGTCCTGGATCTGTCATGTTCCTTTTTGAAGGCTACTTTGGAGTCATCTTATACACAGGTATGGACTTCCTTGTTCATAAGAGACAGGAAGTTCTCATTTTAGATTTCATCTTGTATTCCTTTCTGTGTTCCAATTCTGCTGCTTCTTAGTTTGTCCCTCCACACAAATATCTTTTTTAATTACAGCCTTTAGCTGTTTAATAGAAGGTACCTTGTAAATAGAATTTGGAAGTAAGGAGTTACAACAATGAGTTGGATTGAGGTTGAATTTCAAAAAGCATAATAAACGGGAATGAATTACCACTAGTGTAAGAAGTCAAATTTTAAAGTTGGTTTCAAAGGGCATTTAGCAGGAAATTTTTCAATTTTTTTGTAAAAAAAATAAACAAACAAAAAAACGAAAACAAAGCAAACAGCAACCTTGAAATACAACAAAAAAGTAATGAGCAAAACAACAAGGAAAGAATTACCTGAAAAAAGTAGCAGTAATGAATTACTCTGAACACCACAACAAATAATGAGAACAGATGACTTTTTTTTAAAAAAAATGCCAAGCTTGCTCTTTTTTTTTCTTTTTACCGTAATTGCATTGCAGATTTTACATATTTTGGTCAAGATATAATTCAGTACAGTGGCTTCTTCTCCCTCCAATTTAATCTTCTCTGAGTGGATGGTGAAATGCTGACGGGATTGGAAAAAGGCAGAATTACTCAACAACTTATTTTCCCCAGTCTTCTCCCAAAAGGAAATAAATATTCAACTTGAGCAATATGGAGCGGACGAGGTAATAGGGGATATGTAACCCAAAATAGGTAAAGAAGTAATCAAGGAATACCTGGCTACTCTAAACAAATCAAAGTCTCCAAGGCCAGATGAACTACATCCAAGGGTATTGAAGGAACTAGCAGAAGTCATTTCAGAACCATCTTCAAAAATTCTTGGAGAACAGGAGAAGTCCCAGCAGACTGGAGGACGACAAATGTTGTCCCTATCTTCAAGAAGAGAAAAAAGAGGACTCAAACAATTACAGTCCAATCAGCCTAACACCCATACCAGGAAAGATTATGAAATAGGGCATTAAGGAGGCAGTCTGCAATCACTTAGAAAGGAATGCTGTGATCACTGAAGGTCAACATGAATGTCTCAAAAACAAGTCATGCCAGACTAATCTTACCTCTCTTTTTTTGATAGAGTTACACGGTTGGTAGATGCAGGGAATGTTGTGGATGTAGTATATCTTGATTTTAGTAAACCCTTCAATAAGGTCTCCCATGACCTTCTACACAAACAAACTATTAAAATGTGGGCTAAATAATATTACTGTTAGGTGGATCTGTAATTGGCTAATCCAAAAAGCGCTCACCAATGGTTCCTCTTCATCTCGGAAAGAAGTGATTAGTGGGGTCCCGCAGGCTTCGGTCCTGGGCCTGGTACTGTTTATTAATGACTTGGATGAAGGTTTAGAGGGCTTTCTTGTCAAGTTTGCAGATGACACCAGATGGCCCATTTGGTCTCTTTCCAACTCTTATTCTGTGAATCTCTGTTAATTTTTTAAACAGAGGCTTTTAACAGAGGCTGGATGGCCATCTGTTGGGGGTGCTTTGGATGCGATTTTCTTGCTTCTTGAATGGGGATTGGACTGGATGACCCACGAGGTCTCTTCCAACTCTATGATTCTATGATTTCCTGTTTCCTAGGCAAGATACATTAGTATATTGAGTATTGTCAAATATAGTAGCTCTAGATTAGACTTTGTGTCTAATTGTTGTTCCTAGGTCATTTTTGAGGTGAGATTTTCCCTGGTTCAGTCTTATTCAAAGCCTTCTGGCCATAGTTGTGAGTGTTTTACTTTTTTGAGGAATTTTAGAAATGGTTCCCAGTCTTTTTAATAGTTGGTTCATGTTTTTTTCCACGGAGCATCATTGCTAATTCATCAATTCCTGCCATATTTAAAAATTGTGTAATCCACTCTTCTGCTGTTGGCATTTTTCAGTTTTGTGCATGTAACATTCTCACCCAAATGATATACTGTAATGTTTTTGCGTTCCTTGATTTCATTTGTTCATTCTGTAGTCCGAATAGAAGTAATTCTGGGTTCAGTTGAATTGTAATTTCAGAATTGTTTTGCAGTTGTTCTTTCATTGAGTTCCACAAGTGTATTGCTTTAGGTCCACCACATGTGGGAAAATGTTCCCACCTCTTTGCCACACTCCCAGCATGTTTTGTTCATGTTCTTATCCATTTTAGTCAATCTTCCCATAATTAGATACCACCTGAACAAACTGAATATAGGTCAGGGATACTTTGTCTGGTGTACTCGTTTGGGTGTGAAAAAAGAAAATTTTTAATCCCCACTGAGTTATAAATAAGCAGCACTTGTCTTCCATAAGCAAGCCACACAAACCTGTTGCAACAATAAATCAATTTGTAAATTCACTGCATGACTTTAATTCTTTCTTGGAAATTCAGTCCTAAATGTTGGTGTCTGTTCTTTCAGAATGACTCTCCAACTAGTAAGTGGTGTGATATGCATTTCTCGCTAGGTGATTTCCGCTACTCTCCAAACATGCAGCAAGAGGAGGCTCTGAAGAATAAAAAGCTTATCAACACTTTGTATCTGGACAATACCAACTGCCATCCCAGTTCTGTCTTACCATCCAGAGAAACGGCAACTGAACAGATCAAAGAACTGATTAGGGCCCATCCGTCTCACCTAGTTAAGATTGGTAAGAAACATTATTGGATTTGGAAGAATTTTTGAACTGTTTGATTGAGATAGAGAATCTTTGGGACAGGTAACCTACATAAGGGTTTTCAACCTAGGTGAGAAACATGTTGTTCTCATATTGTTATTGAACTGCAATCTCCTCACTTTACCGGCTAATGTGGCACTTAATGGCCCGAGTTCTTAGTGTTAATTCACAGAGGCAATCTAAGGAGAGGAATATAAACATGAAATTTATTGAATAAATTCAGGATATCTGACATTTTTCTAAGTGAGGTTTACAAACTTTTCCTGTGATCACACATGCTTGCCAACATCTGTGAAAACAGATCCCACCTAAAGAGATTATTGTAGAAGATGGAACCCTGAGGCTGTGTGTATATATGCCCATCCATATTGAATTCACAATATGAATTAACCTTTTGAGGAAGAACCCATCAAGGGAAGGGGTAGATCGAATTCTGAAGTAAGAGGTTGTCAGTTAAACTTGGTGTATAAGAAACACCAAGTTTAGTGTGGCAACATTAGTTTAGGGCAGGGGTCCTCAAACTAAGGCCCGAGGGCCGGATGTGGCCCTCTAAGGTAATTTACCCATCCCCCGCTCAGGGTCAACCTAAGTCTGAAAGGACTTGAAAGCACACAACAAAAACAACAACAACAATCCTATCTCATCAGCCAAAAGCAGGCCCACACTTCCCATTGAAATACTAATAAGTTTATATATGTTAAAATTGTTCTTCATTTTAATTATTGTATTGTTTTTAAGTGGTTTTTGCACTGCAAATAAGATATGTGCAGTGTGCATAGGAATTAATTCATGCTTTTTTCAAATTATAATCCGGCCCTCCAACAGTTTGAGGGACTGTGACCTGGCCCTCTGTTTAAAAAGTTTGAGGGCATTTCACTCCAGAGGCTGAATGTAATGGAATCAGGCAGTCTAGTACAAATCCAGCTCCAAGTTACAAATATCCGACTTACATACAACTCATAGATAAGAATAGGGGTGAGGCAGCAGGAAGTGAGAGGAAATCTACTCCTAGGAAGGGAAATTCACTTCTGTAAGAGTTTTCATGGGGGGGAAGTATATTTGCTGAAGTTTTATCACCAAACCTTGTTTCCACAACAAGCCAAGTTTTTCAAATTCCAATTATCACAAGGACAGAAAATGAGGTCAAATCTAAACGGGCACAGATAGCAAAACAAAGGCCACAGGGAAGTTGGCCCTTCCCTATGGTACCCAAAACTAAAATAAATAAATAAAAATGGCTGGAATTATACTTAAACGTTTACCTGTTCAAACTTACATACAAATTCAACTTAAGAAACTTATGGAATGTATCTTGTTTGCAACCCAAGGACTGTCTATATTTGAAATGCTGACAGTTCTCTTCTTTCTTCCAGGTGTCTACACTTTGGGAAAGGAATCCCTCTTGGTAGAACTGGCCCACGAATTCCATACTTGGGTTGTAGTGAGTCCTCAGAGGCTGGAACTCATGCATCTGCTGGAACTGGAGGATGTGTTCACCTCTGAGGAAGGGGCAGGGAGGATTCACGCTGTGGATTTTTCTGAAATCCGCCAAGCAACTATGATCAGCTGGAATCAGAGTCACCCAACCATAGCCATTCTCCCCACCAGCAGACAAGTGAAAATCAACCATCCCGATGCCTATGTTGTACCCTATTCAGACCACTCCTCTTTCCAAGAGTTGCTGGAGTTTGTAGCTTGGCTAAAGCCTTGTTCCATAATCCCAGTGGTAAACGGCGAGGCATGCCAGATACATTTCGAGCAATATTTGACACCTTGGAATGGTTCCATTCTGGAGTCCAGAGTCCCTGAATCAGTAACAAGATTCATGCAAAGTAGCAGGGAGTGGGAAAAGCCCTTCAAAGTGCAAAAACAGACTTCCGCTGACCGAGTGCCTAGAGGAGTTTTGTTTGAATCCTTAGAAGAATGTATTAATCCCATTGAAAATGACTGCAGTGAAGAAATGCCCCAGCAAAGCTGCTCAGAACCCACGAAAGGGTGTGTGCCTTACTGCAAAGAAGCGTGTGTTGAATGTGAGGAGGCGAGAGAAAGAAATGAGGCAGAACCAAAAACCCTTCAAAGCCAACAAGAAACTTTACCAATGCAATCTCCTTGTGTAACGTCCACACAAAAACTAGACAAGTTCCATCAGTCTCAAAAATGTCACACTACTCCAGAAGCAACACACACACTCTCTTTATCAATGTCAAAGCAGGAGGCCTGTTTCACAGTCAGACAGTTCCCTTTAGGGAGTGACAAATTGTGCCGTTTGGCCACAGAAAACCGTGTTCCCTCAGCATCACTACATCCCCTTCAAGCTGAGATACAGGGCAAGTTCACACTAAAGTTCGAAGCATTCCAGCCTCTCAGTGACCAGCCTTCACGAAGCCTTCTCCCAGAATATGATATGTGTCCACTCAACAGGCCAAAGCAATGGTCCGTCCATGACTTTGACTGTCAGGTTGAAAATTACTTAAAAAGAGGGAAAAAGTCTGCATGTGTGGACCAACGCAAATTTGTGTTCAGGTAAAAATTTCTGGTAAAACCAAAACCTAGGAACCAAATCCCAAGAGCAAATAGTAACAGAACAATCTTAGTGTTACATTTCTCAAGTTGAATTTGTAAGATTTTATCAGTCATTGGTAATGAAAATAAATTGCAACCAACTTGGTTGAGAAGAAGAGCTAGAACTAAAAGCTGGGTGGTTTGTCTCAATGACCCTTTCAGAAATTTTGCACAGTTTTTTACAAGTTCCTATGAACATTAAGTGTTCATGTTCATGTTAAGCTTATGCTGGAGAAGTAATCCTATCCCCTTTCAAAGTTTATGAAATACTGAAGTGTTCTCTTTTTTGCCTGTGAATTAAAGACAGTTTTAGTCATTACCTCTAATGAGTATTAGTGTCTTGAGAAGGAAATTTAAAATAATAACTAGCCCCATTTTTATGCAATTCTTTGCTCATTTGGAAAACACGGTCACATACATTAGTGCCTTAGGCCTCTTACAGGCCCTTGCTTTCTACACCATCCATCTAAAATGAGAGAAATGCAGATTTTATCATATTTATCACATCTTCATCTATTTTATTTATTGTGTCAGAAGGAAATTGAGAATACAGTTATAATGTATAAAAAACCACAAACAAAGTTAACCTTTAAATCTAAGGGAAAACTAAAACTAGGCAAGTTGATATCCCATTTGCTTGGTTCCAAGTACTGGGATTCAACTCCACACTACCCAAGTCTCAAGTTCTCAGTGAGGAACAGTTTAGTTAGCTTAGAATAGTCTGAGGGTTTCCCTTCCTCTATGTGTGTATTTTGTTCTCTCTGTTTCTGCTCTCATTCTGATTGGTTGTGTAGAATGGATAGTTTTTTACTGCAAGTCTTTTAAACCTGACTTCTGTGTCTTGCATCAGATAACTGGTATGTGCTGTGTGCTTTGAGATCTCTCTCTGCGTATGTGTCTGAGAGATGTAGTGATTGGTGTTTTCCCCCTTTCTTTAAAACCTTAGAAGAGATGGGTGTCAGAGAAGCTCAGACCCAGTTTTTTACCATGAAGAAATGTAGTTATTTCTTTATTATTGTAAATAAAACTTTTGTAATTTTTAAAGATTGGACTCTGCATGTTTGCTTCCTAAGGTCTGAATTCTTTACAGCCACATCACACTGCACTTCATGCTTTGCTAGCTGTGAGCTGATACTCATCTTTTGTATCCTGTTGGTTTTAGGATGCTCTGCTTTATTTAGGGTAGTTTTCCTTAACACCAAGTATGTTAGATTATTTCTTTCATTTCACACCTAATCATAAATGAGACTCCAAGGCTTCAAATTTTCCATGAAAAGCTATGCACTGAAGACAGCCTTCAAATGAGAGGGAATCTGGGTGCAATTTACAAAGAGTTCATTGAGAATGTTTATGGAAATGGACAATTTGTTCAAGTGCAATGGCAATCCAATTGAAATCTCCGACTAGGTTCATGTCTGGACCTCTCCCCCTTGAGTATGTCACCCAAAAGCCACTAAAGAAGGGGTTTGAAAAACTATACACAAATAGTAGTCAATACCTATACAATTATCCCGAAGGACTAAAAATACCACACAGATGTTGGAGGAGATGTAAAGATCTGGGGTCATAAACACATGTGGTTCCAGTGTCCTAAAATTAGAGGGTTTTGGATCATAGTCCTACACCAAACACTACTGATTGCACAGCAGACTGTTTTGCCTGGATCTTTTATTACCTCTTTATAAAACATAAAAAGTTATTTACTAGGTTCTTGTGGGTTTTTTCGGGCTATAGAGCCATGTTCTAGAGGCATTTCTCCTGACGTTTCGCCTGCATCTATGGCAAGCATCCTCAGAGGTGTTGAGTCCCCCCAGGGATGAGAAAAGCGGTATATAAATACTGTAAATAAATAAATGTTGCACAGAGAGCCATTTTGGGCATCCAGTTTTAACCACCACATTGGATGGGGCATAAGGGACACTTCACTTCTCCCTGTTCTACATGGTAAATACAAGAACACTTGACTGGTGGAAAGGTTGCATTCTAGCAACTAGGGAACTGCTATTGCCATGAGTGCCAATGTCTGCCTTCCTTTCACAAATTATAACATACATACATTTTTTAGACAATTAATACCATCTGTAAGCAGCCACAATTCCCTTTGGGGAGATGGTGGCAGGATGTAAGAGTAAAATTATTATTTGAAACAAGATTAATACACAGCAAACATGATCATTATGCTGGCTGTTATATTGGATCACACGTCGGACACTTTCCAAGTGTCTAGGACTGTGTGATGTATCGGCAAATAATGCATACAGATCCGAGTAGGGTGTACTTTTGCAGCTGATAGACTAATTTTGGAAACGCCGATTGTGTTTAAGTGCAGGCCAAGGTCTTTAGGCACTGCACTCGGTGCCTTTATTACCACTGGGACCACCTTTACTAGCTTGTGCCAGAGTCTTTGCAGTTCGATCTTTAAATCCTCTATCATGTCAGCTTTTCCAGTTGTTTCTCTTCAATTCTGCTGTCACCTGGGATTGCAACATCAACAATGCATATTTGGTTTTTTTAACACGATTGTGAGGTCAGGAATATTGTGCTCCAAAACTCTTGTCAGTCTGAATTTGGAAGTCCCAGAGTAGTTTGATGTGTTTATTTTCCATAACTTTTTTAGGTTTGTGATCCCACCAGTTCTTTGCCACAGGCAGATGGTATTTGTGGTACAAGTTACAATGAATCATCTGAGCAATAGTATTATGCCTCTGATTGTAGACTGTCTGTGTGATCTTCTTGCAGTAGCTGAGGATGTGATCTATCGTTATTTCTGCTTCCTTGCAGAGCCTACACTTGGGATTTGTTGTCAACTTTTAAATTCTGGCTTTGATGGCATTTGTTCTAATGGCTTGTTCTTGGGATGCCAGGATCAGGCCCTCTGTCTCCTTTTTGAAAGTTCCATTTGTGAGCCACATCCATGTTTTTTCTTTGTCAATTTTGCTCTCAATTTTACCCAGGAACTGTCCATGGAGAGCCTTTTTTTGCCAGTTTTCTCTTCTGGCACACTGGGTGCAGTGCCTAAAGACCTTGGCCTGCACTTAAACACAATCGGCACTGACAAGATTACCATCTGCCAGCTGCAAAAGGCCACCTTACTGGGATCTGCACACATTATTTGCCGATACATCACACAGTCCTAGACACTTGGGAAGTGTCCGATGTGTGATCCAATACAACAGCCAGCAGAGTGTCTGCTGTGGACTCATCTTGTTGTGTTTCAAATAATAATAATAATACATTGCAGGGATGGGAGGTTGTGGCCCTTCAGATGTTATTGGACTTCAACTCTCAATATTCCTTATCCTGTTGATTGTGTTGCTAAGGCTGTTGAAACATATATGCAATTAAGGGTTGAATGACTACCATTCAAATTTATTGTGTTTGCAAAAAATAGTGACTGGGGCAAACGTTTCTCAACCCAGTGCCATCCAAATGTGTTGCATTACAACTCCCAATATCCCCAGCCAGTACAAGACAGTATGGTTTGTCAGGCTGGTATCTCACTTGCCCACATCTAACAAACTTGCAGCATAAGTCATTCATTTCAATAGGTTTTGCTATTATCCATGGTTTCCTGTTTCCCCTGTGGATACAGGGATCATAAAGTAGTGTTATCAATTTCCATGTTGGGGGTCATTATTATGCCTGCCGAAGGAGATCAGATAATGTAGCAATTGTACTCAGTTGATTTGGAACTTGAACTGAGTTCCGCTGCAGCAATGTTCCGCCACTATGTTAAAGCTAACTGGGTTATAGCTACTGTAATGCTGTGTTGCAATATTACTATTACAGGCTTTAGCCAAATGGAAAACAGCCATGATTGCTCATTAGCAGATCGAAGCACTTCCCAGGAGATAGCTATTATGGGGTGGCCTGTTGAGGCAGATAGTTCGATGTGTTAATTATCTGCTTCCTCTCAGGACTGGCCCATCTTCTGGTGACATGCCCAGTCTCTTCCACAGGTCTGAAAAGAACATTTCTCAGTGTTTGTCACCACAAAAGCTGTAAAATAGCTTTTGGCCAGAATCCATTTGGCAGACTCACAAGTTTCCAGGCTGTGTCCCTAGAAGAGCAAGACAAAACAGTCGGCATAAACCATTCTCCCCTTTGCTCACAAAACCAGCTATGTGATTTTTGAATGAGATGATCAGCAAAAAGTGGCTGGGAGATAGCCGTGTGTCTGGCAGTGCTTGTGGCTGCTTGCTTTTCTAGCACATGTGGTTCTTTCCCAGTGCACCACACCCTGTGTATGATCTGCCTTATATAATCACCAATGGCATTAAAGTAATCACTGCTTTCAGGGTGATGGCAGCTCTAAAATGAAAGCCTCTCTTTTGCAGCCCAGGTGGGCCCTGCCTAATTACACTGCGTGGCATTTCTGAAAGCCTGGGGAGAGTTAGGAGGAGATTTCCCACCTCTTGCTAGCATTATTCCAGTGCCAAATTTCCCATAAAGCATCAGCAGGTTGCTCTGTGATGTTTGTGATAGCAAGGAAACTATCGCATTAGCTCCCCTCTGTTTTCAGCTCATTTTGAGAAAAAGGAAATGAAGGGACATGAATTGAACATGTTCTAAACTGAACATGAAACCAGAGAAACAAACAGAAAATGGTGAAGTGGGCAACTGTAATATCATGGATGCTCATTCATGGCAGAGTATGATTGCCCTCCAGAGATAAAGAGTTGACGGTGGGTCCGTAAGTAACTGTGATTCTAAATCCACATGGTATTTCACAATGAGGACATAGATTTCCAGGTATAAGGTGGCCATGACAAGGATTTGCTTGATGCATGTTTCTCCCTCTATCCGTGCCCCTTCAAAATCCATAGCACTCTTAGTAACAGCCAGGTGACGGCCAGTTAGAATGCTCGAGGGCCAGGGCTTCCCAGTTCTCTGTGTCTATATCATATTTTTAAAGGTTAACTTTAAACCCATCTTTAGATCTCTTTTGTTGTCCCTGACATTTTTTTTCCCATTCTTGAGCTGAGAATAAATTAGCTGCTATGGGAGACCGTGATCGGGCGTTCGGACAACGTGGCCAGTCCAGTGAAGTTGATGGGGGAGAACCATCATTTGATGCTAATGGTCTTTGCTTGACACTCCATAAAAGAGTTCCTGCAAATGAAAAGGAAATGTGTGTCTATGGAGGGGAAGCATTGGACAGTTGGAAAAATAATGATTAGGAAGAATACAAGATAATGTCTATTTTATTCTTTTTTACCCATAAGAACCAGATAATTGAATGTGGAGTACCATGATTGGAAGGTTCAAACCAGACAGGAAAACTACTGAGAGGCAACAACAACATTTTTTTTACTACTGACGTTGCAGAGATCCCATATCTGAGTTGTTCTTGGGCAGTAGCTGTTGAGAAAATGTTTCAAAGTAATATGACAATTCTTCAAGTGAAAAATTATAAATTACTAAGTCACTAGGCTTTGGTGGCCTTTATCCAAGAGTTCTTAAAGAACACAAGTGCTGGATACTTTAATTCATTGTTAAAATCATTCTTACTAGAAAAAAGGAAGACAGCTAACATAATGTAATTTTTAGAATTACCTAAATATGTTTACATGCATATAGTTAGATGCGTTTATTTGTGGCTTTTTAAAAGGCTTCTGACTTTCAGCCCACAATTTGTCATTTTGGTTATGGACTAAAAACTGATTAAAAACCAAGGGCTGTTGTAAAGTGTCATTTTTCACAATGTAGGAAATTAAATAACAGTACCTCAAGGTTCTGAGTGATAAGTGGTGCAGTTTAGCTTATTGCTAAATTATCTGGAGTCAAATTATCTGGAGAGCAATAAATTGGGAACATTTACAAAGAACATGAAATTACCTCTCAAGTATTGGCTGTAATTCCAATGGCTGTACTTATGATCCTCAAATGGTCAGATTCCCTGTACTACCCACCTTTTTTCTGGCAATGTAAGATGAACCAATTCTCCTGGAAAACTTGAGAAACAGCAGGGTGACATATTTAAAAGGGAAACTGCTCTTCCCTCAAGTTTCCCTGGGTAAAACTGGCATACCACTTAACATTTG